ACCGAGCCACATGTTTAAGTAAAAGGAACTGTCTGATATGTGGTTGTGCCTTCCTCGTACCTATTATCTCATTTATTATTTTCTGTGCTGTCTATTTTTCTGCCGCCCCATTACCTGCGATACCTGTCAATCCAGTATCCCTGATGGAAAAAAATGCAACCGCGACGACTGCGCCCCGTATATTAACCTTCAATATGTTTATGAGGCCGCCCGGAATAAAGAATAACAAAAATGACTTTAAAAACGAAAGATTGGATTTCATTGTACAAAATATTTTGCCAGCTTATGACATCATTACCGTGCAAGAAGCTTTTGCCTACGCTAATAGACGCATTGATAGGTTTTTGGCTGCCGCTTTTAAACAGGGTTTTTATTACCAAGTCGCCTCCTCTAGACACTATCCTTGGGACCTGGCTGGTGATGGTGGTTTACTCATTCTCTCAAAGTATCCCATTCAAAAATCAGACAGGATTGAATTTCCTCGTGGTGTTCACTCAGACTGGTAAAACTATTTTTATTTTGGATGACATAAAATGTTCTAATAGTTTCTATTTTTAAGGCTGTCTTTCAAAGGTGCACTTCATGCTCTCGTTGAGATAGATTCGACACATTCCGTTCACGTATATACCACACATACCCAAGCATCTTATGATAATAACGGTGCCATCAATTTTGACGATACGAAGGTTCGATTAAGTCAGTTTGCAGCTGTACATCAATTTATAGCTGACACTGCTAAAGAAGACTCACATCCAATCCTACTGATGGGTGATCTGAATGTAGACGCGGCTGCACACGACACTGATATAGATGTACCATCTCGTAATAGTTCTCTTGCATATACCATGATGATGGATGTTCTTATTGGAAAAGGAACCAATCTTCAACTGCTGGTGAATGACAAGAATGTATCGACGGTTGAAAATAAAACCAGCTATGGAGATGATTGGCACCTTGATGGTTTGACAGACATGGCTTACAAATCATTTGGTTACCATCCCGTTACTTTTGGAGATTATAAGAAATTAGACAATGGAACACTTATACCTGCTGAAACCATCTTAACCAGTCATAATCAATTGATGACGGTCCAGAGTATCGATCGTTTACTTTGGTATGGTAAAAACGATACAAGGATGTCGGTGAGTCATGTGGTCGTTGAAAATTTCTTCACAAAGAATGACACTACGCTGCCATTTACACAAATATCAGGTAAGAAAAAAAAAAAAAAAAAAAAAAAAAAAAAAAAAAAAAAAAAAAAAAAAAAAAACTTAATTAAATTAACAAACATTTATATATTTTTATTATTGTTTGTAGATCATTATGGCCTTAGCGCTGTACTTGAATGTAATTAAAAAATTTATCTTAAACCAACCACTTTATAAACTTCTTCCATTGTGTTGTTTGCCACATCATTTGCCTTTTGGGCACCCTTATCTAATACAGTTTTAACATAACCTTCGTCCGCTTGTAAACGCACTAATTCAGATTGAATGGGATGCAATTTTTCAATAATGGACTCTGACACTCTTAACTTGAAATCTTTTGTACTTGTTATATCCGCACACTCTTTAACCGCCTCCTCTACCTCGATATCTCGCATAGCAGCATAAATGGAAACCAAATTGGACATACCAGGACGGTTCACGGGGTCATAAGAAACACCACGGATACCATCTGTTGTTGCCTTGGCGATTTTAGCTTGGATGGTGGCAGGAGAATCAATCAGATTGAGACGAGAGAAATCCGAGGGATCGGATTTAGACATTTTACCCTTTGGGTCACGTAATGACATGACTCTCTTAGCAGCAGGAGGTACAATGGCTTCAGGTTTAGGAAACACAGGTTTAAAGGTCTTATTAAACAAACCAGCAATATCACGCGCTAATTCCAAATGTTGAATCTGATCCTCTCCTACGGGTACGTGTGTTCCCTTGTATAATAGGATATCAGCCGCTTGTAAAACAGGGTAATCGAAAAGTCCCATCTTTAATCCACTTGTTAAACTTTCATCAGCCAGCACTTGAGCGTGACTCATCCCTCTTCCTTCCATTTTTGTCTTCCATTGGGTCATTCTACCTAACCAGCCTACGGGCGTAATACAATTGAAAATCCAGGCCAATTCTGTGTGAGCTCGGACACGGCTTTGTTCAAAAAGGACAGAGCGCTCTGGGTTGACACCACAGGCTAACAAGGTGGCGGCCACATCAAGCTTGGCTTGTCGTAAGGTGGCAGGATCTTGAGGCATGGTGATGGCATGTAAATCGACAATGCTGTAGTAATTGAAGGAACTAGCACCCGTGATTGGGTCGGGATCTTGTAAGCGAGCCCAATTGGCCAAGGCACCCAAGTAGTTACCGAGATGAGGTGTACCTGTAGGTTGAATGCCTGAAAAGACTTGTCGTGTCTTTTGCGTTGTTTGCGTTGTGAGTGTACGCTACAAAAAGAATTAGCTGCTGTCTCTTTTCAAACATGTGTCATTTACTTTGAAGGCGTTCATTGTTGACAGGAACAAAAATAAAAACTGTGAATTGTATCAAGGGTTTGACTTGCAGGGATTACTCCGCCCAAATAATTATGAAAAATTAATGGTTTTTTTTTTTTTTTTGCTTTCATTGGAGTGACACTGATGATGAGTAATAATGCGGGTTTATCAACTTTGTGAATACCATACGTTTAGAACGAGCTTATCTTGTGAGCTTTTTTTTTTGTGGTATAATGCAATTCATAAAAGCACTGATTTCTTCACGGCGCAGTCTATGATTGGTGTGACGTTACACTTGGTTTTAAATTGATACTATTTTTATGTTTGCTTTCTTTCTGTTTTACCCTCTTTTTCCTTTTATTTTTTGTTTTATCTGCACTCACAAAACTAAAAAAAATGGTTTACAAAGGACGTAAGAACGTAAATAATTCAATAAAAAGAACACCGTATGATGCTACAATGCAAACGAGAATCAAAGTGGATAATATTCTCAAGACTACGCAAGTGAGTATTTTCAACAGTGACCCTGTAACGTGGATACCGCAAGATCATGTTACAGACTATAAAAGAGAGGTAGCATGGCATCTGTTTGAGATAACCCAAGTGATGAATATGGAATGTTGGGGAGTGATTGTAGACGCACTTTTTAAGGAACAAAGTAAAACTATCTTTTCACTGGTCTATCAACTCTCAAAAACGTATCATCGATCTACACTTTCATGCCTCACAAGTGCATGGGAAAGTCATGCCATATTAAAAAAGATTTCCAGTATATTTCGCACACATATTATTTTGTATAAACCCAACTACATACCCCAATACATCAAAGTAAAGACACACTATCTAAACTTAATTACCGCACGCTCCACAACTACCACTGTCGACAGAACTTTACTGATATACAGCGAGCCTATCGAGTATCTTTTCAGCATGGATTTCAACTTTCAACTCTCTGCATTGACAGATCTAAGATTTAAACAGGATATCAAGACATTTTTCGACATGAGTAACTGTATAATTGATATCCAATCGTTTGATAAGATTGGCAATATTGATCCAGATATTGAGTGGACAAGAAGGGAACTCTTCCAGCAAAAGTTTAACGAAGATCCAGCAAAAGTTAGATACAAGGCCTTTGTAGCCCTTTGGTGCGATTTTGGATATGCCGATAGTTTCCCAGACGAATGGTGGCCTTATCCAGATGATCGACCATTGGCGATTCCAGAATTTGTCCTCCTCTTAATTAAAGTATCTACCTCATACGCTGGGACTGTATTAATTATTTATCAGGACAAACATTATTGCATCTGTGGAGACATATGTGAAGCAGAAATGATGGTTTGTAAAATCAGTGACAATGGCGTCTTGACCATGCCATGTGATCTACATTACAAAGATATCGATTCTACTTATCAGAGGGAACCGTTACTTTCTCTTTACAATAATAAAAACTTGTTTGTATACTAGAAATGCATTCGTCAGTCATGCTTTAATTACAATATGTGACTATCACGTAACGTCCCTACTCCAAATCTAACTGAAACGGGTTACAAAATGCAAAGGAAAAGGGGATCTTCGGAGAAATTACCATAAACGGCCATCCTTCATTTGCCCCGGTAATGAACTGACAAGATGAATTTTCTCTCTCTCTCTCTCTCTCTCTTTTAAAAAAATATAAAAATGATTGGAGAGTTATTTTGTTACATATTCATGAAAAGACATAAAATATAATCATTAAATTTCGTTTTATTGTAACTAAAAATTGTAACACAAGGTTGGGCGTCATGATTTTTCCCCGCAAAATAACGGTAACTGGAGTCCCAAAAAAGGATGATCCTTGTGAGAGCGTGTGTGGGGTGGTATAAAAGCATTTTAGCCTTATTTCAATTAATTCCCTTTTTTTGTTTCTTTTTCAAAAAAATAAATAAATAAAAAATGACTTATTCATTATCGCTTATATTCTCATCTGGTGGATACAGCACTGATAAACACCAAGCAGCTATACCAACGTATATCACTATTTCACCTAGAAAGGATGGGATTACTGCTAAAACCAAGCGTCTCAACCCTCAACGACGTTCTTCTACCTCCAGTTTTTCCCCACTGAAACGAAAACTAAAAGCCTCTTCCTCTAATTTCTCTTCCATTCTACCTAAATTTCGTGCTATTGAAAGACGGCCTTCTTCTACGTATTCTTCAGATACACTAATGCCTGATATCACCAGATCAAGTAAGAAATATAAAAAAAAAAAGCGTTTGTAACGAAAATATAAGCTGACATTTTTTTTTTTTAATTTTTTTATCAGTACTTGCTTTACCAAATGAAATTCTTTCCTGCGTCTTGTATTACTTGGATTATACCAGCGTACACAAACTCTCTCGTACCTGTAGTAAGTTATACACGGTATGCCATGATAACGAACTTTGGCGTCGTTTCTTGTTTGCCGATTTTCAAGCCATCACACCACCCACACCTGCAGACCCAACAATTAAGGATTATTTAAAACTATATCAGAATCATCTAAAATTGGGTCAACGATGGCTAACAGGCAAAGTAAATACCCGCTTTTTACAAGGCCATGAGGATAGTGTTTATTGTCTGGGATGGATTTCCAAAGATATCTTACTTAGTGGTAGTCGTGATAAGACACTCAAGATGTGGCACGTGCCTACCAACACCTGTATAAGAACCATCGAGAATGAACATAGTGGAAGTATCTTGTGCATACGTGTGGACCAAAAAAATCAGCTTGTGATGACAGGATCGTCGGATACTACCTGTACATTATGGTCACTACCTCAAATGCAGCCCATCATGAAACTTACAGGACATCGTCATAATGTGCTGGATGTTTGCCTTGTCAACCAGAATCGCATTGTCACGTCTTCCAGGGACCATACGTTACGTGTATGGGATAGAGAAACGGGGTTGGAATTACGGCAAATGGTGGGGCATACCGCCTCTGTCAATGCTATGGAGCCTGTGGGAAGAAATCGGGTTGTCTCGGCTTCGGGAGATTCTAGCATCAAATTATGGGATATCGACACGGGTGAATGCATTCGTACAATGCACGGTCATAAACTTGGTTTGGCTTGTGTTAAATACAGTGATGGACGTCTTTACAGTGGTGGGCTGGATGGTAAGATCAAGGTATGGGATATCGAAACTGGAGAGTGCGTTCATACCATGTTCGGTCATGCTGGCATGATTCGTTCTATTGATTATGTAAATAAAAAGATTGTCACGGGAAGTTATGATCGTACCTTGAAGGTATGGGATACAGAAACAGGTGCATGTATTCTCAGCTTTCAAAGTGGACACTCCAATTGGATCTTCAATGTCCTGTCAAGTGGAACACGTATAGTCAGGTACACTATGACAAAAAGAATATATCGAGAGCATTTTGATTGACCTTTTTATTTTTTTTTTTTTTTTTTTTTTTTTACCAGTTCGGGACAGGAAAAACGTATAATGGTGCTTGATTTTGGTAGTGGATTAGCTCCCCTGTGTAATTAAAATAGCTTCCCTTTTTTTACCCCGGATTTTATACCGTTCTGCGGCGACTTAATAATATAGTTTTTTTTTACATGAATCTATAAAAACAAGGTTTTCCTTTCTAATTACAAGGGACCAATCAATGGCTTGATTGACATTGATTAGGAAACAATTAGAAATCATTTGATGTCACTTCAGGCTACACGATGCTAAATTGACAGTGTTTTCCCTTCACATGCCTCAAAATATTGTTCTCACGTTTTTTTTTTTTTTTTGGCGGTAAATTGTTATGAGAGTTACACAGAATTACACTTTTTATTATAATTTACAGGGCGGGTATATATAATCTATTCTCTTTCCCAAACAGCAGCCATACCCATACCACTACCAATACACATGGTGGTGACACCGATACGCTTGTCTTGACGTTGTAATTCGGGGAATAAAGTGGCAACTTGACGAGCACCTGTACATCCTAAGGGATGGCCAATGGCAATAGCACCACCCTTAGGGTTCACCTTTTCCATGGGAATGTCTAATACCTTGACAGTATAAAGTGCTTGAGAGGCAAAAGCTTCATTGATTTCATAAATATCAACATCAGCAATCTTTAAACCAGCACGTTCAACTGCGACAGGGATAGCGTAAGCTGGTCCAACACCCATCACACGAGGTGGAACCTAAATCAATAGGGTTAAACAATCATTTAGAAGAAAAACTGTGAAATTAACTTACACCGACTGCAGCAGAAGTAACATATTTACCAAGAATAGGCAAATTCAATTTTAAGGCGGTCTTACGCTTCATGAGCAAGACAGCAGCGGCACCATCCGAGATTTGAGAAGCGTTACCGGCAGTGGTGGTTCCGGTGGGGGAGAAAGCAGGCTTTAACTTACCGAGACCTTCAGCAGTGGAGGAAGCACGAATACCTTCATCTTGTTCTACAATAATTGTCTTTTCATTGCCATCCTTGTCTAATGTGGTAACTTGACAAGGTACAATTTCTTGCTTAAAGTAACCAGCCTTTTGAGCAGCAGCGGCCTTTTGATGAGAAAGAGCAGAGAAAGCATCTTGCTCTTGGCGGGTAATGCCATAATCAGCGGCGACATTTTCTGAAGTAATGCTATATGAATTAAGTTAATAATGATGTTTGAAGAAAGATAAAAGCAGTGCTCACCCCATGGGAATCTTGCAGTCAGCAACAATGGGGTTGACAGCTAATTTTTCAGACAAGGGCACCACACGGTTGAAATAATCGGCAGACATGGACTCGACACCAGCACCAATACCAATGTCAATTAAGCCAGCTTGAATGGCGCAAGCAACTTGCACACAAGCTTGAAGACCAGAAGAACATTGACGGTTTAAGGTACTGACAGAAGTAGATTCAGGGAAGCCAGCAGCAAGAGAGGCCATACGAGCAGGAGTGGCAAGACCGCCATTGGCAGATACGTTACCTACATTGATATCCTGTACCAAAGAAGGGTCGATGCCGGTCTTTGTGATGGTGGCCTTCAGAACATGCATTAAGAGTTCTGTTGATCAAACAAACAATGAATATGCAGGCTAATTATGTGTGTAATTTCTTTATTTGTATTTTTACCGTCAGCGAGGACATCTTTGAAACCACCTTTACGACCCTTGCCGAGGGCAGTACGAAGAGCTGAAACAACAACGACATCTTCAGGAGACTTGACACCCACGCGGGTGACCTGAGAATCTGCTAAAGTAGGTAAACTAATAGGATAGGGCAAAGGAGACATGTTTAAAGTTAAATGAGCAGAAAAAGGAATTTAGAAAATACAAGAAAAAAAAAAACTGTGAATTATATCCTTATTTGCATTTGGCATTAGTAAAAACTATTATAAAAATTCTCAGTCCGAGTGTATAAATTCCCAAGGTTATTCTTCTTGACTAATAAGCTAAAGTTGAGCATGAACAAGAGGTTTTCTTTTATGTAGAGATATACCAAAAAGGAGGACAGCTGTTTCAGGAACGCGCTTAATTCCAGATCTATGGTCTTTTTTAAGTATGGTCTTTTTTAAGTAACCCGGAGAATTAGAATAAATACAACAACAGGCCACATTTCGAGGGAGGGGTGCTGGGGGAGAGGGGCAATCTAAGAATTATAATTATAGCTTAAAATGGTAATATTGTTGGGAACCCAGAAGGGGAAGGGTTTACTATTCCGGGGGCTTGCCTGGTGAAATGTAGAAATCTATTCCGAGTTCACAATTTCCGGACATGGCATCATACTATTCGTTTTTACTGCTTTGAACTATAAATTACGGAACAAATGATCGACGTCATTGAGAATTTAAAAAAGCATGACGTACACGGAATGGACCTGAAATTACTAGCTAATAAAAAGTGATTGATCCAATTGGAATCCATCAATTGAGGGTAGATCCCCCATAAGACTAAAAAATCTAAATTTAACTCCGGATAAAAAAGTTTTTTTTTTTTTTTTTTTTTTTTTTTTTTTCATTTGGCTACAAAAGTCAGGTGCCATAATGTGCAACCATGAAAAAGGTTATTTGCTTGCTCGGACTTGAGTTTGCAAAAGACTATTAATCGCTTAATACAGGATTCACATACACTTGATTGGAATATGTATATCGAAATAGCTGGTCTCTTTTTTAGCCAAATTTATTAGATACCTAATATTTTAAAATCATATAGAGGCATACGCTGAGAAATGATACTAATCTAAATATCTTTAAATAGTACTCGCATCTTTATTGGTCTATGAAGGATGGTACAAGTAAGCGTTTGGAAGAAAGAACTCTGATAGACTAAAGATTGACAATGAAAGAATAAATATATACACATATATTTCACAGACCAATAAAACTACCTTATGGATCGATCATTGTCTTTTTCAGACCCGAATTACTCACTCTCTAATGATTGAATATCATGTCAAGTCAATATCGAGTTGGGATAAACTGGATAAGAACATGCGTGAACAATCGCAAAACCTTCAGCCTCTTCCTTTTATCTGAATGTGCTAGCGAAATCTCAGCCGAACCACATTCCACTGCTTTTTGGGAGTTACTCTGTTCTTTAGAGAGTACCCAAAGACATTTTTTCTCTGACCACATTAATTGACGATATTCATTGTATCTATGGAAACTACATCATATAAACACATTACGCTAATAGGAAGTTGGTAGCACTAGTAAAGTTTTTTCTTTTTTTAATCTCTTGTGTGTGTGAGGCACGTTTAAAGTGGAGTCATAATTACAGGTAAAACAATCAAGTTATATTTTAAGTGCTTGAAGGAATAATGCTCTCAGCAGAAATCGTATGCTCATCTCTAATAGACGCGATCCTTTCCCAGTTGATTGCATAGTCGATAAGAGCAAACTTCATTAAACTTATGAAAGAAGCTATGTTCGCAAGGCAGGTTTGCTACTTTGTCAATACGAACCCCGTCGACCTATTCTAAGAGTCCAAAGTGGAATAGTTTTACCATCAAGACATGCACTGAATCTCGACATGAGTCTTATTCGAGCCTTTAGACCTCTGATAGGTTGTTTATTTTCTTCCGAGTATATTTGCACTTTTAAAATAAACAGTAAAGGGGGTCAAATGTCCCTTGTGAATATAGACATGTATTAGCGGTCTTCCATGGTGTGTGGTCCGAGCCTGAATAAACTTATAAAAACTCTGCTAAAATAAAGATTTTCGGAAGCAGCTTTAGAATGTTAAATAGAGAAAGTCCGAATGTATATAGAGAAGGTCCGAAAACGGAGCAAAGATATTGTATTATGGTAATTAAGTTTATAGATAGTAATAGCATTATAGAAAAGAAGGGAAGGGGAGAAAGAATTATATGTATATATTATATTCACAGGTATAAAAATGGGGGGTTTTAAAAAAGATGGATTATTGAGAATGGCTTGACATGGACCGCTTTTTTTTGGAAATGGTTGTGAGAAATCTCTTTAACTTGTTGCCAGAACTCTTTTCTTCCAGAGAACCAGTAGGCGATGATGCGTATGAACTGAAAGATTGCATAAAGATGGGATCCACCTGTTGGCATGATTCAGATGATGACATTGATAGAAAAGATGCTTTAGAAGGTGATGATAATCCTTGAGAGTAGATCAATTGATTTGTATCGATATCAAAGTGCTCGGTGAATCTTGACATGATGATTATGTATGTGTGTATTAATAAAAAAAGCCAAAAAAAAAAAAAAAAAAATTAAAGAATCAACGAAAATGCCTTGCCCTTTATATACATTGGCCGTCGTAATTTTAAATGAAAGCGCTTTTACAACTCCGTTGATCACTGTTACAAGAAAACTTAGTTCTAGACTCTTGCTCTTTTTGCATATGTACATTAATTACCCTATCTCTGATTTTTCAATTGCTTTTCCTCTTGTTCTACTACCTAAAAGCTTATATGGATCACATTTAGGCACACACGCACACAAAATTATTTTCCTCCTTTTTTTAAGCTATCTCCAGGGTCAATTTTTTTTTTTTTTTTTTTTTTTTTACAAGTCCCCTTTTTGTGTTACAGTTCCCAGAGCTTTGCGTATGAAATAGTTTTTAGCTGGGCGTCCCTTCAGTTTAAACTCACTGTGTCGTGACTGTTCATACCACAACTATTGTGAATTATGTCAAGGCTATTTTTTATTTTTTTATTATTATTATTTTTCTTCGTAATTAAACAAGCATGCAAACAGCTTCAAAGATCTTTGTCATCTCTGGTCCCTCCGGCTCTGGAAAGTCCACCTTGTTAAAGCGTCTCTTTAGCGAATATCCCAGTACTTTTGGCTTCAGTATTTCTCGTAAATGAATCTTTATAAGCAATTATATATGTGTGCTTTTCCCTGACCAACATAGAATATAAACATAGACACTACACGTAAGCCTCGTCCTGGAGAAGTTGATGGAAAGGATTACCATTTTGTAGAGAAGGAGGATATGGTCAAGGAAGTGGAAGCTGGTAAATTTATCGAGAGTGCAACCTTTTCTGGAAATATGTACGGTAAGGGTTTTTGTGATTTGCCCCCGAATGTGTCAGAAAGACATACTTAGTTTGTAACTAGGTACTTCCATCAAGTCTGTTGAGGATGTGGTTGCCGATGGTAAAGTGTGCATGCTTGATATTGATATGCAAGGTGTTCAATCTGTCAAGAAAACTCAATTGAATCCCAAATATATCTTTGTTCAACCTCCTAGTCTTGAAGTGTTGGAAAGTCGTCTTCGTGGACGTGGCACTGAAAAGGAAGATGCTGTATTGGCTCGTTTAGAAGCATCAAAGAGAGAATTAGAATATGGTTCTCTTCCTGGATCTTACGATCATATTATTGTGAATGATGATTTGGAAACTGCATACTCCTCTTTAAAACAAGCCATCTTTGTTTAAATATCATATATAGAATAAATAAAAAAAATTGCATTCCCCTTTCTTAAATTTGACAAGCCGACTCGTACCCAGATCAAATTTCAAAATGGCTTTTCCCTATTGTCTAGGAAATACCAAAACGGACTGGGTACGCTACCTCGTTTTTATTGCGGTTTAGTGCAAGTGTAACCTACTAGCCCATTGGCCGATAAAACTCATTCGAGATCTGTCTTTCTTATTTGTACACTCTGTGCAAGGGACAACGTGCTTTTATTTTTTATTTTATGTGTTTTTTACAGAAAAAGAAATATTTCACACACACATGCGAGGCTTGTGATTGTTTGCTTTTTTTCATGAACAGAAGAAATATATTATGATAAAAAAAAAGTGATGCTATAAATAAATTAAGCAAGGGACGGCATTTGAACAATTTTTAGAATAAGTAGACGGATTGAGTCATTGGCAGCGTATCCACAGGGTCACAGACGCAATCCACGCCATCTGCGGTGACTGCATACGTTTCTGGATCCACTGCAATGATTGGCATGGCGTCGTTCAGTTTCATATCCCTTTTTGAAATATTACGACAGTTCTTGACGGCCTCGATACGTTTCCTCAGTCCATATTTTGCTATCGTGCCATTATCAATTGAAATCTGTGATACAAATAGCATACAACTCTTGGAAAGACTTGAAGGAAATGAACCAAACAATGGTCTGGACACGATCGGTTCTGTCGTTGAAATAGATCCGTTGGCATCACCTATTTTTTTTTTTTTTTTTTCAATTAAAAAGTAATAAATTAAAAAAAAATCCATTATTTACCCATCTGGCCCCATACATGAATGCCTCCTTTTAAAATAAGCTCTGGTTTACTACCGAAAAATGCAGGTGTAAAAGCAACAAGATCTGCCATCTTGCCAACTTCAATTGAACCAACCAAATGACTGATCCCATGCGCGATCGCCCTATCCATAAAAAGAGTTTAAAAACATGTATACAGAAGAAAAAAAAAAGATATATTCATAATTTACACGTTGATGGTATATTTAGCTAAATAGCGCTTAATTCGGAAATTATCATCAACGCGACCTTCATCCTCTGGTAACTTACCGCGTTGCAATTTCATCTTGTGTGCTGTCTTCCATGTACGCAATACCACCTCCCCAACTCTACCCATCGCTTGACAGTCTGAACTGATCATACTAATGGCTCCCATGTCATGCAGCACGTCTTCAGCTGCAATCGTCTCGGCTCGGATACGACTTTCTGCAAATGCTACATCTTCAGGAATCGTTTTAGACAAGTGATGACAGACCATCAGCATATCAATGTGCTCGTCTAACGTATTGGCTGTAAATGGGCGCGTCGGGTTGGTAGATGAAGGTAATACATTGGCCTCACTACATACTGTGATAACTAGAATGAATGATTTTTAGTATTTTCCAGCCCCTCTTCGTTGTACAAATACTTACTATCAGGAGCATGACCACCACCCGCACCTTCACTATGATACGTATGAATTGTTCGACCTTTAAATGCAGCAATGGTAGTTTCTACAAATCCACCTTCATTTAAAGTATCTGTATGGATAGTTGTCTTTACTCTCGCGTATTAAAAAAAAATGAGCGGGTTACAATAATCTTTTTTTAATCTTACCTGAATATCCAATTCGTCACTGACTTGTAAACAAGTGTCAATGGCATTTGAATTAGCGCCATAATCTTCATGAACTTTAAGTGCGATACAGCCCGCCTCTACTTGCTCTCTAAGTGGCTCTTTACTCGAACAACTTCCTCTGCCGGAAAATCCAAAGTTAAGCGGAAGATCGTCCGTAGCCTGCATCATGGTTTCTAAATGATACTTGCCTGGTGTACATGTAGTGGCATTGGTACCTGTATTCGGACCAGTACCGCCTCCAATCAAGGTTGTAATACCACTTGAAAGAGCCTACAGATACGTAAATGTCTTGCATGTTATATATATATTTTTTAAAAAAAATTACCTCATAACACATTTGCGGACAAATGTAATGCACATGAGAATCTATAGCACCAGCCGTAAAAATCAAGCCCTCGCCCGCCAAAACCTCTGTACTAGCCCCAAAAATCATACCAGGTGTCACATCGTCCATAATATCAGGATTTCCTGCCTTGCCTATACCAACAATCATGCCCTTCTTGATGCCAATATCTGCCTTGTAGATACCAGAATAATCAAATATCATAGCATTGGTAATGAGCAAATCCAAGACTTCTGCATCGCAGTCATAGGTGGATTGACCCATGCCTTCCCTCAAGACTTTACCTCCGCCAAATTTACACTCATCGCCATAGACCGTGAAGTCTTTTTCGATACGTGCCCATAGATTAGTGTTTCCCAAACGAATGAGATCGCCTGTGGTAGGACCGAAATGATCAATGTAGTAATCGCGTTCCAATGTATAGGGAGGTGCGTTAGGTAGAAGGGGAGCTCGTGTGTCATGCATGTAGCCCAACGACATCAAATTGTTGATAATAGAAGGTAAACGGATTAAATCCACAGGTCCCGTAGCTAACCCATTTCCCCCTGAAATGATCTTTTTGCCTCCAATCTCTACAAGGGTTACCGTCTTAAAATCTCCGGGCTCAAATCGAATAGCAGAACCTGCTGGAATATCCAGGCGCATTCCATAAGCAAGTGCTCGATTAAAGTTCAAGAATTTATTGGTCTCGATGAAATGGAAATGAGAACCAATCTTTTATCATTATTAGTTTCGCCTTCAAATTATCTTTTTTTTTTTTTTTTTTTTTTTTTTTTACCTGGATGGCTCGGTCTCCATGGTTTGTCACTGTCAATGATAATCGTTTTCGCCCGGCATTCAGTTGAACTGGTTGCGGCATAGCGATAATGGCACCCGGTGCTTCTTGTCGGTTCCTGGGAATGCCCAGTTCGAACTTTGACTGGTCCGGAATCGGATAGAACGAACCATACAGAGCCAATTCCAGATTACCGTTATCGGTACACACAGGTTCTTGAACAGTCACCAAGTAGGTCCCATCTGGAAATGTGCCTTCGACCTGGACCTCCTTTACAATATCAATGACATCAGGCTGTACATGACGACGACCTAACATTTGCTTACCCAGATCCATCAATTGAGAAACGGAATAGCAACCATCTCGCATCAATTCAAGTAATTGTGAAGCAATCAATGCAGTGGCTTCTGCATAATTTAATTTGACGCCTCTTGCCAAACGCTTTTGTGCAAGTGAACCAACTATAAAAAAAGGTCAGGAATATCATCGAACGTTATTATGATTATTTAGTACCGCATCACCTCACAAAAGAAAACATGCATTTCTGTTAAATTCGCTTATGTTTCATGTTGAAAATATTAATTTACCTTGATGGAGTAGCAATTTATCCAACTCACGAGGAACCAATTTCATAATTATTATTTATTTGCAAAATATTAAGAAAAGAAAAAAAGAGATTGACTCGTGCGCAGTGAAATTTTTATTTTATTTTTTTGAAAACGAGTCAAAATATGTTAAAAAGAGTTTAGTGCCATCACAAATAAAAAAAAGAACTTTCCTTGTCAAATTTGTCAAAAGAATTTGTTTACCGTTACACGAGGACCCGCAATTGCATAGATTAGATTTTATTTTAAACGAGTATCTGCCATCTCCAATGATTCCAACCAACCAGGGTTCTCAAGCATCAGAATTTCTGTGGTTTTTCAATGTAGCAAAGAACAACAATAATCCCGTACTTCTTGGAAAATGTTGTTCTGTTAGTTGATCTAAAACAGGTGGATCAGATTTTTATGTTTGTAGCGGACATATATCTTCCTTGCCATGCATTGGAAATAGAATATCCATAACTTTGTTTCAACAAAGTACTTTGATGTTAGTTGCTCCATCTGCTTAATTCCCTACAAGGTACGTTTTTGTCCGCTGCATGTGACAATCATACTCGTTTTTGAAAAAAGTGCCCGAATTCTTTTTAAACAAATCATGTTTGAGTGCAATCGCACAAATAAAGAAGCTATCTTCAAGAAGAAGCAAATAAGCAGATCCGTGTTATTTGGACTCTCGGGAAATGATTGGTTCGTGCATTGATGCATATCAATTACGAATTAAATGCCATACAGTCCCTCTAGACGAATAAGCCTTTTTAGCGAAGACTTAATCACTGATATTTACTTTCTCATCTATTAAAATAAGATTATTCTGAAAACTCGTATCTCAGAAACCAACCAGTTGTTCTACACCTACTTTCCTCGTCTGAATTACACCAGTGTTATATGTTTAGTCGGATCTCTATTTTTCTTTCTGAGCTTTTGGTAGATAAGATGTAAGTAGCTTGAAGAATAGGTCTTCAGAAGAAACTCATTATTTCTACTTGTCATATTTTAGCATCTGATTAAGGAGAAAATAAAACAATCTTTACTAGCTAATTTTAAGCGTAGTACTTAATGCTTTTTTCTATAGCGATTGATGCTAGAGACAAAAAAAAAAGTGTGAGAAAATTATCATGGTTCTCAACTATGTTAAAACGAAATGATTAAATTAAACAATTATCACATTATTTGGGCCATTAGTTAATTTAATCCCCCACCCGCTCCCACCCATCCACCCGCTTCATTTGATGGGCACATATTGAACGAAATACGACTCTTATTTCGATTAATGGTGTGTAAGTGATTTAGTATTTTGCCAATAAAGCAAAATTTTAGTGACTGACTTCTTACTGAGGTATGACAAGAGATGGCGGGTATAATATTTGAAACAGCTCCAAGAAATAATCCGGGCTTTCTTTTTTCTTTTCCCATCTCATCTAAAATGTCTGATACCTGCCGCTTCGAAGAACACGCTTCTGCTCAAAAGACCCATACCCATGCCGAGGGTGGACATCATCATAGCCATGCTGGGCACGATGCTCATGATCATGGTCACACCCATGAACAAATGGATTCTCCTGGTTTATATCAAGAACGTCCTAAAGCCATTTATGATAACCGTGATTGGGATGAGCGAGCATTTACTGTTGGTATTGGAGGGTAAGTTATAATAAAAGCGCGTGTAAAGAGAGAGTGAAAAAGTGACTCTTTCAATTTTCAATATAGTCCTGTTGGCTCTGGAAAGACTGCATTGATGTTGGCTTTATGCCAGCGTCTTCGCGAGAAATATTCTCTCGCCGCTGTAACCAATGATATCTTTACTAAGGAAGATACAGAATTCTTAGTTCGCAATGCCGCTTTACCAGAAGAGCGTATTGCTGCTATTGAAACAGGCGGATGTCCTCATGCTGTAAGTATTTACTAGTCTCAGCATTTTTTAATTATGAACCCATTCCTAACTCTTTTCTTTTCTTAGGCTATTCGGTAAGAAAAAAAGCAAAAGAAAATAAAATCGCAGTACTTACTAATATGGTGTAATTACAGTGAAGATGTATCGGCAAACTTAAATGCTTTGGAGACTCTCCATAGCAAATTTAATACACAATTATTGTTGATTGAATCCGGTGGGGATAACTTGGCTGCAAACTACAGGTATTTTTTTTTTTTTTTTTTTTTAAAAAAAAATTAATGCAGACGGGGAAAAAGCTAATCTTTTTTGTGTAGCCGTGAATTAGGTAATTTTAAATCAATCCCGGTTATCTTATCTTGAGGCTGTATCTAATTTTATTTTATTTTATAATACAGCCGACTATATCATCTATGTTATTGATGTTGCTGGTGGCGATAAAGTTCCCAGAAAAGGAGGTAATAAATCCTACCTTTGTGTTTTGGGAAAACCATTTAACGTAATGTATAGGACCTGGCATCACTCAAAGTGATTTGTTGGTTGTCAATAAGACAGATTTAGCTGAACTCATCGGTGCTGACTTGGGTGTCATGGCCCGTGATGCTAAAAAGATGAGAGGTGATGGACCCACTATCTTTGCCCAAGTCAAGAATGGTGTAGGTATGGACGATATCATTAATCTTATTTTGGGTGAATGGCGTGCAAGTGGTGCCGCCAAAGGAGCTTAATTCATGACAAGCCTTATTTACCTTAAGGGTCAGACAACTTTTATGTAATATATACTTTAATATAGAAAGATGCTCTGACTTGGTATTTATATTTAAAATCGATCAAAAGCATAATAAAAGCATAGACGCGTCCACGTCTTTTTCTGTTGTTACCCAAAAAATTGCAAGTTTTAAAGCTTACACTGAGGCTCTACACTATTTTCAGAAAATATTAGATTAAAATGTAAAAAAAATTCATTCACAGCATAAAAAAAATATGTTCATCTTCCGACGTAAAAAAAAAAAAAATGAGCTTACCACCTAATATTTGCAAAAAAAGGACATCCTTGTTTTTTCCTTGCAAGGTAAAGTCTATGATTATTAACTTTTCACTAAACAAAGTTATGATTTACTGACGTGAAAAAACATTCTCTATCTTTTGACGCTTTTCTTATTTTCTGTGCTAATTAAAAAAGTAAACTTGTCTTAAGAGCAACTACTTTTTAGTTTCCACCTCTAATGACATAATTTTCTACAATCAACCACCCATGAATTTTAAATTGTTTGATAGCGCGGTTAATTCTGCACAGAAATAGCATAGAAACACAATAAGAAAAGATTGCATTTAATTAGGCGATTTTTTCGAATTTCTGTTTTCTGTATTTTTGGAAAGGGTACCTTGCCAAAATGACCATTTTGACCTTTATTTTCAGATTTCTAAAAATGACAATTTTAGTATCCTACATAGTTATTTTGAATATTTTAAACATTTTTTTGGCATGGAAGAGGATCCAAAAGCGTCATTTTGCTTAGTCGCACAAGCGAATAATAAGGTGAGCGCATTGTTCTCCGCTCAATTTGTCACATATGCTCTTTCCTACTTTTAAGCTAAGAAGGTGTTTAGCAATTGCCTCTAGCTCCAGAGGAGAACTACTCACAGTAGGCTTTCGGATTAGATGTGAAAGACGAGGAGACAGGGAGGATACTGTTATCATTCACTAGTATTCCATGAGAAGAAATAGTCCGCATTATTTGGATCAGCAGTAAGCTATAGGATTTTGTACATTTGAAAATGGCTTATCTGAAAAATTTAAAATAACAATGAAAATATTGTCAATTATTTCATTCTTAATCACCAGTTTGTTATTGTGTTCAATTGCATCTTGAGACCTTTCACGTTCAAGATATTCACAATGAACGGGTAGCAACAATAGTATATTGACCACAAATCAGCTTTCAAATTTAAAAGTGAACTTTTAACTCGAACAATCGTTTATAGCGTCTGATCTAAGGCGCTCACCAAATAATCCAAGTATTTCAGAAAAACGAAGTAAGTAATTTTTCAGGAGCGAAATGAAAGTTGAATAACTGCGTGCTGTGATTTTTATAGGGTATATAAACCAAGTAACCACGAGTTATTTTTTGAAATCGGATAAAACGATTGTATTTCGATAAAGCTAAAATTAACAACCTGACGACGCAAGTCCCTAATAACGGGGTTCTCTGACGCTAAATTTGGTGTAATTGGCTTGGAAAATTAATCGGATGCCAGTAACTTTTTGTTTACTTTATAGAACGCTTTGAAATTCGATAATACGATACAGAAGTTTATTAGTGGAGTAAGGGTAAATAATATATAATACAATGTTAATAAGGTTTAGTGAGGTTGATTTTAAGCTTGATCTAACTGAATTTCTTGACGACTCTTTTCAGTTTGATTCACACTCAAGCTTGATTCGGAATCGTAAATTTGAGTTGGGTCAGCGTCATGCTTGGGAAGATAGTTACCAATAAAAAAGATACAGTATAGAAGAAAGCAAACGGCAATAGCAAGGGTATCGAATACATATAGTGCCCACTCTGCTCTAACAACGGGACCGGTATAACCATATGCATATTCAACCACACGATAAATGGAACGGACATAAATTAGACTGATAGTAACATAAAGAGAGAAAACAAGCTTCTTCTTCGGGTTCTCGCAACCTGCGACGTAATAGTTGTATTTAGGACTGTTTTGAACATAGATAGTAATGGCAGCGAAACAAGCGAGGAAAACCAGTTGAAGTGCAAGACCAATGAGAGTGATGGCTTGGCCCTTCTTGAGGTTCTTATAATCAGATTGCATACCACTTCCAGCACCTTGCATCAAAAAGACAAATATGTCACTAGCAAAGAAGAACCATGTAACGAATTTGGGTCTGAGGTAGAATTTCTCTGACTTCACGTTGGATAATCGAATGATTTCGCCCACAGCTTTATAATTTACTAAAGCCAGAGCATTTGGTGCTAAAAGCAAGAATAATGTACTGGTGATGAATCTTTTGAAGTCGGTAAAATCGGCACAAGCAATTCGTACGGCATAACCGATTGCTTCCATCAATGCTGTGAAGCCCAGAATGTATAGAAATCTAGCACTCTTAGTACGGTAAACACGAACAGTCAAATAAATCGAAAACAACAAGTACACCACCATACTCGTATAAGCTAGAGGTAAACTAGGAATCTTGAAAAAGAATCTCATTACTTGATTTTTTGGATCCATTTTCGAGGTATTAAAAAAATTAAGTTGGAAAAAAGTAGTTAATTGAGAAAAAGGAAAACTTGGTATTTCCATCATGGTTTTATACACTTTTGAATATACGTGGTTGTACACAAACACTTCGTGTAACGTTGGGTTGCGAATTCAGGTTTTGTAACTTCTAGACAATCCTTAAGGCAATATGTAAATTTGTGAATGCTTACTCTTTAATATATGTATATGATAATTTTTTTACCTCAAAAACTACACATAGTGATAAATTAACCCATATATTTATTTGAATAGGTATGTTCCGATTTTTCGAATTACACCAAAAATTTAAAAAACCGAACACTACCCAGAACGTAGAATTTCCGAGTGATCATGGATCGAGGAATCGTACCTCAAGGTAACGATTGTAATATTATTGAAGCACTGTGGCTTCTTGTTCCACTAAATATATATCAGCTGTCTGCCATTTAAATCTTTAGAAGTGCAATTAAAACTGACCATTATGACTTATCAGATTTTATCCTAATGTAAATAACGTAGACTCAAAAAATATGGCAAGTGTAACCCAATGGAAAAATGTTTATTCATTTTAAAAGTTGACGTTTCTAAAGCTATGTAGAAAAATCATAGACTTCAGATGATCGAATCATTTCACAAGATAGTTAAGGTAGCTATCCCACAAAAAAAATCTCTCTCTTTTGAACACGTTCCTTGTGTCGATCGCCGATGCAAGTAGAAGGCGGATTAAACTTTTTACCATGACTACCTTTTATGGTCTTGATTTGTTCTTTTTTGATCTTTCCCAGTCTGTATTAATCAGCCGGCGATTTTAAGAAAGGAACCTTCAGAAAACTTGTAACTGCCGATAGACATGATGTTTGATCCAGTAAACTAAGTTTTCGAGCGAACATTTTCTGGAATACTTACATAGTTACGTCATTGCCACCCGATAATTAAGAAGCGACACAAATAACCTTAATGAGGCTTCATCCGCGCCCGACCTCCTTGATCATATTTTCTTTGCTGTATGATCGATGCACTTTTCTTCAAATTAGAAACGACATTACGCAGCAATTATCCATACGCTCAAATATGAATATTACAGTAACCACGATGTAACAAAAGCTATTACAAATAGTCATTGAAGCGTTTAGGTTTTGTTTATATTGCCAATTATACGAGTAGTATGATCTGTATTAGTTACATATGAGTTCCAAATATCATTTTGCTTACACGCGTACTGCAACAGCCTTGTATCTGAAGTTTCTATAATGGTGAGACGATGAAGAGAAGTTCATATTATTGCTTTTTAAAGTGCAAATGAATTTTATGTGTTTATACGTAACTCTCTTTGGCTTGTAACAAATTATTGTTTATGTCTGTCTATAGTTGATCTCAGCTGCTATAAGTAAATCCACAAGCTTATTACCGACATTTAAGAAAACAAGATCCTGAAAGTTCTGCTATGTTTAATTCACATGATAAAGATAGAAATGTGGAAAAAAAAATATTATGTGATAAAAAACATACATTACCATAATTATTTGATAATTACACTACTTGGTTTTATTGGATAAAGGCTCCCAGCTAATATATATGTGTTTATATTGTCCAAGAAAACTCAAAGGTACTGATATTACTTGATTTATTTGTTTGTTACTCTGCTTAAAGAAAAAATATAAGATAGAAGTGCGTGGGGGTCTTTCTGTTTTAATTTGACAACAGTTGCTTTGAAATATTTATTATGTTAAACCAAATACGCATCCTTTGTATGGTACTGATGTGCTTCGACTACCCGGCATCTGGACTATTCTTTCATAATCACTTGACCAATCTTCACGTTTCCAAAAGGCAACACAATGCCGTGAGCAATGATTATCCTGTTCTTGGTGCCAAATATGGTCCTTTTTTCATGAAAATGCCAATGGACCATTTCGACGAAACAAATTCAAAAAATTTTAACAATAGATTTTGGGCTAACACAGATCATTACAAATCGAAGGGGCCTCTCATACGTACGTAGTATGTTTTTGTTTTGAAATAATGCTAATATAATCTAATAGTGTATAATGTTGGGGAATCCGCAGCCGATGATTCTGCTATTTTGGTAATTTATTCCGCTATGGCTCAACTAGCTGAAAAACTGAACGGGGTTGTAGTTGTCATGGAACACAGATTTTACGGTGCTTCAGGACCAAATGTGACATCTTTTTTCGTAAGTACACCACCATTAGTTCTACTGTATATTAATGAAACTGTGTAGAATCATACTAAAGAAGACCTTTTAACTTTCAATGTAAAGCAGTCAATTGCTGATATGGCGTATTTGGCAAAACATATCAAAGTAAGCTTATCATTAAACGAATTAGGTTCGATTAATAACTGTTATACAATAGTTTCACAACGTGAATATTCCCATGGTTCCTCAAACTAAGGTTATCGTGTATGGATGCAGCTATAGTGGTGCTTTAGCTGCTTGGGCAAAAGATACCTATCCCGATTTATTCTTTGCGGCTGTCTCTTCTTCTGCCCCCGTCCAGGCTAAGATGGACTTTTTCGAGTATTATGTCCCGATTATGCAGTTCGGTCCTAAGCACTGTATCCTTGCTTTGCAGAATGTTATAACTTATATCGATAGAATCTTGTTCGCAAATTCAACAAAAGACATTTTTGCTTTAAAAAAGATATTCAGTGCACAGAATCTCTTGGATGAATCATTTGCTGAATGTAAGTTCTCACACATAAGCTATATCACAGATACTCATACCTAGATACTTATTCTCGTAATTAGTACTGATGGGTAACATTGGCGGAAGTTGGCAATACGGCGTAAATTCTAGCGGCAACGAATTTGAGGAGACGGTGTGTAAATACTTTCCAAATCAAAACACAACATACGACGATACTATCGCACATAAGAACTTGATCTCCTACGCAAGATATGTCAATAGTTATTCTGCCGATGTTTATTGCAGACATGGCGCTATCAGTTTGGATAAATGTCTTGTAGAATCAAATTTTACGATTAATGATCTTACACATGTCTCTGACACGACTGCTGCTTGGACATGGCAAACTTGTTGCGAATTGGGATACTTTCAAGCTTCACCACCGCCTAAATTACCAACAATTGTTTCCCGAAAATTTAGCTTAAATTATTTCACCACAATGTGTCAACAGTATTTTAAAAAGTTTGGTGTGCCTGCAACTCCTAATATCAACAGTGTGAACGACAAATACAAGGGGTGGAATATTCAGCTGAACAACACAATTTGGATCGATGGCGAATGGGATAGCTGGAGAGAGCTTAGCGTTAATGCCGTTAGTCATAAACGGAAGACAGACGAAAGTACGAAACAAGTCTCTATCATCATCCCGAAATCAACACACTGTCTGGTATGTAAATTAAAGTGAACGACAAGCACAAATTAATTCATTTCTTTTTTTTTTAAAAAAAAACAACAACAGAATGTTGGGGCAATAACTGAAAAATCACCCCAGCATATTAAGGACGCATTTACACAACAACATCAAACCCTAAAACGTTGGCTAGCAGATGAGCACTAAAATATTTTAACCAATATCAAATAAACCTTTTTGCACTATATTTTTTTACAGTTTGATCTTTAATCCTTTATTCGGCCTTACGAGCAGCAGCTTCACGCTCACGCTTACGCAAAGCTCTCTTACGAATATCCTTTTGGATATCTATACAGATACTTATTAGCTCTTGTTGTTGTTTTTTTTTAAAAAAAAAGCACTTACTGTCATTTTGAGTAACCCAGAATTGGTTAGTGAGCAGGTTGTTAATTGCCCAGTTGACAACACCATGCATGGGATAAGGAGTTGAAGTAAAAGGAACATTAGCACCACATGGGACACCGACTTTGGATAAGACACTGGCGACATAGTTCTTAGCGGTAGGGATTAAGAGAGAGGGCTTACGAATCTTACTCATAGCAGAGACGACAAAGTAGGTGTTAACATGTTCAACAACAATTCCATCTTTGGCAACCTCAGTGCCTAAAGCTTGAGACCAGGTAGACAAAAATGCCTTACCGGCAGAGTAAACAGATAAATAAGGGGTGGGAACTAAACCAGCGAAAGAACCCATATTGAAAATAAGACCCTTGTGGCTATTGATACATGTTAACAGACCAAATATAAAAGAACCCACGTTAGTTCTACTTACTTTGCTTTCATTTGGGGAAGGACGAGCTTGGTCATCTTCATAAGACCTTTAATATTGACTTCAATGATGTTGTTGATGATAGTGTCATCTTCTTCTACAAAAGGTGTGGGGATATCGTGATTGACACCAACATTGTTTACCAAAACACCAACCTTGATAGAATCAATAATCTCTCCAACCTTTTTAAAATCCTCGGCATCGCCCTTAGTAAAATCCATAGCGAAAGTCTTAGTTTCAACACCGAATTGTTCAGCTATTGGAAAAAAACTTTAACGAAGCAGTCCCATCATCTTCCCATTAGACACTTACAGATATCCTTGGCGGCAGCTTCCAACTTAGAAGCAGTGCGAGAAATTAATAAAACGTTGAACTTCTTTTTGGCAAGTTGCAAAGCAAATTCTTTGCCAATACCATCAGTGGCACCCGTAACAACTAATCAATGCGGCTTAAAATCAACTTTCATTCCCATTATCTATCCTGTATAAAGTTACCTGCCCATGCACCTTCACCTGCACCAAACTTCTTGAGCTAATTATAATGTTAAAATGAAGTTTGAAATGTCGTGTCTGCCACACTTACAGAAACACCACTAGCAACAAAGGTGTCGAAAAGAGTCTTTAAAAGTGTTAAGAGCTTGAAACCAATGAAAGCTGCACCGATAGCAGCAAAGACGGTAACTGAAGTGCACTCAACCATTTTTTAAAATAAGTAAACAAAAGAGATTATTTACAAAAAGAGAAATACCTCTATTTATACAAGATCCGATATCATTAGCCAATGGCCAAGTTGATACCATTTTTTTTAAAAGATCCGTGGTATCGTCATCTTTACGCTCATTGGACCAATCATTAATAATATGTATATTCTTGAGAGTACATGTTCCGTGTTATTACACATGCTAGAACCTCATTTATAAGACGAAACACTATACAATGGCCAACTCATCATTGCCCCAAAAACCCAAAAAAGCAAGCATTTGCAAATAATAAACCCCCGCTTGTCACACGCCTATCATTCGTAAAGTAGTGGCTTGTTAATCGGATTATCATCTGCAAGTTACCCTAATAAGTTTTTGCATAAATCTTGAATTAAGCTCACATAAAACACTCGATCACGGTTACGGCTTATATACTTCTTTCAGTTATTCAATCTTTACGAGACTACCTACGAAATTAAAGCCTGGAAGAGATCTAATAGTCAAAGGAATCCTGAGATCCTGAAGTCATAAATCTTATCACTGAATCTCTGGTAAAAAATATTAAGGTCGTCTCTTGTTTGTGCTATTTCGCAACTTTTATTTCTTATTTGTGATTTAAGTTTTTTTGAAGGACGAATTATTGCCATTAGATTGCAAGCATGTATTTCAGTTATTTAGGAGCCTGTGAATGCGCTGCTTTTATAAATTCTACAGATGATCGAATTTTTATGCACTAAATATTCATAAAAACGATCTAGAGCAAATATAAGTCTTCACAGTAAGTGACAAGTAGCGCACGCTAAACGACAAACTCGAGCCAATAAGAATATCACTTACGACCTATACATATATACAAAGTAGGATTATGCTTCATGCGCACAAAATTGGACGTTGAAATTGATCTAAGCCCGTTTTTATATAGTGCTTAGATATCAGTTTCTTGTAGGCATTACTAGCTCAGAATTTGTATCATAATAGGCGGCACTATTTGCGAGAAAAAATATGTACGACACTGCTTTTTGGAATGGCGACAGTTTAAATTTTGTTCATACGAGATCATTTGGGCAAAAAGGTGTACATGTGCTCAATCTTTTTGACATCTTACCACAGAGTTTGTAAGTTTTTGTTATTACACCGCGTAAAGAAAATTAGCCCTTAAAACAATGTCAAGCGCCAAAGCGTTATCTATAACGCTGCTCATTAATTTTATGCCTAAATAAAACACAGGATGTTAAAAGCTAAGCAATTGCAAAAAATCATACAGTCATTGTGTAAGTATTAAGTCTCTAAGATGGCGTTGAATGGTTATGAAATACATAAGGCTATAGGACTGCTGAGACATCATTCGCTTTATTGCTTTTGAAACTGAAATTATGCTGTTCTTAACCCATTATTCGATAGCACAGTAATGAAGGCCATTAGATCTATTGGAGCACCCCTAAGATTAGATTTTTTTTTTCGAATGGAGTATGATGACTCTACTTTACCATTGAACCCCACAAATAAAAAAATAAAATACCTTACTTTCGGTGCTATAAAAAAGTTATTAGGCTCAATCTCGATTTTTGTTTTCTTTAAAGTACGATACGCCTATGGATTTACACCATTCAACGGTGATTTCGGCCGAATCCGGCCTCCATGGCTTACTAAATTGAGTCCCGTTTTTTTGTGTTGTTCCCTACCCATACCTCTGGTTGCCTTCTTAGCCAATAATGGCCGTCTATTCTAAGATATAAAGGCCCTTTGAAATTATTGTCAGGTATCTTCCGCTCAATTGATTTCTTGGCGGGATAGGATTGCTTTTAAATTTAAAGTTGCACAGAACAACATGTGTACTACCCGGTTTTCACAATTATATATAACTCAAGAAAAAAAAACAGATAAAGAGTATTCTCTTTCTCTCCTTTCTCTTTGTTTATCACTTTTTTTATTTGCATTTCCTTAATTAAAAATGCCTAGAGGCGACGTATTCTTAAACGATGGGCAAAACAAGGCAATGTTTCTCTTCCATTACATACCCAACAAACCTTTGGCCTATACTGCTTTGGCAGTCTATGCGCTATTCACCATCTATCTGACGTTCCGTGTATACCGATCTAAAAGTCCCAAATTTCTGTACATTTTGGCCTTTACGGGCCTCATGGAAACTATTGGTTACGTGGTTCGAATTATTTGTGCTAATTTTACTGATCTGGGCAGATATATTGGAACTACACTTTTTATTCTTTTGGCACCCAACGCATTAGCTCTCGTCAATTACAAAGCAGTAGGGGAAATCATTCGTTTGTCTAACGTCGAGACCGATAAATTCTATCTTCGCACCAAATTCGTGACATGGTTCTTTTTTGGCAGTGATATATTTTCATTTGTTTTACAGGGTGCCGGTGGTGGTATGCAAACAATTACTCGATTGAATAATGTGGGTATTGCTATCACGCTTGTGGGTCTTGGTACACAATTATTCTTTTTCGCCGCTTTTGCTTGCATTACTGTCTATGTACATCGTCGTCCCGAATATAATTATCATGTAGAAGGATCACCCAATGCCAAAAGAAATCTGGTTTATTGTCTTTACGTTACCATAGCTTTGTTATATATCCGGTCAATTTATCGTGTAGCCGAATATGCTACCGGATACAGTGGTCCAATTGCTAGATTAGAGTGGGCTTTTTACGTTTTCGATTCATTGATTATTGCCATCAGTTTCCTCGTATATAGTGTCTTTTTCATCGGTAATTATCTTCCTAAACACGATGCTGTCCAATTATTCGACGATAAAGTGTCTGTCTCTCCATCAAGCTCAACAGAAAATGATGATCGAGATGTCGAACTTAATAAATACTAAAAGCTTATATTTTAAACTACTCTCAAATACACTAATATCATTTAACGTTAAATAATAATAGCAATGTACACTTGTTGTGCTTATTTTTATTTCGCGGGTTTCATGGAAACTTGTCATATGTACTCATTTCATGAGCCGTATAAATATGATAGCTTTCAATGGCAATTAGGCAAGTCTGTTCAAGTTTATACAATTATATTTGTATGCAGTAAGTTTTCGTGAAACGATCAAACTATACATTTAATCCGTTTTTGAAATGGTCGTTGTATACGCGTCATTTTAATTTCCAAATGAAGACCATCGGTACGACCACATTGGCGCTTTTTTTCTCTAAGATCTTGGATAGAATTGGTTTATACCGCGCATCTTAAGTTCTTAATTCGGATCCTATGCCGTATCGTGATTGCGAGGAGTTACAGCGCAGTCCAGATTGAGAGTATATAGATACAGACTATCGAGACAAACGTAGGCTGTAGATGTGAGATAATGTATTTACCTTATGTATCAGACTCTCTGGAGTATTCAATAGTTTATATATGATTAAAGTCGGCCATAGACTTGAGCAGATGACTTTGATCTGGATTGTTCGGAATTCCAACGTTTGCATAGATGGGATTGGTAAATTTTATTAAATGGTCAAAAAATAATTCTACTATTAACGCAAATGTGATTTAAAACTTTTGTTTATACTTTTTATAGGAATGATCAGACAAGAGATTTGAGTAACTGCACCTAATATTTACTTGACTTTATTCGTTCTACGAATGATTCAAATCATGCAGTTCTGCATATAGATATACCATTGTCCTGAAATAAACTTAGATTGTTGTCCAATAGTTTATCTCTTTTTTTATGGGATGACCATTTGTCTAATCGAACATTGTTTGTTAATAAAACAAAAACAAAAGTTTCAAGGATAGAAAACTTATTGTAGAATAGTGTATTACATTAAATTAAAATAGTCAATAACAAATTGTATTTTAAGTGCGTATTTATTATGTCTTGACTGTAAATACATGGTATGCAATACTAACGATTTATCAGGTTCACCAATGTTTGATATATCCAGCAGTTTTATTATTGTAGATGTAGCTGGGTGCAAAGACAGAGGATTAACTTCTACAAAGCCAGTTGAGAATTTTTAACTGACGGTGTACAAATGAGCAGAATTGACCGACAGTCACTTTTTTTTCCTTGCCTTTTTCACCATGTCTAATATTTATGCTTTAGAGCCACATACAAAGTAATGAATAGTAAAACAACGATTAGCAAAAAAAAAAACTAACATTTAATGTAATAGTGCCAAAGTGATTTTACATACCACTTCAGGTGATATCGAAATTGAATTGTGGGGAAAAGAAGCGCCACGCGCAACACGTAATTTCATCCAACTTTGCCTGGAAGGATATTACGACAATACAATCTTTCATCGTATTATTCCTGATTTTCTTGTGCAAGGAGGTGATCCCACAGGCACTGGTCAAGGTAATGTAAGTATTTGTGATGTTAAACAACAACTAATACTTTCCTTTTAGGTGGCGAATCGATTTATGAGGAAGGTTTTCCAGACGAATTTCACTCCAGATTAAGATTTAATCGACGTGGTCTTGTTGGGTTAGCTAACACGGGTCAAGATGACAATGGATCCCAATTTTTCATAACTTTGGACCGTGCCGATGAACTCACTAAGAAACACACCATGTTTGGTCGTGTCGCTGGTGATACTTTATTTAATGTGATGAAAATGACTGAACTCGAGGTTGATGAAAACGAAAGACCTCTATATCCTCCACGTATCAAGAGCACAGAGGTTGTGCTCAACCCATTTGAGGACATCATTCCCCGTATCACTGCACATGAAAAGAAGGTGGCTAAAATGATGGAGCAAAAGAAAATGGAAGCGGAACTAGCAAAAAAGAAAAATAAGGGTCAGAAAAAGTATGAGCATGCCACAAAAGTAAGATAGGATTATGATTTTTTAATCGCTTTTTTTTTTATTTTATTACAGACAATTAAACTTGTTATCATTTGGTGAAGAAGCAGAAGAGTTTGAAGCACCTGTCGAAAAAAAGGCAAAAATGAAAAGCACATATGATTTTATGGAAAATGTTGTACCTACACCAACGGATTTGCTCGAGGAACTGAAAAAAGAGCCTGAGGTCCAGAAAGTAGTTGTGGAAAAGCAAAGTATTCAAGAGAGATTAAAGGAAAAGGTTAAAGCTTCGGACGAAAAGAGAAAAAGAGCCATAGCAGAGGAGGAAGAGAAGGCCGCTAAAGTAGTGGCCACGCCTTCAGAAGAAAGATCCAGTGCTATCGAGAAATTAAAGCAAGATATTCGAAACATCTCTAAAGTTGAAGAGGAAGCTCCCGTTCAGAAAAAAGAAAAGAAAAAGTCGCTTGTAGAACAGGAACGTGAAAAATATGCAACCAACAAAAAGACCAAAAAGAAGGCTTCTGATAAAGTAGATGATAGCGATGTAAGTGCAAGTATTCGGTTTAATTCTTCGGACACTCATAAAGCAAACTATAGGTCTTCAATCAACTCATGGCCTTCACAAAGAAAATTTCAACTGCTAAACCTCAGTCCAAATCCACAGACAAAAAACAAGAAAAAGTCTGCAAACTGCATGATATTCCTAATTGTGAATCTTGTTTTGATATCAGCGGACAGGAAGCAGATGAGACGGATGAGGGTTGGATTTCGCATAAACTTGTATTTGACAAAGATTTGAAGGGTAAAGATTTAATGCAACGAAAAGAAACGGTGGATGATTATGTTGTGATTGATCCTAGAGACAGAGAAGCAAAAGCAAAGCAGGAGGAATATGAGAAAAAGAGACATATCAAAAGTAAAGTAGGCCCTGCATTTAGAAAGAGAGAAAGAGAGGAGGACGATACTGGTAGAAAATATAACGATCCTTCTAGAAGGCGTGACGATAATCATAGGCGTGACGGTTATAGTAGACGGGACGACTACAGCAGACGGGACGACTACAGCAGACGTGACGATAGAGATGGCGATGGTAAAAGATCAAAACGATAAATAAACCTGTACATATCTTATTTGCCTTCAAATGCTAGACCCTGTTTTTTTTGAAATAGACTTCATCCTTCTTTTATTCAAAAGATCATAATTTCTACAGGCAAAAAAAGGGAGATGATTTGTTGCTTTCTGTAAGCTTAGGTTGTGATTTATATTGAAAAATGTAGCTGTAAAAGATGAAATGAGAGCAAAAACAACTACTTTAAAAAAGGTATATGAACATTTTGAGTCAAGATGGTGACTATTTACGTATTAATTGTGTATTGGTGATGGGGGTTGGGGCTCTTTATACTGTGAGAATACTAAAAAAAAATCTATTAATCCTTTTTATCCTTTCCCTTGTCAGCCTTCGCAGATTTGTTGGATGATGATTCACTAGATTCTTCATCTACTTGGTCAATATTACGCTTCAAGCTTTGTTCATCATTAGAAGAGCTGCATGAAGGTGTTGTATTATTTGAGAGTGTTGATTTAGGTTTTGCAGCTGCAGTATTATTGGTATCAGTGTTCGAATTTCTCGTATCTACACTTGGTGCAGGAGTTCTTATGGCTTCTGTATTTCCACGAGGAAATATATAGGAAGGTAATGTAGTGGGTGGTCGCGGGGACGCGTTTGGTGGTGTTGTTGTTATGGGAGTTCGTCTCGAATCGATATCAGCGCTTGCCAAAACCGAGCCCAAAAAATGATTGATCAAGCTCATGCCCTGTACGATTCTAGACATGTTCAATACACGTCGACTGGTATTCCTTTCTTCTTCGCCTGTTTGATTCTCTTGTCTCAGGCTGTTAGCAACTTCTCTCATGCGAGGTGCAGCTTCCGTCATCAAATCTGCTAACTCATTCAAAACCATACCGATTTGTGCAGACTGATTATTTCCACTAGTTCGAAGTCGGTTTCGGATTTCCTGTAATTGTTCAGGTGTTGAGTTGGGCGCAGAAGAGAAAATACTAGTCTCTGGAGCGATTTATAATAGTTAGTTTCCACAAGCTTTTTCACGTGAACTCCATTACCTTCATTGTTTGCGGAATCTTCCAACATTGTTCTCACGTTTCTCATGGAGCCTAATGTTCTTGCCAATCTAACCTCAACACTTGGCTACCATACAAATAAAATTAAGTTTAACTTTTATAAGAATCTTGCAGTTTTAAATACCAAGTTAATTACCGGAAATGGGAGGCCTGCTGCGACTCGGTCAGCAAGTGGTGTAGACGCAATAGGTGAAGCTAACTCGGAAAGACTATTTCTACTTACACTGAATCCAAATGGTCCTCGATTACCTGGTGTTGGTAAGGACGTTCTTCCGGTCTATTATACCCCTTTTGTTAATAACAATTCTTTTTTTACCCCCTCCCCTTTTTTTATATAAAATTACTTGGTTATCTGCATTATTGGTGTTCGTAGTTGTAGTAGTAGCTCTGGTTCTATTCGCACCATTTCCAGTAAATCCATTTAAGACAGATGATAATAACTGTGTATGATATATATGTATATTAGTATTTGTATATATCGATATATTATTCGGTTAACATACAGATTGATTATCACCAAGATCAGCAAAATTTGAGTCAAGTGTTATAAAAGCATATCCTTCCATCGTTGGGAATCTGCCAGATATAGCTGGAAATGTACGTGATCTTCCGTTCGGCGAAGCTCTATTGAATGTATGACGAATATTCGCTCCAGGGTTGGGGTCGTCTAAATAATAGTATCTATTTAGCTTCACTAACACACTTTTCGACATACAAAAAAAAAAGGTTACCATTCATGGGATTATGAGGTGCATCAATAGGTCGAATGACTAGATGAATAACCTTTCCATTATCCAAATTAGCTAAAAAAACAAAAGAAAGTGAGTCTTTTCTGTTTTAGGACACACATCTATTCACTGGTTTACCATAATCTGTCAAGTTTTTGTCATCTTTTAATACACGGCCTTGAAAGATAAGGCGCTGTCTGTTAGAGTCGACATCAAAAGCAACTTGAATTTCATGTTTAAGTTGCAAAACCGAAGCATTTCGAGGAAGGGTAACAGAAGTTGTACGTTGTTCAAGCGACTTGATTTGCAACGCAATTTGTTCTAATGTACCTGGTCTAGGAGTCTCTGGGCGTGTCTCTGTATTCTCTGCCATGGGTAATTGTATATAAAATAGATGAATGAAAAGAAGAGGGAAACCCAAGTTTCTTTTTTTTTCTTGCTTTCTCGAACAAACGTCACGGGCATTAAAAACGAACGAATAATAGGAGGGGTGCAGAGCAAAATGATACGCTTTTTGTTTTTTTTGCTGCCTGCAATTGTATCTCCACCCCTCCTTGCATTTCGATAATGGATAATGCCCACAAAAGTTGTCGTTATTATTTTAATTTATACCAAGAAATATAGGCGCATTGCTCTAAGGGAAGATCTCTTTTGTATCTTAAAAGAGACCCTTTTTTTCTTTCACAGAGATATCAAGTAATATAGAAATAATTTTTAATGCATGTGTATACTAACGATGCCCCTTGTGCTCGCCAAACATCTACATAGTATCCAGATAGCAAGTGGCCAGTTTTTAATTATTGTTTAAACTGTGATAATCCCTACTAAACATTGGATTCTTTCCTATTCCATTTGTCTTCTTTTCTACTCCTGCATAGTTTATAAACAACGGGTATAAAATAGCCTCCCCTTTTCCTTAAAAGTCCAATTTCATTGTCAAATCATGACTAATGCATCTGTTCATGTCACACACAATGTATTATAGAATAGTTTATTTATTAAGATATATTATTTTTTTTTTTTTGGGATGGGAAAGGCGTTATTAAAAGGAGTGGGTATTTAGGTGTAGCATATTTTTATAAAAGGAGTGAAAAGAATCTACGAGTCTTACTTTGGTGACTCGATTTGTTGGAAGGCGGCGTTGTGCCTTGGTTGGGGATAATGGGTTCTCGATCAATATTAAATGAAAGTCGAAGATCGGGTAATTTAGAAAACTCGAGGTCGTCAAATGTATCGGGTATAGCATTATTATTGTTAATCACGACCAGCGTGTTGTTATTCATTTTTTTATAGTCGGCCGTGCTGTATTCTTCAACTGTTGTGTGTTGTTCAACAGGCAATGTCGCGTGATCTTCGGAAGCACTCGTGTTACGTCGTTTTGCATAGCGTGCTATCTCTTCGTTTTTAAAGGTCACTTCGGCAGTTGCATCTCGAGCAAAATTGGGCTTGGTCACCTCGTCGTCCAAGAAAAAGCTGTCTACATTGGATAGCATACTGACGCTTCCGCGCTTACGTGCTGGTTGAAACAATGGTGGCGTTTGAGCTACATCAAGATCATCTTCTTCCTCATGAAGTTGAGGTTGGTAAAAGCCATCTTCATGATGTGATTGCCTTGAGTACACTCTACGCGACACCTGCTCATAATCCAAGTATTTTTCATTGGTGAATGAGTAACCGTCAAAGATATCCTGTATATCCTCGGCAAAATCAATTTCGGATGAAATGGGAGTGAGTTGTGGAGTCATGGCCAAGAAATCAGGATCAAAATTAGTGAAATCCAATTCATTTTGCACAGGAGGCAAATAAGGGGGATGCAGTCGTCGATTTCTGATATCATCCCATGAGATATCCGCAAAATACACGTGATCTTTGATATCGTCCACACTTTGCGCTCCCAATCGTGTACGTGGGTCACGGTCCAGAATGTCCGAGATAAATTCCGCAGTTTCATAATCAAAGATATCGGCTGGAAACTCCAGTGGGTCTTCAAGCACACGTCGGTACATGTCAGCATGATTGTCTGCCCAAAAAGGCGTAATTCCTGCCAACATCTCATACAAAATCGTGCCAAAACTCCAATGGTCAATACCAAATGAGTAAGAGTCGCCTAGTAGGACTTCCGGGGCTAAATATTCCGCCGTACCGCAAAATGTTTGTGTTGTATAATTGTCTGCTGCAGTTAACCATTTACTCAGGCCAAAATCCGTTAGAATGATATGACCATCACCTGTCAATAAGATATTCTCGGGCTTCAAATCCCGGTAAAGAATACCGAGACTATGCAATGCACCGATACCATCAATGATTTCAGCAGCATAAAATAAAGCACACTCTTTGGGAAATGAGTACAGTTTAGCCATATGCGTAGCAAGGTCTCCACCGCAATAGTAATTTGTCAACAAATACAGTCGATGTTCGTCTTGAAAGGACGTATGGAGTTTGGCGAGATATGGGTGATCCAGTTCAGACAGCTTCGTCAAGATATTCCGTTCATCGAGTGTATGTGTAATCTCGCGTTGTTCAATCACGTGCTCTTTAATGATTGATTTTAAAGCGTATAATTCCTCGGTTTTTCGGGATCGTACCAGGAGTACCTAATCAAAAGAAGAAATTAGTTCTTTTTTTATCATCTATAATCTAATTGAAATATTACTTTTCCCATGCATCCTTTTCCCAGCACTTTAACCATCTCCAAATTTTCAAGAGGGAATTCGTATTCGAAGCCATCGATATCTGTATTGTCTTTGGGCAAGATGTTCATCAAATCGTCATCATCAAATTCTTCTTCCTCTTCTTCTTCTGGTACGTAACCTTCTATTTCGCGAGGGCTATGGTTACTGACGTTGCTATGACGACTGGCGTTGCTATGACGACTGGCGTTGCTACAATGACTAATATTTCTGCTTCGGCTGATGCTACTGCGTCGTCCAAAGCTACTACGTCGACTAATGCTGGGTGGACGACATACATTCTGATGACGGCTGATACTACTTCGACGACTTAAGCTTGAGCGACGGCTAGCGTGACTGGAGCGACGACTATGGACAGAATTGGATAAACTTATGACAGATGGGTGAGGACTGGGAACCCAAACTTTACCGATTTCGATACTGCTATCAATGACATTGTCATTAGGTGTAGACCCGATTTGATCATAGGACTGAGAGGGGGAAGGGTAGGCGTGAGATTTTTCGTCCCCATCTCGTTGTGGCGACAAAAAATCACGTAACAAGGTGGATGCGCTTAAAACAGGATCTAAAGCACATCTGTAAAGATATTTCTCGACTTTTTCGGCATTCGATTTAATAGACAGGTGGAAAAAATTGCGTAAACTCTTTCTTTTCTCCGATTTGGATAATGATTCTGTCAATGATGGAAATGGGATCTTGATCTTTGGGTAATGTGTTTTGACCTAGATAGATTTGATTTTAGTCATTCTATTTTTGTGTTAAAATATAGGCTATTGATAATTTACCAGGTGGTCGAAACTGAAAAGATCAGGAATGTATCGAATGACATAGAGCTTGTACTGAGTAGTCTTTACAGTAATATTAAACTCCTACAGAATTAACGGGTGGTTTAAATTACATAATCATCTTCTGTTTGTTTGTTTGTTTTAAGAATTTACAGGCACGGTTTTCCAGGATTCATCAATAGAGTCTTTTACGACAATAGGATATTCGGTCACTGTAATATCGTAAACTGTATTCATGATGAATTAAAAACGTGCTGTGATTGGATCTCCGTTCTTTTTTTTGGTTTTTGTGTGTGATTTTTTTTAGGTTGTTCGTTGGATCTTTTGTATCTATTGTGAGGTGAGTCAATATAAAGCTGGATGCATGTAAGAGGGGGAAAAAACTTACATAAATATTTAAAAAAAAAAAAACTTTAATTTTTTTTAGTAACAGTTTATTCTTGCTTGTTTATCAGTCTTTACCTAAACCCAAGTTTTTTTAAAAAAAATAATATTTTGGAAGATAAGTGTTAGGCTTTACGAAAGGAGAAGAAAGGGAGACGAGAAATAAAATAAAAAAGAGAGAAGGGAGAGAAAGAGAAAGAGAAAAAAGAAAAGGAAAAAAAAAAGTTTCAAGATATTCGGAATGATAATATTTCTTGCACCACATGCACTTTAACCAAAAAATTTGATTGTTGGCCTTTATGTGACACAACCAATAAATATCCAGAGCAGGCAAAATTGTTGTATGGAAGAAATAGAAGGATGTTTGAGTATGTACAGTTGTATGTGGTTATAATATGCTCGGTCACAACGCTGCGATACTAGTTGTACTTGCGCTACTCGTGGTATTTGCGTTACCTGCGAAGCTCGCTGCATTTACCGTACTTCCAACAGATAATCCTCTGCTCTCACCTTAGGGTGAAACGTTTTAGGGGTTCTTTTTAGTCTTGTAATAAGCATGTATTAGCCAAAAAAAAAGGAACTTTTTTTTATCATGATAATTTAAGAATTTGCACTCCTAACTTCAAATGTTGCTTATGGCCAATTTTTTTTAAAAATAAAACTTTAAACGCCAAGAAACTTGAGACTTTATTCAAAGACAGATTCGGATCTTAATGGCGATCGTGATGTCTTCACCATCATGCTGATCTCCCAGGTAAATTGCTTTTTAAGGAACACAAAGGGCAAAAGGTGCTATAACAACATCTATGGATAATTGCGTTCCAACGTTGAATAACAGAATTTTGGGTTATACCAAATACGTTGAAGTTATATGACCATGAAAAGCTTACACGTACGTGTGCATTTGTGTGTTTTACATAATGTCTACACGTAAAGGTCTTTTAACCCATGTGACGCGTTCTTTTATATGTAAGATGCTGATTCACTGACAGACGACTGGTATGGCATACGAGGTATGTGCATTAAAATATACTCTAAGTATTCAGATTGATCAAGGCAGTACATCTTGCTTTTTCTTTGTAGGTAGAGGAGAGAATAAGTGTTTCTAGGTTAATATCCTGAGGTGTAGAAATCTCTACTTCTTCATTTTTATGGCACACCAGCTCTTGATTAAATTTAAAAACTTTTTCACACTCCCGTACTTTCCTTTCTGGATGACAAGTATTATGGAAAGACTTATTGATAGAGAATTATCATTCCCATTGAAAAAGTAAACCCCATGTTAAAAACTGACTTCCGATAAATGAGAATAATCCTGCTCTGATTTTCGTGGGACATTAATGATCTTACATCTGCATATAGTTATCTTTGTAGATGTAGCAAGGATTTAACCCAAGTTTAATGCTTTATGTCTGGCCTGTTTCTCTTTACAAAACATCGCTTTTAATTAGGTGTATATATATATATATCTGTAGACTATACCTTGTGGTGTGCTTGCGATAAATTGGGCATTCTTTGCATTCTGAAAACAAACATGTCTACAAAAACTGCCGTGAACACTTGTTAAAAGGCAACATGTATAAAAAATAAGCATAAAATAATTAATTGATACTTTTTGGCTGCTCGTAATGGTTAGCAAGTATTTCCAAATTCATCGGTTTGCTAGCAAAAGACTTTTACAACAAACGCCTACAAATAAAATTACAATCGAGGGATACCGTTTAGATATATTTATAGCGCACATTGAATCCTGAGTTTCCAGCCTAGATCCAATCCTATATTTTATAATGAATTCCAATGTATCATCAGGTTGTTAATTTATTTTATACACAGCAGAAAAAACTATCATAATAGTTATGAATTGCTCATTGTCTTTTTTCCACTCTGTATGATACCATTGAACATGACTTCTTGTCAAAACGAACTAACAAGTCGAAAAACATATGCATTGTGCTGCTGAGAATTCAGAAACATTAGCCAGAAAAGCAAAATCTTTTGCCAAAAATAGGTTGCATCCATGGCGTACTTCAAGAAGTTTGGTGACTATCTGATTTGTTAACTTGAATAAAAAACATATTCAGATGATTATTTTAATGCCAACTTAGTTTTTTAAATAAAATAGAAAAATTGCTCAGATTTAAAAATCTCACAGTTGAATCAGTAATGTATCTGTTAAAGCATGCATATATGCTATGCTTTGGGATGGATGTTCTAACTGTAGACGTTTTAATGCAATACAAAAAAAAAAAGAAGAATATGTTAGCTCACATAGTTTACGTACCATATTTCAACTCATGCATTATTATTGTAATGCGTTACTTAAGAAAGTTTTCTGTCTCTTTCTCTCTAGGCGAGGTTTAACGAGAAGTGTTGAAGTCGTTTTTGCAAAGAAAAAATACGTTATTCTCTTTAGCTGAGTTCTTTCTTATTAGGTTTCTATAAATTTACGATAAAAGACAATAACAAACTAATATCTAATTTGATCTCCATCAGAACTAATGAAGAATTGCTTGGCAGTTTTGTATAATATCTTTTTTTCAAGGACACATTTTTAAATGACATCTTGTTAGTAGTTTTTAGTATCTAAGTTGCTCCTTTGATAGTGATAAATAATACAAAATTATTTAATAGCTTTTTGGGTAATACCTGCCATTTCTCCTTTGAACAACAATAGATAGAAGCCTCTCATAAGCGTTTTTTATTTATTGTTACACTGTGTGATGATAAATGAAACGATTAAAACTTAAATGGTGTACTACTGTTGTACATGTCTGTAAGAAGAATTTTACGGAAATCATATAGAAACTATATCGCTTTAATCAACAAATCTGCTGAAGTACATAGGCACTTTGAAGGGGAGGGCGACATAGCCAAATTACTCTTATGCTGCTTATTAGTATACCATAATTAACTGTGACCCATAGTTAATTAGTATACGATATACTTATATTTAATTACGACTTCGTATAATACAATAGTGGTTGAAATGTTACACGCTTCCGTAACCAGCGAGATTCTAATCACATGTATGCAGTATTTCCTCATTTTTCTTTTAACTTCTTTCTTGCCAAAATATGTACATGACATAACATTTAAATTTAATTTCATATTTGCGTTCATTTTTGTTAAAAAAGCCTCCAACCTGCTATCAGCTACAAATTTACTCTTTTTTTTTTTTTTTTTTTTTTGCAAACACACATGAAGTTACACTAAATTAGTGAAACTATAAATTGCTTTTTGCTTATTCAGAACGTCAGAAAAAAATTGTTCCGTTCGATGAGCTCTTTTTCCAGCTAACGGGATATAATGAATGGTCATCTTTGCACCACCTGAATTCCACACATAGCACATTTTGTACAATGAAGGCACACGCTGATAAATGAGGAATTTCACTACATGGTCTTATCTCCCGTATCCCCTTACAGAAACTATTACCCTCTCTTTGCAGATGTCTACACAAATATGCATTTTGCACCTTTTTTTCTTATATCCCTTCCACCACAATAATAAAGGGGGGGGGTTGTTTATTTCCAAACTAAGCAAAATCTAGCCACTTTTTTGTTACACACATAATTCATCAACGGTTTCAATAGGTATCTCATGCGCGATTGATTGAGGTGTGACGAAGTTTTGATTATATTTACAAACACGTCAATGCACGTTATATAACGAATTTATTGCCCAGATTTATATGGAACTTTTGCGCATCCCACGTTTTAAGTACTATATATACTTCAGCTCGTGATGTTCTAGGTTTAGTCTTAAATAAACATCATGTCCTAAGATCCTTAGATATTACAAAACTCGCTCTCTAATTCACCAAATTCTTAACTCCGCAGTCAATTTTTTTTTTTTTTTTTTTTTTTTTTTGGCGCGCGTGGCTATGAAAGGAAAAGAGTAACCATGAGCTTGATCAGAAAATCACATGTGTGAGCTTATATATTAAAACTACATGATTATTTACTAATTAATCGTGTAATACATGTGAAATAATACTGCTGTGAGCGAAAACCTGTCGAAATGTTCCCAAATGCACATGGTATCTTTAGACCGAGAATTTTGGTGTACGGATGGTACAGCACAAAATGGGCGATTCTAACTTTTTCATTTTTGTTTTAAGAAAAGCTTCGATTAAAAAATCTGATAAAAAAGAAAAAGAAGTTGTACAGAATGTTTATTTTCCAATAAGCATCATTGGCATGCTATGCTAAAAAGAATAAGCGCTTTAAAGTAACATCATAATTATCTTAATTGAAGGATATATGCCATTATATATTCCTCTTTAATCTCTTTAAATCAATCCTTTTAAAATGTTACTGAACGTGTTAAAAAACCGAGTCAAAAGAGGTGAAGTGATAGATACAGAAACACCTTTTACAGGAGTAATTGAAGGTAACAAGTATGTTCTTGTTAAACGTATACAGAATTCTGTCCAGAACTTCATTGATGTATTCCCTAAATGCTTGAATAAAGAGTCTATGTAATCATTTTAATATTTGGTCAAATTATCTTCTTAACAATGGTAAATTGATTCCAAAACTTATAAAAATAAGTACATGTCAGTAAAGCCAAAGTGCATTTATAAGAAAAATAAAATTATGGATGTAATGACAAACAGCATTTGATTAAAAACCTTGCCCTTATGTATTTTCGCAATCAAAAAAAAAAAAAAAAAAAAAAGATGTATGAGCCATCTCTTTTGAGCTTGTAAAGGGATTCTATCAAGATACTCATTGTGATTCCGAAGAAAACGAGTATTGTTGTGTAAGGTGCAATGATTACTTGAGATTGTCTTAGCTGGTATCATTTGTAAACATGAATTAGCAAGGAGAAATGCAACATTTAGCGGTCTTTTCTGATAATGTGGCCTAAAGATTTATGGTTTGTATTTACAAGATAACAATTTTGAGTTAGCTGATTTGGCCTACTATCAGCCCAATATACGGTTTGTTGTATTGTTCATAACGGCACTGTTTTTCATGTGGACACAGGCAGTTGTCCATTTCCTCGCAACTTTTAAGTATTATGAGTCGTGGCACACTACCAAGTCACAATTCGACTTTTCCTAAAGGACTTAAATGAAGTAATCGATCAAAATCTGAAGACTTACAGTTTAGAAACTTGCTTCGGAATTACACAAATACAATCGGAGACCTACAAAAGGCAAAGTTGGGACAGTATGGTGGAAATGAAAATAAGGAAAACTAATAACCTTAAACGTTAGGTATAGGCGTAAAATATTATTTTTAGTATAATATCGGGATGTCCTTTTAAGCTTAATCTTGGGAGAGAAGTCAAATACAACAGAAGATCTTTAAAAAAGTCGGCCGTAATTTGACGTCGATATCAATAGTTGTGTAAAGTATTCCTGTTAGGTTTTATAAAAATCACTTTTGATAATCATTACTGCTGTATAACTTTTTTTTTCTTTACTGATTAAAATTATTAGAGATGTTGAAAAACGCAAGTAGCTTCCAAGATCATTATATTATGTCATAGTCTACTAAAAAGCTTAATGATTCGCACATCGTTTTGGTACAGGTACAATTTTGGCTTCTGGCCTCAAAGCAATGAGCCAATCATATATTCCGGTCGGATTAAAGCGGTGACGTTGACTTTTTTGTGTATAATTTTTTTAGTTGTCATTTTCAAATCTCTTCTCTCTGGGTTCAATAAAAAATTATACAAAATGAAGTTCATCATTAAAGGTGGTGTTTGGAAAAATACAGAGGACGAAATTTTGAAGGCTGCTGTTAGTAAATACGGCAAAAATCAATGGGCGCGTATTTCTTCTTTACTTGTTCGAAAGACACCAAAGCAATGTAAAGCTAGATGGTATGAATGGTTAGATCCCAGTATCAAAAAGGTAAACCAAAGCCTATTTTTTCAGAATCTCATCGCCTCGCTAATCACACACGCATGTACTTTAATAATTTAGACGGAATGGTCAAAGGAAGAGGATGAGAAATTATTACATCTCGCTAAATTAATGCCCACACAATGGCGTACGATTGCTCCCATTGTGGGCCGTACTCCCGCTCAATGTTTAGAACGTTATCAACGACTTTTGGACGAAGCCGAATCGCGTGAATCCGACAGATCTGATGAACTTGGGTTAACGGGTTCCATCGGCCACGAATCGGGTCCCAGCGCTGACGATGTAAGAAAGTTAAGACCTGGAGAGGTTGATCCTGAGCCTGAGTCTAAACCTGCCAGACCCGATCCCGTTGATATGGATGAAGATGAAAAGGAGATGTTGTCTGAAGCCCGTGCAAGATTGGCAAACACACAAGGTAAAAAAGCAAAGAGAAAGGCAAGAGAGAGACAATTGGAGGAGGCTAGAAGATTGACTGCACTCCAAAAGAGAAGAGAATTAAAGGCAGCCGGTATCCAGTAAGTTTTTCTTTTTAGAAAATGTACGTTGATTAGAAAAAAACCGAGATTGATATTTTTTTCGTGTATAGTATGCGTATGAAGACAAAGAAGAATGTGATGGATTACAATACAGACACACCTTTTGAAAAGAAGGCAGCCTTAGGTTTTTATGACACCACAGAAGAAGCCGGCCGCACCGTCGATCCTGGAAAACTCACCAACGTTCATTTATCAAAACTCAACAGACGTCGTGCAGATATTGAAGATGAAAAGAACCGTGAAAAGAAGAGAAAGGCTAAGCAGAACCCAAATGCATCAACGGAAGGAAATCAAGGCAAATTTGTACCCGAAAAGAGCGCCAAAATCATTCAAATGCAAGAACAGGAACAAATTGCAAAACGTCGTCGTTTGGTCTTGCCTGCTCCCCAAGTAGGCGAACAGGAGTTGGAAGATATCCTGAAATCAGGTTTTGCAGGTGAAAATGCAAAGAATTTAGTGCTAGATAGTGATGTGAGTGCCACACAAGGCTTGGTTGGTGATTACAATTTCACTCCTAATACCCTTGCCACAAGAACCCCTCGTGCTCCTCCCAGCAGTAAGTTTAATATTTTTTGTGATCAGAAAATCTTAACCTCAACTTTTTCGTATTTACAATCTACTTCTCTCTTCAGATGATAATTTAATGATTGAAGCTCGTAATCTTATCGCACTCAGTAATGCACAAACCCCTCTTTTGGGCGGTGAAAATACATCACTTTTAGAAGGCACTGGATTCCAGGGAGCTACACCTAAACACGTACCCATCCAAACGCCCAACCCTATGGCAACACCCCTTCGCGGATCTCGCACCATGGATGACAACACACCCTTTAAAACTCCTCGCGAAGAGAAGGCTTTCCACACGCAAAACAAACGATCGCTTTTACAGGGACTCTCCAGTTTGCCCAAGCCTCGTAATGAATGGGAGATCAAATTACCAGAGATGGAAGAAGAGCATGAGAAAAAATCAAAGGCAGAGGAGACAATTGAAGATATGAGCGATTTTGAACGTGAGGAAAAGGAAGCAGCCGAACAAGAAGCAGCTGAACGTGCTGCCCGTCGTTCTTTAGCTGTTCAGTTAGGTTTACCTAGACCTACTGTCGTACCTACCTTTTCAGTAGATAAAAACGCTTCCGAAATCGAAAAGATGATTAGCGAAGAATTATCGCGTCTTTTAAAGCACGATGCTGTCAAATATCCCGTGGTAGGTGGTAAGATTGCACCTGGTGCTACCCAGTTAGATGGTACCTTGGCAGGTCTTGAGGATGAATTTGATTCAGTGACATTACAAGACGCACGTAAAGAATTGGATCAAGAAATTGTAAATACACTCGGTTTATCAAAGGAGGATAATGTTAAAAAGGCTGTTTGGGAACATGTTTCTTCTAAGCCTAATTTCGAGCAGACATGGAATCAAGAACATGAAGATTTATTGTTCTCCGCAAAGTTCAATCAGTTCATGACACTAAATGAAATGGATGACGAAAAGGATATCATTCAAGGTTTAGACAAAATTGTGGAAGTGAGTAATTTTATTTTTATCTTTTGTGGTTCAGGTTGATTGAACCTTTGTTTTTATTTATAAATAGGCAAATCGTCAAACAATGATTAGAGATGCTACTCGTGCGGGAAAGCTTGAAAATAAGTTGGATATTAGATTAGGAGGTTATATGACACGATCTAAAGCATTATCACAGCAAATCGTGGATGCCTTTGAAGAATTTGAAGCGGCTCAAGTGGAATACCAAAGTTTTGTCACTCTACAAATTTCCGAAAAGTCTGCTATTCCAAGACGTATTGAGTCATTGGAAGACGAAGTATATAAGTTGGCTAGTAGAGAAAGAGATTTACAAGAAAAATACAAGCAATTGAGTGATGAAAAGATGGCCCTTTGCACCTAAAAAAAGGAAATTTTTTTTCCCTTATGCACTTTTTTTTATCTTTTAATAAATATATAATCCATATACATACATGTACTTGTCAATGACAGGTTTTTTTCTTTTTTTTTCTTTTTTTTTTTTTGAAATCCCACAATCAAAAAGGTATAAAAGTAATCCTTTTTTTTTTTGAGCTGGTAGCCCTTCTTTTAATATATACATATAAATTCGTTATTTATCTTTTTGTATCATCATGGCTGTTATCATTCAAACCAAGCTTACCAATGGCCACTCTCAACAATGCTGTGAATGCGGTAGTTTTGCTCATAAAACCCGGTAAGTTTTTAAACTTTAATAAGACCTCTATTAAAAAAGCTGTCAATTCATATTTTTTCTAATTACAGTGATTGTCCCAAACTTGACAAATAAACTATTATTCCTTGTTTTTAAGTCATAATAAAGATCTACCCAACTATTGGAGACTGTATACACATTTTTATCCCAAATGACAACATTTCAAGCCGCAATAAACGGCCCTTATTTAGATTGTGTGACCTTCTGTATATACTAATTCTAAAATGAAAAGCATGACCTCTTTTTTTTTTTTTTTTGCCTTTTAACTTTGGGGCGTCAAGTATAGAGGACCCAGGTCGGCTTATAAAGATGTCAAAACACTCATTGTCTTGACCTAGTGTAACATGCATAAATAAGTAATCAAGTTCATAAAAAAAAAACTTATAACGTAACTGATACCGTCTCTATCTATAAGCGGAAAGGAGGAGGGGTATGACGATCCAAGTTCGTCATAGATACATGTTGTTATCATGTAAACTTTATGACTCAACTTCCCGGATATATGTTGCCAATAACAAAAATCTGACAAATCAATGATAAATACTCATTTTTTTTTATTTTTTCAATCGTGTAATAAAATTATATATTTTAGTCCAACAAATTCCCACTACCACCAGATGGAGGAGGAGGAGGTCTTTGTTGATAAGGCTGTTGCTGCTGTTGCCATTGTTGTTGTTGTGGTTGTGGCTGCCATTGTGGTTGTTGTTGGTAATGAGGTTGATAACCTTGAGGTGCACCCATCACACCTGCAGGGGGATTCATCTGCTGTTGTTGTTGCTGCTGGGGACGGTATTGTGGTTGAGGAGGTTGTGCGTAATAATTTATTTGGGAGGGTGGAGGTTGGTATTGGGGCTGGTAACTATGTTGATTGTTGTACACAGGACGGTTAAATTGTGCCTGTTGACCATGGTATGGAGATTGTGGTTGTTGTGGTTGTTGTTGTTGTTGTTGATAGGGTTGTTGGTAAGGTTGTTGATAAGGGGTAGCGCTGGGAGCAGTGGAGGCACCATAGATGCCATAAGGCGATGGTGGAGGTTGTTGCTGCTGTTGGAAGGCTTGAGGCTTTGGTGGGGGAGCAGGTGTAAATCCAGGATTATAAGGTGCTGTAGGTTCGTTCATGGATAATTGACGAGTTTGATTGGTAAGATGAGACATGGCGGAGGGAGCAGGGGCACTTGCATACTTGTTTAAAGTCTCGCGAAGCAACTCTTGTTCCCTAGTACTCTTTTGACTTTCAATTTCATCCATCAAGCGACTTCTTTCATTAGATCTTTCTGTAATAAATCTAGAAATATTTCTGCTTAAATTATCCACAGTGTCTTGAACGCCCGAATAAAATTGGACGCCTCGATTTAAGCCTTCCTTCAACTCAAAATATATGGTCTTTGCCTCACTGAAATCTGCTGTCAAGTTACGAACAAGACGGTCCGCTTTATCATGCTGTGATTGCAAATTTTGTGCTTCGTCACCTTCCATTAGTTCCTTAAACGCTTCTGTCAAATCCTGAATGGCTTGCTGTTGATGTTGTATAGTAGCCGAGATACGTTGTTGATGAGGGCGAAACTTTTCGAGTTCTGCAGCAAAGATTTGTTGCTCGATGTTGGCCTTCTTGTTCAAAATTAGCAGCTGAGAGATATCATCTTGCAATGTCTTGTCTTTTAAATCACGGAATGTGTCATCACGGTCACTTTCAATCTTGCGCAATTTCTCAAGGATAGATTCTACTCGCTTCACCTTTTCGTTTAAACTCTCAGTCTTCTTTTCGGATCCGGATGTATCAATATCCAGCAAGTTCATACCAGGGTCCTTATTTTGCTTACTATCAGCAAGCACAGAGATGCATTCGGCATATGCTCTCTCTAATTCACGGCTCTGTCCACCGTGTTTCAAAATATCAATGTTGCGTCGAACAGACTCATACTTTGCAACAAGTTGATTGTCAGACTGAGAGGCACCATCCAAGGTATGACGGTGGTTGTTGATATCGTGTCTAAATTCACTAGTGAGAGGACCTGATGGTGGTTGTGTCCATTGCTCGCCATATTTTACTCTTCCTTGTTCACACTCTCTCATCTCCTTATCCATATTCAGCGAAGCTTCATCTAAAGCCTGTCTTGCTCTTGCTCTTAAAGAGGTTAAAGAGTTTAGCAATTCGCCAATGTTCGTACGCCGTTCATCCGCGGCGACTTGGTCAGCCCATCCTTTGACTTCGGAAGGCGGAGAAGCATAACTATCCAAAGATTGTGTTGCCTGCTGTTGGTTCTTAAACTTGGAAAGTGAAGCTGGTAACTTCATGTAATCTAGCGAAGCATTTAATTCGGCTTTGGAGATATCACAACGTTCGTTTTCAGAGCGAAGTAATTTGGCTTTTTCCTCCGAATAAAGTGATGCACTCTCATGAACGCTAATGGGAATCAGCTTGCAAAACAAATCCGCACCGATAATCTTTTTCATTTCTTCGGGGGCATAAAGTTCGTTCATAGGGATCGATTTAACGGCCTTAAGTCGATCGATAGGAGTCAAAATGGATTCTTGAGGCGCGGTTTCATGATAAATCATGTCGTTATCTCGGGTAGCAGCGGTAAACTTTTCTCCGCAGGTGGCAGCCAAATTCTTACAGAGCTCTGTGATGGCGTGGGCACTTTCAGAAGGGACAGTGCCGTTAGCATGGTTTGAGGATACCAGGGCCGAGTTTAATGAGCCGGCTAATTTCACAGCTTCTTTGGCGGCAGATTCAGCAGCACCGTAACGACTGGCGCATTCACCATATTTTCCCTCGGCTTCACAGGCAGCGGCTTTATGCTCTTGAGCAATAGCGGAATAATATTTCTGCTTAATCTGACAAACCAATATCCAAGACTTATCTACACCCACTCCTCTTGTCACAGCATCGCCCAAAGAATCTACCAAGTTGCCATAGGCCCAACATGCATGACTGGCGAGTTTGGCAATCAAATTATCCTTTGTCTTTTCACGTAAACTAATTTCCAAAAAGCATTCCTGGGCCTGTACTAACATGAGTTCCGACAGAACATTGACAGTTTCACGACTCAGGTCTTCTGAGGGAGCATGCAAGAAATTGTCATTGATATATTGGAACATGCCTGCTGAAACCTGGAAATAACGAAAAGCCTTTTTACGGCCCTCTGTCTCTGCTCGATTTTGCGAGCTAGCAATAGCAGAAAGTGTAGCAGCCTCATTAAAAATTACACTGGCTTTTTCAAAAGCTAACGAGTATTGGGATATAGCACGATTGTTGAATGCATCATACCTGTTTGATAAAGTCAATTTCAATCTTCGTTATGCAAAATAAAATAAAACAGGAGGGTACTGGAGACATTCTTACCAATTAAACAAAACTTTGACATGCTTCTCATCCACAGGAAAGCGCAGGTCGAGCAATTCCAATTGACCAAAATACCGATAAAGTAAGTCTCTTCCGGTAATATCCTTTCCTGCACCACGAATATCTTGGCGTAACCTATTGAAAGACTGAGTTTCTTCTTTATATTTTTCAGGATCGTCTTGGTAGAAACGAGCAATGTATTTTTTGAGCGGATGTACCCAATCTACATCATCTGTCTTTTTAGACGGTGCACTAATGAATGGTATTTGAGGCGTAGCCATCTTATTATATTCAGAAAAGAAAGAAAGGATATTCAGGTGGAAAAAAACACCAGGTCACAAGAATTGGCAGTCGGGCATTAGAATATTGGTCTGCTGCTGCTTGTAGGCCAGAATACTACGACGGCTTGGCATGTGTTTCTATCCATGCGCTGAAATTGACTTGATACAACTAAACCATGTATGATGATATAAATAACGTTTGATTTCAAGTTTTTATTAGACAGTGCTGCGCCCTGAGTTCTACAGTGATACCGTTTTATATTTCAGGCCTATGTACGAGAATCGTCATGTCATATTACAGTTTCTAAGTTGGTAAACACTGAATACATTATACCCAAATCTATTTGTCACCAGAAATTACAGTCTATGTGGGCACATTGCTTTTAATATATTATGCCCGATGACTGACAATGATGACATTGTATTTATACACATTGTTCTTTCGGGATTATATCCATCTAAAACATCTAACTTGTTGGAACATTCATTATTGTGTTCCTTGTTGAGACATTTGCACCCTCTTGGAGAGCGTGCAAGACTCGTGTTAATAGCAGGAATTCTATTTGATTCATAGAAACACCGAAAATATGTCATTCAGGGACAGACAAAAAGGAACACCCCATTTGTAATAACCCCGGATTATGTCTGAATCAGAAAAAAAACTAAAAAAAAAAAAAAGTTTACCCCTTAATGCGTACTTCGGATCCAGCAACTTCTAAAACATCCTGAAGATAGCTGCCGCGCGTCTTGCTGCAGATAGGTGCGAAATGGTAAGCAATAACATTTGAGAAATCTCGGGTGTTACTTGTTTTAACAAAAGAACCGAAACAACTGCTTATAGAAAATAGTGGGATATGCCAAAGGCCTTAACCACCGCCATTGTAAAACTGTAGATGGACTTTCAAGATCAGGTGACGATTAATTTCCATGGTAACGTTTAGACATGGACGGTAATCTGTCCAAGCCTTCCCGAGATCGTGTAATCCACACTTTTTTTATTGGAGTCTTCTAAAAGTGGTAAGCAACTATCACCTGAGAACAAGAAAGCTCTTTCTGCTTCCAAAATGTGAAATTTTGGGGGGGGAGAAATAGCGCCGATTAATTGGTGTGGGGAAGGGACAAGGTGATTGGATAAAAGAGCCTTAAACCAATTAAAAGAAAGTAAATTGGATTCATTTACGTCAAAAAAAACAATGGGCGAAGTGGGGGGTGGTAAGAGGGGCGGAGGGAAGATGATATCATGGACTTTCCTTTTTAAAGTGAGACACCATTGTTTGTGTTACGGCACGGCTAAATTATTTATATTTTCAGAGTATATAAATAGGAAACAAATTTTCTCAGATTTTCTGTTTTAATATTATCCAACTTTTATATAACAATTTCTCCCTCTACAATGCCAAATCAAACTACTACTCCCTCTTCCAAGAAATACACAAGAGACGATATCATGGCTATGGCAAGATACGAATATGCTCGTCAATTAAGTATATATACCAAGACTCAATTAATCAATGGCCTGAAAAAATCAAAGAGATCTACTACGAAAAGCGTCAACTCTGTAACCACGGCCATCATCTGCTAATTTAAATACACCTTTTTTTTTTATATATAAAATTCCCCCTGTATATATACCACTGTACATAAATCAAATAAATCTACAATTCCAAACATATTCTATTGGTGCACATGTAAAAAAGACAGTCGTTACACCATATAAAATCTCGGATCTTTACAAATCGAGTAAAGCTCTATATTTTACACATTCGAAAAGTAATTTCAAGCTAAAAAGAAAACATGCAAAGTCCGAGAAAAAATGGCTGATTCCTAACTCATGGCATGCACACACACAAAAAAAAAGAAGTACCGCTCCAATAGCATACGCGTCTTTTAATCAATCTTTTCTTTTCTAGAATAACCCGTTCCTGAATTAATTTTGCTACTTCGTGTATATGTTCTGTGATACGAGATGGCTGTAAAAGTGATATTCCTGTCATGCCTGTAAAAAAGTATATAAAGAAATGGCCTGATGGCAAAATCAGTGTGATCGGCATGTTATTATTTTGTATGGTTCCTACTCAAACCATGTATGACGCACTAATAAGAATTTCCCTCTTTTAGAACATATTCAAGTCTAGCCTTTTTAGGAAATAAGTACTTCTAGAATTATTTGTCTTGGAATCCTCAAAATGCTCTAAAATGTTCTTTCAGAGTACAGGCTTTTTATTATTTATACATCTAAAAATACTTGCGTAAAAAACCAAACCAAAAAAAAAAGTCTTTTAATTAGTGTTTCGCATGGGTGCTACAGATTGAATTCCATTTTCAGTAAATATATCGCTACTTTTAAGACCATGGAGATAGATCAGCATTACAAAATAGGTGCTAGCTTTTACCTTGCATATAAAATCTTTAACGTGGTACTGCATAAGGCTTATATTTTTAACCTTTTTAAAATAAAGTATATCCAGTGGCTAAAGGAAAATATTTTAGCACAAGCAACATAATTCATGTGCTCTTTTTGTTTTGTTTTGTTTTTTATTTGTCTGGATAAGGCTTCTTGTGTTTCACGACACTATTTAGTTAGTCCAGACATGACTTTACGATTTTTCCATACTCGGAATGACCGCATGTTGGGGTTGAAAGAAATGACATACTGATGATTACAACCAAGATTTGCCATAACCGACGAAATTATGAAAATAATGATTATCCTATCATAAAATACAAGTTCCCTTGTTTTTTTTTCATGACCACAAACGTAAAATCCAAATGCGTAAAAATCGGCAAAAGAAAATTTTGCTGCTAACAAACAAAAGTTGTCTAGCCCACATATTCGGATAAGTCCAAGCAGTGGCAGGATCAATTAGCGCAATTTCGTTCCAATTCGATTCCTTAAACGCGTCAGTGTTTAGAGGAGGGTTTAAAAACTCGAATAAAGAATCAGCCTAGATGTAGATGCTTGTTAGGTTCAAACCAAACCCGCGCCGAGCCTAGGCTTCATTTGCTTATTCACATGGTTTACTATCATGAATCACTCTTTCGGGTGTATAAAGCTTTTGGCAAGGAGTTACTCGAATTTATTAGTACCAAATACTATATGCATGAAATTGGAATGAACTTTATTCTATCCGTCGCTGGTGAAATCAGCCGATGTGGGTGATGGATCTTTTACTGGACTTTTTGGAGCATCTCTTTAAAAACCATCCGTCTATCGCATTATAGGGAGTGATAAACAGAGGGCGGATGTTGTTGCTAAAGGATTTTAAGCTAATTGTGCAACCAACAGCATGCGTCTAGGCTTTAATTAAGGTTAGTTGGCCGTATCGTCGTTGAATAAACTCCCACATATCTTATTTAAAACCAAAAGGCTGGTCTGTCGTGCATTTAAAAATGTCAGTTTGTATTACAGGTAATGTGAGAATACACAACGTGCCCTTAGATGATGGTTTTTAGCTTCAATAATAGCATAATGAAAATATTTTTGAAGATATGGTTCCGCTTGTATCATATTCCAATACTGAATACATTCTTTTTTTTAAGTCACACAATACATTCATGACAAGATTTATTAAATATTTTTAAAAGAATAAAAAGAAAAGATTCTATCGGATTCTGTAAGAAACTTTTCTAGGAAACACATGTACAAGTCTATTTGTGGATTATATTAAAAAAAAAAAAGGTAAGAATACCGGCACGAAGTTGAATGCTGAAATTCCTTTAAACGACAACTTTTTTCTAACCACATTAAGTATTATTATAGACTATTTTTTTTTCTTTTTTTTTTTTTTTTTTGTTAGCCCGTAAAGTGTAAAACGCTATTTTATACAAAGACTGTATTCCAGGGAATTTATCGTTAAAAACCATTGGTTTATTTTACCGTATTCTTCATAGCTACTTTTTTTTTTTTTTTTTTTTATAACCAAAGGAAAAAAAAGGTTAGGTTCCCTGCAAAGAAGTAATTGTGTTTTTTTAAAAAAAATATAAAAAAAAAAAAAAATGGCCCACGCGATAAATAATTTGGGTAGTCAGGGGTGAAGACGCTTAATTTTTCTAAACAGGCATTTTGAATTACGATAGATTAAAAGATGGGAAACTATAATTTTAGACAATCAGGTGGATCTTTGAAAATTCAACATTTTTGGATACAAATTCCCAATACATCAGAATCTTTTTTACTCATGATTGGCTATTTTTTTTTATCGTCCACATTGAGTGTCAAAAAAATTTCAGGCTCGCCACTATGCGTGTAGCCGGGATTTCAGGATGGTAATTCTCGCTCACACAAACTTCTATCTTAAAATTGGCATGTATACATCCAGAACATTATTATAGACAATAAAAGTTTATCGAAGTACAAAGTATACTTAAAAACACATTTAGCTTAGTAATAAATAGCGTGTATTATATCCCCTTTTATTTTCTGCACTGTTATGTCAACTAGTTTACATGAGAGTAGATATTCAATATCGAGTAGTTGCCTTTAAGTTAAAATCTTTTTTCAAAATAAACCCAACAGCATTACTTTAGATCTAACAAGACGCAAAATTACATCATAGAAACTTCTAAATATGCCACACATGAACAAAAACACTGCCCCGTCGAACAAGAATTCAGCCTGCTGCTAATAGATCCTTAAAGTTAGGCTGACAGCAAGTGCGTCAGTTTTTTTCTTTCTGTTTTTTCATCATAATATTCTTTTCAGTCCTGATTCCGATTACGTAGTATAAAATTAAGTTTAAAATTACAAGCAAACAAAGTTTTTGTTACAAATAAGTAGTGCTACTTGTAAAAATACCGTGCTCGTTTGTTCAGACTATATGCATCAGATGCTCTCTTACAAGGAAATACCATGAGTTTATTCAACACGAATATCTTGATCTGTTCGGATCAATGATCTTGATGTGTGTTACGATAGTTGAAAGTCAGCCGAAGATTTTCATAATTGTGATGTCGCTTGAACGTAATTTAGGAATCTGTTGTACCTTTTCAGCCTGAGAAACATTTAAAGAATGTCCTAAGCAAAAATATTCATACGAAAGAAAAAAAAATGACAATTGCCATGCAATAATGGTGTTTTTAAAAGCCTTTCAAACCCAATTGTCTATTTTTAAGCATAACAACTCCTTTTTCAAAGCGTTAAATGAATGTCAATATGCTTACTAATTTGAGAGATAGTTTCAATTGTGACCTAGAGCTGCAATATTTTGGTTAATCTTAAATGATATTTCACTTTTAATCTTTCCCGTCTAACTTATATTCAACTTTAAATGAATAAACGTCCACTTCGAACCTATTTATTACTTTCGGAATACATAGTCCGTCACTCACTTTTTAGCCTAATCTTTAAAAACTTGTTTTCTGATCTCAATTATACAAAGTAGATTTATTTTTTCGGTGGGCTTTGGTTTTCGTAAAGATCGCAGTGAATTAGCAAGCAGCTGCTTTATCCGTTTTTAGACCTTTAAAGAATAACCTTATTTGACACTTCATCAAGTTGTACAAAAATCCTACGTCAACTCCTTAGTATACTATCATTTTGAGCACTTACAAATTTGAAGTGATTCATTAAACTCTATTTCATTTTAACAATTCACAACAGCCACAAGCATGTATATACTATAGGTATCAGCTATTATCTGGAAAAAATTATACAATAGGCTATCAATAGTGGTACTTTATACGTCTCCATTTTTAGAATATTGTGTCAACAGGTACCTATTTTATTTGAGTGACCTACCAATATTGTAAGTATAAGTATCTCTCCACACTTATTGTTCATTACAGGATTGGAAACATCATTTATCTGCTAAAATTGAACGAGAAAAAGTATTATAATATACAATAAAAAATAGCAACTACAATTCAAAAAAGAGCATTTTTTTTTTCAAGGGATAAAGCTAAATCATCATGGTGGGATCAATTCAAGTTAACGGAGCCAGTACCCGTAGTACATCATTTGTGTACAATCAATCGTTGAAAATAATTTAGTGTCATAATATTTTTTTAATCACATAATATAAGTATAATTGTGTCCCTAAATAGTCTATATACCATAAACCAGCATGTCATTTATGATAAATAGTCTGTAGATATAATAAATAAACTGATACAAATTGTGAATGATTGTTATACAGCACAATAAACCTGGATATCACTCTCCCACAAATGACAAACAAATATTCGTAACCATGTTTTTTGTATACTTTCTTTGTGTCCCTTGAATCTTGTCCTTGTGCTTTTCAACAATATCCAAGTCGATTATTTGTCAAATTACCCAGACTTGTCCAAAGCTACTCACAGAATCGGTACATGCTACTAATGTAGCAGTTTTATCTCGCTCCTTAAAATCTGTTAATATCCATTCACTTAATGTTAACTCAGGTCGAATACTTCCATAAGTTCAAAATCGCCTCACTCAGCTACTATTTCTCAACTGATCGAAAAAAGCACATAATAATAAAAGCGTGCTTTACTTGTACGAAGGCCAATGTTAGCCAAAACCTATTTGGCTCAATGGCACAAGTGATTTGAGTTGATTACATTCTTAACAATGGCCTTGATTTAGATAACTTAGCAGTTAAACTTCTAATGTTAACATTAACGTTATCGTGCTTTCTTAATGTTAAGCTTTTCTTAGTGGCTGTGATTGCTCTTTTTTGTATACAAGATTACTTGACACTAACAAAAAAAGAAAAAAAAAAAAAAAGAATACATACTACTAATGCCAAAAAGATGCCTGTCTGTTTCAAGCAAATATTGAATATAAAAGCATTTTATTAAAACTTAATTAGACAAGAACTTCTTCAAGTATACCTTGTATTAAAGGGTTTTAAAATCCATGATGAGCATATTATGATATAGGCTAAAGCAGAAAAAACTTTTTATTTATTTTAATGAAAATATATAAACTATGTTAACAAGCGCTTCTCCTAGTTCCCAACATATAAATAGCTGGTTAACAGGCCAGACCACGAGAAGGTGGAAGCACATCCTGGCCCAAAAATTTAAAATGTTTCCGGTAAACCATCTTCAATAAAGAACCTGATTCTCCTCATACTGCCTGCCCACAATGCACAACATGAGAATCACCAGGACCAAATACCCCCTACACCATGTTGGGGTGGTGCTTTTTACCCTGGCAACTGAGTCGTAGCAGCCGCACCTGGACGGGTAATGGCTTTAAGGCGAACATTCCGTGTAGATGAGGTAACTGTCTAGGAGGAGGTCCATCTTTAGCTGCCTATGCGGATTGCAATATCTCTAGCGTAGACGTAAACAAACCAAGGCAAAGCACTTACAAGATACATTCGGGTACTAAACATTCTTACGTGCCATTGATACAAAGCCAAAATTATATCCCAACCAAGACCCGTGACTAAGAGCGTGTTGACAGGCTTCAAACAGCTACGACCATCCACCGTCTTTTAACTCGCTCCTAAATCCAACCCTTCCACCTAACGGATTGTGGTACTAGTTTGTAAGAAGTTCCTGGAACTAGGGCTACTAACCCAAGTCAGATTGTAAGCGAATGAAGCGATACAGACAAATAAAGATCCCACACGGCTGCGCGCAAAACCCTTATTGCCCAGCGACTTTGACACACCAACAGACTCCTCTAATGTAAACCTGTTTGGGAATACTACGGCCTTTGGAACACTGCCCGATCTGTCATGAAGTGGATAGATTTAACGGAAACGAACAGAGACGAGAGTGTCTTCCTTGTGCTGAAGCCATGCTAACATCTCTGTTCTAATATTTAAAAGAGGAAAAAAAGATAAAGGGCGTTTCTTTCGCACCCGTCTCCCTTTTATACAAATTATTTTTTCTTTTGTTTATTTTGATGATTTTGTCTAGGCTACTTTTACAAACTTAATTTTTCTTTCACTACTTTTTGGACTTTTATGTTATCCTTTGAATAATCCGTAAAATTCTCATCACATCCGTGTGCATATCATAGTTATTTTCTTCATTGTGTGTCGAGAAAATGGGCATTGAAGTTTTGCTTTTGTATGCGAAATGTTCTTTTTGTGTAACGGATAAAAACAATTTTTCACATGAATCCTTCAGGCCACGTTTTAATAATGAGACTGTGCAAGCCCAAGAATACCTGATTCTCAAATAATTTGTCTCCGTGTAAAAAAAAATCATACTCATAACTCTACAGGACATAAACTGCCATTGTCGAACTTGTAGCTTTCAGTTTATTAATGCGTATTTAATAAGTCCTTGATTCATACTTTCAGGCACGATGCACATTCACGCTTTTTTTTTCAACCAGCACCAGACTACGCAGCTATCATACGACTCTACCCTGTAATCATTTTGCTGATAAGTGTTTAGTTGTCAGACAAGTTTCTTTTTGACGACCATGTACTTTTAAAAAAAAACTTAAAAGGCAGTTATCCTGGGCGATCTTTTCCTCTTTCTTGAAATCAATATAACTACTGTCAACGAATCTCCATTAGTTAACCGCAAGGCTCCTGTTAATCATCCCAAAGCTGTTGGAAAATTGTCTCCGTAAGGACACCCATGCGACGTAAAGCTGCATCTGGATATATATATACACCTATTCGCCCTATTATTTATAAACGCTGATGAGAGTAACGTCAATCTGTTTTTTATTATCCTTATTGACACAACTTATTTTATTTAGTCATCGCCGCTGAAGGAGATACCGATTTTTACTAAGCAGGTAACAATTAGGACGACTGACGGTGTGGAATTACCGGAAGAAAGTATAGATGTATCACAGCAAAAAGGAATATGTTATAGAGCAAGCGCTTGACTGAAGACACTTGTGGAATATGGAAGACGATGTTCAACATTGCTTTAGAACTCACCAAGCACCTCTAAACACGCCGGAACTTTTATACCATGGTGACGATATACTTTGAAAGTGCATTACAGTGTGAAGAGGCACGTCAGCTGTACTCTCAGTCATGTTGTTTACCGATGAAAAAGTTGATTTACTTGCTCTTCAGTTGAATCTTACCCTGGATCAAGTCCACCGAGAAATTGTTCGGAACTGCACATCAAATGAATGCTGATATTTAGAGGAATATAATAGCAATTAATAAAATGAAATATTATAATAGTAGTAGGTACTGTGAGTTACTTTACCTCTCGTGCTTGGAACCGATCGAATTCGTCGTGCCTGACATTCAGTGGATTATACTCATATACACAAACAAGAGGAGGATGACTGCGATCTGGAAAGAGGGGAAAATTATGATGAGTGGTAGAAAACGAGCGTTTGATCACCAAGGCTCATTTAGAAGAGATGTTAAGAGTTTATTGGTGGGATTTTATAGCTCTGGTGTGGAATAGAATACGTAAGCGGAAGAAGTGCAATTCAGGTAAGTAATAATAGAAATTACAAGGGTAATTAAAGATATTTAAGACTATTTATGAAATAAATCATTCAAGTGCGTTCTTTTATAAAAAGCTCATTTTAAATGTCACTATGCAACTTCAATAAACTTTTAGTCTGCTCTTCTGCTAAGTTTTCCTCAGAAAATTTAATTTTCTTGGCTTGCTACCTTACAGCCGGTTGCTCACGCAAACATAAAACCTAATCCAATAATCAGTGAGCAGGTCTGTATATTAAAATGTTGCTTGAATTACAGAAATGGGCCTTCAGTATCCTCATAACAATACGCATTCAGATTAGGAAATAGCTATATATAGATCCAATGTATTATAGCTTTACCTTCAATCTGAATATACTGTCAGCGTTCTTTGAATCTAGGTACCAATTGACCTATTACCATTATAGTCATCAAAGCTTATTTGGATATGTCGAAAAAAAAAGACATCGCTTTTCTCTTAGATTCTTACTAAGCTCATTTTGTTTAACGTGGATGTTATCAACATTTGAAAACGTCCGGACCTCTATCCAATAAGTTAATGAGTAACATACTATTCTTCATAGTCCATAGTCAAGTTAAAATAAGGTTTAGTTGATTTATTCATGTCAAAAATTAGCACTGACAATTCCTGGAAGGTTTATTCAAAAGTTGTAACATCAGTTTCTACGAAAATTTCTCTTAAGACATCTTCTTGTAGAAATCAGCTGAGCTTAACCGGCAGAACTTATTAAAGTATAGAAAAAAAGAGTAAGGAAAGGGTAAGCAAACCTTAATCTCCGTTCGAATTAGGTAATAGCATAAGAGAAATCACCGCCAAGTTGGTTACGCTCCCCAATTCCTTCCCTATTACTCTTACTTTTAGCATATAATATGAGGTTCAATTAATAAACTATAAACTTTGTTATAAGATTACCTACCTTACGTTTTTGTACCTACTTGTTTTTTGAAATGGATGGAAGTAATGTCTTACCTATTTAAATAGCGCCCCGTCCCGTTCCTGAATCCCGTGATTCGTTAAATGTGCACCACGTTCCTTTTCGCAGGAACTTTGGTCCTGGTATTTCCCGTTTTCTTAATCAGGGTCCTTATTATAAATATTTATTACGTGATAATTGTCCCGCTACTGGGTAAATAAAAAAAAAAAAAAAAAAGTGTGGCAATATTGATCTAAAGGCTTGCCACAATTTTTTTTTTTTTTTTTTTTTTTTTTTTGAAAAAAATTTAGTTCTAGATACGAGTTTGGATGACTGATAGATGACTGATAGGGTGATATTTTTCTTGTGCGCAGTAAAGAAGTATATTTTGTGAAATGTTTGTTTACAATAGAATCAGTTATTATCAAGTGATGATTTGTAAACGGAATATATTTCCATCTGTATACAATTACACACTAAATAATTGGATAATACTATTTAGGGTATGCTAAAGCGTGGGACAATTTCGATTGTGTTCATGTAAGTGTTATACAAAAATTGATGTTTTTCTTTCCTATAGTGAAAAAGGCATTTATGTATTTGACATAAGTCATTGTTTTGGGATTTAAGAAAGATAATTTATTTATTAAAAAGGTTATATTTGAGATCGACAGCTACAAGAGAGCATTGATAGAGAGATAAAGAATTATATTAAGATGTAAAGTTTAAAAGGAAAAAAGAAGAAAGTTGGGGGAAATAATGATACAGAGTGAATTTGTTTTTTGTTTGTTTGTTTGTTTGTTGAATTGATAGGCGTTGGGATTTTAAACGAAATCCTTCTTCTCCTCTTCAGTGGGGACAGCAAATTCTTGAGGACCACTGTGAGACTTGGTATAGACTTGCTTATGACACAAGACCTTTCCACTGAAGACATCCTCCATCTCTTCCAAAGACTTACCCTTGGTTTCGGGATAGAAGAAGTAGACAGTAGTAGCCATGATAGCACAACAACAACCAAAGAAGATATAGGTACCATAAGTAATCTTGACCAACATGACAGGACAAATTTCAGAAATGACAAAGTTCATGAGCCAGTTAGAAGCGGTAGTGATGGAAGTACCCTTAGCACGAACACTGAGAGGGTAGATTTCAGCGGGATAGACCCAACCGACAGGTCCCCAAGACCAAGCGAAACCAGCAACGAACAAGTAAATCATGACAATACAGAAGTAAGAAGCACTCTTGTTACCAGTCATGTTGACAGTCTTATCACCAGTAACTAAATCAGTAGTAATTTCACCGACACCACCCATAACAGCACCACAGAGAATCATAGCAGTACCCATAGCCATGGCACCAGAGATCATGATCTTACGACGACCAAGACGATCCATGAAAAGAACAGCAGGAATAGTGGCCAAGACGTTAAGACAACCGTTGACACCAGAAGCAATCAAACCAGCACTGTTAGAACCGAGACCAGCTTGGACGAAGATTTGAGGAGCATAGTACATGATGGAGTTGATACCAGTGAATTGTTGGAAGACTTGAATGAGCATACCGAGAATCATTCTACGACGAAGCTTGCCTTGGAAGAGTTCAAGATAGCTACCGACAGCAACGGCTCTTTCGAGTTCAATTTGAGCAAGAATTTCTTCGTATTCAGCAACAACATGAGGAGCAGTTTCATCACCATCGGAGTGCAATTGGGCCAAGACAGTAAGAGCTTCAGCATTACGTCCCTTACTAAGCAACCAACGAGGAGAGTAAGGCAAGAAGAAAGCACCAATAAGCAAAACGACACCGGGAGCAACTTGGACACCGAGAGGGATTCTCCAAGAAGAATCACCATTTCTCTTTTCAGTACCAACACCACACCAGAAAGCAATCATAATACCGATGGTGATCATAAGTTGTTGAAGACCAATAAGACGACCACGAATTTCTTTGGGAGCTAATTCAGATTGATAAAGAGGAACAATCATAGACAAGGCACCAATACCAAGACCAGCAACAAAACGACCAACAACCATCATAGCATAACCATTAGCACCGGTTTGAAGGGCACCACCAATAATAAAGATAAGAGAACCGATAATGATGGTTCTCTTACGACTGAGAATTTCAGCCGAAGGACCAGCCAAGAGAGAACCAATGAAACAACCGGCTAACAAAAGACCGGTAATAGTACCAGTCATAAGAGTGGAAAGTTTATCGAGGGTTGGGTCACCAGTCATTTTGGTGACGAAGTGTTTCATTGTCAATACACTGGAAATGACACCAGTGTCATAACCGAAGCAAAGACCACCGATAGCGGCAAATGCACAAACGGAATAAAGAGTAGAAGATCCCATTAAACTTAATGTAAAATAGAAGTTGTTATTTGTGATTAATATAAGAAAAAAAAGGGAAAGTACAGAAATGGATCGTCCTTATATACAATTTTTTTGTTGCTTTCCAAATATAAATATAAAAATAAAAAACCGGGACGTCGGTGTAACGCTCAGCTTCCCAGGTGCCAAATTAATATATTTAATACCATCCAATTGTTTTGTTGTATCCATGGAGACTCAGGGTCGACCAGATGATGATAAATAAAGGGTCAACTCCGATCTATAGCACTTAACACAAAGGATTTAACCTTGATTCAAGTATGAACAGTTGATTCCATCGTATTTGGTTTATTTCAACAATTAAGGATGATTTTTTTTTTGTACCAACATGTTCATATTTTCCCTTTAATAATATGAATGTCATACCCGACTTACAAAACCAGAACCTTAAAATCGAAAACAGACAATCGAACGAGTAAAATGCGGGGGAATACTGACTTCAGCAGGAAAAAGATCATACCAGTAATAAACCAGCGTTACTTGGATATTTTACAATCACAGGGCAATGTCGGAGTATCACTCAATGGGTTAATATTTTTAAATGTGGAACCAATGAATTATGGTATAAACTTTTTTTTATTTTATAAGTAGGGTTATTGTCTTTTAATGGTAAATATATCTTGTCGACTAAATAGAATCATTTCTCTTTTTTAAGAGGTATATCACAAGTACTATGTGAATTAAGTAAAGAATTACTGCTTTCTTTCCTTTTTTTTACACAAGGGAAAATACTGAATAAAAGTGTGAGAGTGGGAATTGACAGTAGAAGGCTGGTAAAGTGGTAAAAAAAGTTCTATAAATGGTACGAGTCCCCTTGTCCGACCAACCAATAGCGTGTGTGTGAAAATATGAAATTGCGGGGAGAATGGGAAGCTCATTCCCTTTCCGCGGTACACGGAGGGTAAAAATTTATTTTGTACCTGCGTAACACCTTGCCTGTGGGGAACATTTTCACATTTGGCATTATTGTACAATTTTAACGCCAGGGTCCTTTTTTTTTTATTTTTTTTATTTTTAAAATCATGTGGCATTCGGTATAGCAGACATGCTTCTGATTGGTGTTGTAGAACATGACAGTCCTCTTCTGCTGCCTGTAAATACCTTTAGCATCTAGTAATATTTAGTAATTCATGTTACTTACGCTGACTGGATGTTCGGTTGACATGGACAATCTGCTGTGGTTCATGCGCCCCATATTTATCACGCCTACTCGGTGCTGTTTTACTTCTCCGCAAACTACTCATTGTTGGAGGATCCTGAACATCATTGGCTCCTATAGACTCAATACCTGAACCTGAATAGGAGCCAGCTGCAATTGAATATATAAGGGATGGTCGATGGCTTGAGCACGGACGTCTAGCCTCTTCAGAGCCTTGTATGTTAGCTCGAAAACCTAATTTAAAATTACTATTCATAGCCTTCTCCACTTTTTCCTCCACAAAATACTTACTTTTTTGTGATACTTGAGAAATGTTAGTAATTGCATGAACACTGGGCATCGAAAATCGTTCTTGATTTTCTATTAAAAATCCCAATACTTTTTGAGACTCAAAGTATTCGGCTGGATTCATTTCATCGTCGGGATGGGAGAGTATACCCTAATTTTCCCAGTTTTTTTTTTTTTTTTTTTTTTTTTCTTTTTTTTTAAAAAAAATGTCTATGGAGTTTACATAATCTACAAGATAGAACTTACGGGTGCAAAAACAGCAGACAGACATGCAATATCCATCCTGGTATATTCTTGAGCAGTAACAAACATTCCCATCATATCTAATAGATATAATAACAAATATTGATGAGCCAAAGGTAATTGGGCAATGATGTTTTGGATCGCTTCTATTTTTAGATCTAAATTGGGATATTCAGAAACTACATATGAAAGAGAGAAAATAGATTAAGCTATGTAAGGATTCGAAGCATTATACTACTGTCCTTACGGGTAACGTCCTTAAATATCCGGTAGTACTTTAAAGTAATAACAGGCTCGGGCAAAAAATTTAAAAAGCGTTTCATGACATTGGCTGCATCATGAACGGTGTATCCTCTCCAGTCTAGCTGGGAACCATAAGTATCAGGCGTATCAAAGATCGATTGTAGCATCCGGGTCCTTCTTGCGCTCCCCGATACTCGAAATATACCCTCAGTCGTCATGGCTTCAAAACAATAGAATTAATTTATGTTTATCTTTTTTTTTCGTAGCAGCAAACCTTCTTCTTTTAAAAATGATCCACATTTGGCAATAATAGTTGGTATGACACCAAAGCACTGTGTATTGGTTACATCGTCAATGTACGAAATACTGGAATGAGCGTATTCATTTGATTCGACAAGTGGGATTCCAAACACTCCTTTCTCTAGCATTAAAAAAAAATAGAGGTTTTTACAAATAGTATAAAGTTTAGTTATTGAGCTTACCAACAATTGGTACTTTCATGTCTTTGAAATTCCTGGCTAAGGGATGTGCAGCTGTCACTTTTTTCCACCAGCCTCTAACCAAGGCTTTTTGGCCGGGAGTGAAGACTCCTAGCATTTCTAAATTAGACATTTTTGTAAAATATGCTTGTGCAATGTGTGAAAAAGAGCAAAAAAAAAAAAGTTTATTTTTTCGATTTAACAAATTTCACCAGAATATGTTTGTATATTCCAACTGTGGCGTTCAGACCTTGATATGGAGATTTTAACGCGACAGACCGAAATGACGTAGCCAAAAGTAAAATAAAAAACGTCTACTCAAGTGGGGCCATTATTGCAGATCATTTGTGATGCAGAATTGTTATGAGGATTATAGATACTTTATCCGCTAATGTACCTCACATGCGTATAAAAATAGCATCTAAATATAAATTAGGCTACATCTTTGTAAATGCATCTATTTTCTCATTTTTACTGCAGTCCTGGCACTTTAGATTCAGACTAAATGAAGCAAAATAATCGGCTTTGATTGTATTTTGTTCGAAATTCTATGCCGCAATAGAAGATTCTTTTAGTATAAATCTAGGAGCCCATAAAGAAATACATGTCTGTAGACCAGCTTTATGCATTTGTTAATCTGACCTCCATTCCAGAGCAACAATGGCTGATATACATATTATAATGCCAATACTTCTTTGTAACTAGATACATCTGCTGGTAAAGTATACTATGTGAGCTCATATTATTCACTTGCTTAAATTTTTATGATAATCTAATTTTTTACGTCACTGTTGTTCTTTACAACCTCAAAAGTTCAACGGAAGTCAGTTTTTGCACTTATACTTGGCGTGTTCGTCGAACTGAATTTATGTTTCCGTCGGGATTTCTAATCGTCCCTTGCTTTTACGCATACTCTATAATCTAGTAGCATTACATATATTTTTTGTATATTCACAACGGAAATATGTTTGATAGGAAGGTATAAGTGAAGATATAAATGACCCAAAAGCACAATATCTGGGCCTTATACTACCATCCTTAATTATTCTTCAAAGATGGTAGCATTTATTTTTATTTTCGCTAGAGATACTCTCTCACTTTCTCTTTTTACAAACGTTTTCTTGCTAAAGATTATATTAAATACAAGGCCCCGTTGCTTTAAAATTGTAGATAGAACTGTATTGATAGCATCAGTCCACACAAAAGTCTCGGCTGATATAGCTATCTAATTCCTAACAACATACAATTAATTAAGCAGATAAAAGCTTATTCACGACAGTAAAGGTCTACGTATTGCAATACACACGCATATGTTTAATCCGTTTTTACATACAATGTTCAATCCATTTTTTATATTATCGTCTGTCCACTTAGCTACAATAACAACATTACGATACCAGAGTCCTTAATTAGATTTTCAAGGATTTGGATTTTTTAATAAAATGCACCTCAATCAATACTTTAATTTTAACACGAGTTCAATAGGGTAAGGTAATATGATTGCATATACGATGCTATTTAATATATAGCTACTGATATTACAGATACTCATCCATCTCTTCAATATACTTGTAGTCCAATTGCTCCTCTTCATCACTGTCCCAGTCCGCACTTTCATTATTAGATTTTACAGCAACTTCTGAAGCAGCTTTGCTGTTATCAATAACGCCTGCTGGAGATCTGTTACAACTTTCATTTGAACTATTTTCTGGTATTTGAAAACGTACAACGTTGCCTTTACTTCTTTTTCGCGGATGTTGACTACTTGATAAAGATTCACAGGAAGTGTTTTTGCTATCAACTGCACTATGATCTCTCTTGATGGCCTTTTTACGGTCAGGTTCAACGTCTTTTTCCTGAGACGATAATGATGACAAGGATGACATCAAGGGAATGTTCATATCTGTCTCATCGTCTAATTTTGAAGGTTTATCATTTTGATTCATTGGCAGCTCTGCTTTGTGTGAAGCGTTTTCGAAATCCTCCACATTACTTTGGGAAGAGGTCTCAACATCAAGGTACATTTTCCTAAGTATGGATTTATCTTGTGTGGAGTATAAGTACCCTTCGCTGTCTGTTTCGTGGATGACAGACTTTCCTTGGGTAGAATATACAATCTCATGATTAGGGTATGAATTATCCACGTTTAATTTGTCCTGGGTGGAAAGTATTGTTTCATTTTCCTCAGGTTCATTTGACTTTAGCGTGTCTTGTGTAGAATAGATACGTATGTCATCAGCATAGTTTATGTTGGGCTTGCTTTGGGTAGAATTTATAAGCTGATCGTCAGAGTTGTAAGCATTTGATATATCTTGTGAAGAGCAAATTAGTTCATCTTCAGAAAATATTATACTACTCTTGTCCTGCTGTGATGAGTTCACATCCTCATTTGTTTCTAAGCCTTTGATGTCAAATAATGCTTCGCCTTCATCTTCATAAATTGGGAGATGTTCCGGTCCATGTGCTTTAGTATATGTATGTAATTTCTCACGAATGGGTAATGGATCCTTAAATATTGGTTTAATGTGTGGTTTCTTGGGTACATAGCCTATATCAGAATTGCTTGGTGATACTCGGGAAAATACTTGGCTATCTGTATCAGGTAGATTTCCTTCGTGACCATCCCATGATAAGGCATCCTCTTTGTAATCGCCTAAACTATCTTCCTGTTCCTGATCAGGCTGAATGTTGGTACATACTCGAGATCCCTTGGTTGCATTTGCATTTTCAACAAGTTGTGTTGCAGGTATGAAATCCTCATCTTCATAAGCCGCTGGTATCTGTGTTGCCGGTATAAAAGTTTCTTCATTTACTACCTGTGTGCATGGAATAGACTCCACAGTTGCTTCCGTCTTATGAGACGACTGCGAAGGGTTAGGACAATCATGTTCGTTATATTGTGTTGGTGTGACGTTGTTTTGTACGATCTCGGCATGATCTTGGTGAGATGTTATTTTTGAGACGTAAGGTTTGTCCGAGTAGGCACCACTCCAGAATTCATCCACTCTATTCTGTTCATCTGCTGCGTCCTTTTCTTGTTTTAATTGTGTAAAAACATACTCGATATTGTTATCAAGCTGTCGTTGAGTCTGTTCATCATTGATTATCTCTATTTCATCCTTGATAGGATCCGAGATTCCATGCTCCTATAATACGCCACAGTCAAAACTTTTGTTTCTAGACACACACCCACACACTCATATGCAAAGATCTACCTTGATGCAAAATTGTACAGGCCTATTTAATGTGGCATCAGACAATCTGTACAGATAAGCGAAACGAGAACTTCTTTTACGAAACAGGAACAGTCTACTACTACACCAGTTTCCCCATGCGGGACCTAGGGATGGGATCCAATCTGAATCTTCACCTTCCTGGGTCACATGGTTAACAACCGCTACCTATTTTAACAGGTTACAAAAAAAAAAAAAAAGCTCACAATCGGAAAGAATAGTGAATATTCTCACTTACTGCCAAATTTTTTTCTCTAGCAATATTCGTGAGAGTTATTCCAATCTCATTTAAGAGTCCGTCTCTGACAGCTTTTGTCAATACGTTGACTCGAAAATGGAAAGCCAATGAATCAATAATGATTAATTTTGTATTGGGGAAATCCTCAAGCATGTCCGGTAGTTGAGTGATAATTGACATGAGTTCAGCATGGCTCAAGACATGGAATAAATGAAGTCGATCAATATTTTGAGTGGTCAAGATGTCCTTGAGTCGGCCATTCAATGAGCATGAACCTTCTGTATCTATGTAGATACATTCGCCTTTAGCTAACGAATTGACACCTATCTGCATACTAGAAACAGCTTATATTACTACTATGTTTGACATGTTGGATCTATTTCCATTACCAGAGCTGTGTTTTTCCTGTGCCCGATTCACCACAGATCTCTGTGATTTTCTTAGGTGGAATGCCGAATCCAAACAACAGGTCGATATTATTGGATTGAGTGGAGATACTGTTTAATTGTTCATTTTGATGTTTCACTTCAATCTCGTCACGCTCTGCGCAGTATTAACTACTTATAAAAAAATAGTTCAATTCATAATATTCACCTTTGTCAATCGCTTTAGAAAGTTGTTCCCTCTCCAATTGATTCAATTGCAATTCTGTCAGAAAAAAAAGGAAACTGCGCAATCAGTGACTGAAAGGGTGCAGGTCATTTTATTACCATTACCTGTTGTAATGTCAAGTATATCAAGCGACAAGAGTTTCTCAATCGTCTCATAACCAGCTCTTTTTATTTTTTGTTGCAACGGGATTGATAGATTTATATGGTTTAGAGACATGGTTGTTAATACTAAGGAACTTTAAAGAAAGAAGCAAGGACTCTAATTTTCAAAAAAAAAAAAAAAAAATCCCGCACAAAACACGCGTCACGCTAAGGTGACACGAAATAATTAATCTCGCGTTTAAAATCCATGCAAAGACAAAGCAAACGAGTTATTTAAGGCAATAGCTTACAACTTTTTTTTTCTCTTATCGATGAAAATCAGATAATGGTACAACAAAACGAAGGCTTTTTCTAAAAAAGATCAAGGTTATTATGCAACATCCAACCTTTGTACGCCTTTATTATTGATTAAATGCAGAGCTTGCATATACAAATCTAATAAGCGCAAGGTTTCAGTGGAATGGGAAGGACCTGCACAGTATATTTATGCAACGTGTTACATGCTTTGGAGGGCGTAAATACACGATCCTGTGACGAGTTCCATTTCCCCCAGATTTTTATTTTATTTTTAAGTTTTACCCAATCGTAAAAAAAAAGTACACGCTATATATTTAATGAAAGAGTTATAGCTATGTAAGCGACCGTGGGTAAATATTTTTTGTGGAGTAAACGTTACACTTTAAGCCAAAATGTATCATAATTTTCATTACAAACTATTAAAGATTGCTAAACAGATGAAATGCATTATTCTATCCATACCATCATCTGTCGCCATAACCTGTTTTAAACTAGTCTCATCGCATATAGCTAAGCAACGGATCAGAATTACTCGAGTGACATCATATTACAAAGGCAAGAGTTCATTATAACGGGATCCCAATAGCTACATCCTTTCTTGGGAGGAATTTAAATCGGAAAATTTGCAGACGAATAGAATGCATGGAAAACAAAAAAATAAATTTTTATAGTGGGTGAGAAAAGTATAACACAAAAACTAGACTAAATTAAAAAAGTTACACATACATGCTTGTCCGCCAAATAAAAAAAAAAAAGTATAAAAAAATGGGGTAGAAGCTGTGCGTTTTGTTCTTCCTTTACTTTTTTTCATCAATTTTTGTAAAATGTCTGAATTCATCGTTGAAACAACCACCCCCAATGGCTATAAGCTCAAACGTAAGTACTTCTTGTTGAGTTCGCAAAGACGCGTTACTAATCCCACGTTTCATCAGTCCAAACCGGTCTCTTCATCAACAATGAATTTGTAGCTGGTGCCGATACTCTTGAGACTATTAACCCTTCTACTGGAAAGATTATTGCTAATGTTCAAGCTGGTACGTAGCTTAACAATATCTATCACTTCAATTCATAGATCTAACCACGCATTTATCAACTATAGCTGATAAGAACGATGTTAACAAGGCTGTTCAAGCTGCTCATAACGCTTTCAATGGTCCTTGGGGTAAGATGAGTGCCCTCAACCGTGCTGCTCTTATGTTCAAGCTCGCTGATCTCATTGATCGTGATAACGAGGAACTCTCTCAAATCGAAACTATGGATAACGGTAAGGGTATCACTTTTGCTCGTTTGTTTGACGTAAAGCAAATCGCCATTTCTCTTCGTTACTTTGCCGGTTATGCCGATAAAGTCCACGGTAAGGTTATTGACACTGAGGGTGCTCTCTCTTATACTCGTCATGAACCCATCGGTGTTTGTGGTGCCATTATCCCTTGGAACTTCCCCTTGATGATGTTGGGTTGGAAGCTCGGTCCTGCTCTTGCCACTGGTAACACCTGTGTCGTTAAGACCTCCGAATTAACTCCTCTTTCCGCATATAAGGTTGCTCAACTTGTTATCGAAGCTGGTTTCCCTCCTGGTGTTATCAACATCATCACTGGTCTTGGTGCCATTGCCGGTGATGCTTTAGCTCGTAATATGGATGTTCATAAGATTGCTTTCACTGGAAGTACCGCTGTTGGTCGTCTTATTATGAAGGCTGCTGCCGAAAGTAATCTTAAGAAGGTTACACTTGAATTAGGCGGTAAATCTCCTAATATTATTTTTGATGATTGTGATCTTGATCAAGCAGTAAGATGGGCACACAAGGGTATCTTCTTCAACCATGGTCAAACATGTTGTGCTGGTAGTCGTATCTACGTCCAATCTACCATCCATGACGAATTCCTCCGTAAATTCAAGGAATACACAAGCCAAACCAAGTTGGGTAATCCTCATGATGATGATACTTTCCAAGGACCTCAAGTTTCACAAACACAATTCGATCGTATTATGGGATTCATTGACACAGGTAAGAAGGAAGGTGCTACCTGTTTCTTGGGTGGTGAACGTTGGGGTGATGAAGGTTATTTCATTCAACCTACTGTCTTCACTGACGTTAAGGAAGATATGGCCATTGTTAAGGAAGAAATCTTTGGTCCTGTTGTCACTGTATCAAAGTTCAATGATGTTGAGGATGTTCTTCATATGGCCCTTGATACTGAGTACGGTCTTGCTGCTGCTGTATTCACAAAGGATACTGCTCGTGCCATTGATGTTTCTAATCGTCTTAAGGCTGGTACTGTTTGGGTCAACTGCTTCAATGAATTGGATTATAACACTCCCTTCGGTGGTTTCCGTCAAAGTGGTATCGGTCGTGAGAATGGTGAATATGCTTTGGATAACTATATTCAGGTATGTTACAGGATAGTATATTTCAAGCGTGTGAATCTAACAATTTCTTATTATATTTGCAGGTCAAGACTGTTAAGATCAATGTCAGCCGTAAACCATAAATATATCCCTAATCTATACTTTTCCACATGACAAGTAATTTTGCTCTTTTTTTTTTTTGAATTGCTGTGATTTCTAAAAAAAAAAATTTTCAATTAAAATATGATATTTGAACTCCTAAAATTAAAAACATGGTAGAAATACACGCAAATTACGTAAACCTTTTTATACCCAAAGTACTTATTTTCTGTACTATTGGAAGTTGAGGATACACAAAAGTATCATATGCTGATCATAGTTTACTGCTTTTTAAGTAGTGGAAAAGGAAAATAAAAAATACACACATATCTTCTGCTTAGTAATCAACGCTAAGCTCCAATTGCATCCACATGCTCTTGAACGTTACTACGTACGACCCACGTATTGCATATGTATACTCAATGAAAATTAAAATCAACACCGCAGCAATACATTTTGCTTTCTGATGGAGAGGAGGGTAAGAGAATCATGAGAAAATTCTAGTTTCTTGTGACTGTTGGCATTGTGAAATATATTTAGTATCGCTATGCTTGATTGTTGCTAGGCCGTACAGTTGAAGCGTTTTCTTGAAGAAGCTAAATCTTGAAAAGCGTGCTGAATGAGACGTCTTGGCAAGGCTAAGGACAGCCAGACAACCAATCAAGTAATGCTGGCGGAGAGCTAAAAGGACAATGGGGACACTCGGGAAAAATCTTTTTACTGAACTGGGTACAGTGACTGTTGCAGTATTTGAAACCCCATTACAAGCAAAAAAAGTATAAAAGAAGCGAAAAAGTAAGCAATTAATTTTTTTCTTTAGTGACCGTACTCTACAGGATCTGTATGCAGTATGTTTCAATTCTACGTTTTCTAAACTAGATACAATCCCAAAGTTAGTCGATGATTTTCAGTAGACCTTCTTTTGAGTGAAGTGTGCCGATTATTGTTCTCTGAACAGTTCTCGTCAGTTGATGATCTCGCCTGTCTTTATTCCAAGGACATGGCAAGGAAGGAGCTACAAGTCTGATAACTTAATTTTTTATATTGAAGAAAAACGAAAAACTCAGCCACTTAAAATGTTATTTTATCTTTTTGAATCTATAGTAAAATTTATAGAAAAATAAGTATTGTACTGCTAAAATGCGAATAGCTCATACTTGAGCTTAAGTAGACGAGCGTAAAATCATAAGTTGATCACCATTGCATCTTAAGACTTGTTTTAGGAAATATACAGAGTACTGTATGTTCTTATAAGGAATCAGTGTCTCTCCAAACGGTAAATTTTTCACTCTTCGAGGGACAGCCACTTTTCCTTAGGGACAAGTAAAGTGCTTATATGAAGAAGCTAAAAAAGATAATGATTACGGAGCGAGTTTTCTGCTCCACACGTAGTCACAACGTGTGCTAACTGTCTTAGCTGTCTTAAGACTTAAAAACACGAATATGCAATTAAAAACAATGTAATAGTTGCGAATGAATGTATATTGAACTATGTATATACTTCTTCGGACAAAACGATCGTTACTCTTTCAACTTTGCTATTGTTTGATCTCACTTTTGGGTGCAAAGCAGAAAAAAGACGTTAAAAGTAACATACAGACAGGATTTCCATATGTTTATTGAGTAATAAACTTACATCCAGTTAAAGGTGCTAAATCATATTGACCACTTGGTGTCAGTTAAGGTATCCTATCCTACATTACGATTACGCGCACCCTGGTAGTTCCTCAGGATAAGTGGCTGTTTCTTGAAGATCCGTAAGTTTTTTTATATGAAGTTGTAAGCCCTCTGTTTTTCAAATTCTAAATAAATAGTCATTAAATAAGTAAATTACTTCTTGTTTATATAAACGTACATACTGAAGCATATTTTTACAACTGTATTCTTTATTTATTTTGTGTTTCAGACGACAACTTCTCATTAACAAATGCTTAGAACTATAGTACTCCCTTTGTATGATATTTGCCATTCCATTTTGGAGGCAGGTTTCAATAGTTTAAATGTTTGGTAATAACACAAGTCGATAATATATACTTAACTCTACAATAATTTTATATGTACAGGTGTTTGGTAACGATAGTTTCTTTACATGTTGCTACCTGAACAACAAATAGTATAACTTCGAATTCTCTTGCCGGGTTTTACATTTATGACTTTATACTAGTCTCACTAGAGAGATATAAACGATTTACAGCAACCTACAGCAAATTAAGTAAAGATATTTCATTGGCCGAAGGGTTTAAGCGTGTGAGTGTGTGTTGTGGAAAATAAAAAATGATTTACGTGTCTCTTTCCATTTACTTTCACATAAAAAACAGGCGGTTTTAAAATGGTAGGGGTTTTTTTAATGTGAACGACCAATGTTACCCTTATTTATACTAATTTACAGAAAATCAGCAAGAGCTAACCTACATTAGAGCTAAAAGAGAAAAGACAATCTTGTTTTTATGCATTGACCTGAAGGACACAGTTGATCAATTAAAAACTAAATTATGCCAAGCACTCGACAATAAGAAGTCTAGCGACGATATTAGAATATTAGTTGACGGCAAAAGAGAAGGAGAATATAAAGTCTTAGAAGATGTGAAGTTCTTAGATAATAGCGATATTGTTTACTTTGTCTATCTTCAAGGAAATGGTATGTGTCCGTAAAAATTATATACTTGTTTGAAGTATTTAAATAAAATTTCCCTGTAGGTCAGTGGGAACCTATAAATGTGATTGAACCAGAGCCTGCAGATGAAGATGAAATAGAAGAGGAAGAGCCACAAGTGATCAAAAAAGAGAAGGGAAAAGGCAGAGCTTGAATTATTGATTGTCACAAAATAAAAATAAAAGAATAGGCACTAAAAAAAAAACATTTTCTCTTTCTTTCATATACTTTTTTATTTCAGTTTCTTTATTTATTAAACATGTCATCTATAGACGATATTAGTAAGTATCTATCAAAGAAAGTTTATCAGTATGAATTACAAACGGCTCTTTATATGCTGGAGCCCTGGGAGAAGATCTTGTTCAGTAAGTTGCTTATTTGAAAGCCAAGAAGAAAAAGAATATTGTTACTGACATGATAAATAGACTCCCTTGCATTATGTCTTCTAAGTCTCTCAATTGCAACAATATATCACTTTACACCATCTGTATTTGCTAAATCGATGGAAATATAACCCAACCAAATCTTCAAATACACCTCTTATTACTATTACTATTTATTCCAATAATTTACTTTTGTACAAAATAAAACAATTATCCCTGTTAAATCTTTAACCTTATATCTGCGATTTAAAAAAAAAGTCCAAGTCGATTGCATTTGTCTTTTTTACAGATAACACAAGTTTCTCTGGACAACGATGCATATTATATGTATTTAAAAAGCAGGCCGATAATAGCATGTTTTAACCAAGGATTCCGAAGAAACACTTGGAAAAAAGGGCTTAGACAGAACCATATTTCCTAAAAAGATTTTCATTGTATTACACGAGATAGCATTTCTTTTTGTTAAGGTAAGTGATCCTTATAAAAAAAGGCTTTTTCATTGTTTGTGTCAGCCATTGTTAAGACACCATATTTATTATTTTACATGATTACATCTATTTTCTCTTATTCTATTTCTTAAAACACAGTTCTACATAAAGGACAACTAGCCGAGTTGGATGAACGGAACCACTTTGAAAAAAAAGAAAAAAGAAAAATTAGAATCCGAGAGGCTTGTTTCTATAAAGTGTATTGACTTACCTTGTATAAACAGGAAGAATGGAATTTGTTTTTACATGTTCTACATTGCTTTGTGGGTATCGATCTATCTTGAACACTAATAATGGAATAACAGATAGTACAATCCTCGACACCACTAAAGTGAAGGTTCACATTGCGCTTAAACACAGTTAAAGCGTCAACAATGTTACCATTCTAGAAAACAATCAACATATATTAATCTCTGGTATTTACCCCACATAGCTTCTGTATATTTTACCTGAGAACCAATTACTGCAGCTACAGCAAACATCCAACCACGCCATTGCTTATCATTTACGCCAACCTTTTGGACACCCTCTACATCAATCTGACGTAAAGGAAAGTTACTAGGCAACTTGATTGCGATTTGCATATTTTGTTCATCTACTCTATATGTTGCAGTCACTTCGCTTGCAGAACGAAGTGTCTTAACAGTAAACTCATTCTCTTCATTCTCCTCCAACTGAGTCTTTATATCTGGTCGATTTACTAAATCCATCTCGTTGTTGATTAATTGCTGACTAAAATATTTTTCAGTATAACTTTCAACTGCGATGGTCAATTGTCGTTGTTTACAATCGATCCACCAAAGCCTGATCAGTGATGGAATGTGTGTCAAAGCTCGGTAGTACAGATGAGAGGCCAAGATGAGGTAACTCATTTCAGCCGCTGAATCAAATCCTTCTGTATCATATTCCACAATGGACCAAGGGGTTAAATCGAATGGTTTACTTCCTTGATGGCCTTGACCCACACTGAGGACTTTACAGAGCACTGGCATCAGATGTGACACCGCCTCCCGTTCCTTTAATTGGGCCGTATATTCTTGCTTCAATTTGAAAGTCTTGTAAAAGATTAGGTTAATGATTTATCCTTCAATTGAACAAGTAAATAAATACTTACGATGTCGGTAAAATGATCAAACATCAACATCCAGGTCAAAAGATATCCAAGGATCTCATGTAAGGCCTGTTCTTCAAGTCCTGTCGATTGCCAATTGGATAGATCAGGAGGATTTAAAAGAACATCAAACACATCCTTGTCTATATCTGCACGGGTTTCTTCTTCTACAACAACAAAGTTCATTAATGCATGATATACAAACAGTCGAAAGATATATATCCGTTACCATTGGTTTCAGTAAACTCAAGTCGAACCGATAAATCCTGGACTCGATGAGCAACATATTTCTGTAGCAAGAGGTAAGCACGCTTCTGTAATACTTCATTTGGAGTATGGATCAATGCATTCAGCTACACAATGTAAGAATCAATACCATTGTCATTATGTATAGATACAAACTTACATTATTAAAACATTCAGACTCGATCAATGTCTTTTCAGGAATATTTTCGAGTAACTCGGCTAGCAAAGTCTGATAAACCAACCTTGCTTTACTATATCCAACGAAATGCACATCGTCTTTCTTTTGTTGCAAATATTCTTCTTCCTTTGCCATTAACTCTAGAAGCGCTTTACTCATAATAGGTAGATGATCATGTACAACCTCCAGTAATTCATCGTTATTTTGAGAAAGTGTATATAAGGCATTGAATAAATCAAGTGCGCTATAGACAACAATCAATTCTTCTGGTTGACTAGCATCCGCACATGCAACCCAGCCAAAACAGGATTGCAAGAAAAACTCCCGATGACTTCCCGAGATATCCTGCACAGTATCTGCCAAATGCTTCAATAATTGTGCCAGTTGTGCTTGAACTCGAGCCTTTTGCTGATCACTACTGAATTCATAATCATCGTCATCGTTTTGTAACATGGGGCGGATACCTTGAATCAGATACATGATTCTCTGACGAGGGATATCAAAAGATCCGTACTTAAGTGAAGAAGCGTTTAAAAGCGCTAATAAACTATAGTTGGTCTTCTTTTTCAAATCGGGATCCTCCATATCATAATCAAACTTTTCCAATTTAGAGACACCCGACAATTTACTGGCTAAATCGCTTTGATAATGTTTGTATGTGTTTGTAGAGCTGATCGTGTTTTTAAATGAACTTAAAATGGCAATCTTGGCCAACAAATCCAATTCATTGGACTCGGCCTTGACAAAAGGCAACCATTTCTCGAGATCTTCCACAGACCATTCAATGAGTATGGAAAGTCTCTGAAGCACATGTTGTAAGACGGTAGCAGAAAGAACCTCGTTCTCGGAGGACTTCATTAAACGAGCCACAAAATTCAACAAACGATCACTACCATCCATTCCTCCTGGACCTTCCTTAATAGCCTTCAAGAGCCGTTCATTCCATTCCGAAGCATTTTTGATAGATACATGTGTGTCAAGCGAGGTTACAAGCCAGTCAGAAAATAAAGCATCAGTACTTTGGACAAAAGCACGAATACCATCAACAGCCTTGCTTTCCCAAACGCGACAGATACCGGGAACAGTCAAACCTTGTTCACAAGCAGCGCTAGTCATCATCAATTGACCTATCACCCAATCACGACGCATGTCACAGAAAAAGTGTTTACGGACATGAGAATCCGACAAATACTCACCCAAAAACAAAGCAAATCTTCCAAACGCACTTAGTCCATAGATATCAAATGAAACGGGTGTCAGTTCACCAGAGTCTTCAATTAGAGGCTGAACGGCTAAAGAAGCATAGTTATTCACAATACCAAGCGATAATAACTCGTTAGTGTATTGACCAAGAGGCACCTCTGAAAGCTCTTTCCATTCTTGTTCGGTTCCCAAGATAGCTGTAATAGCTTCTTCACGAGCGAGATCGTCAGAATAAGCAGTGTCCAAAAGTTTTTCAATACGACGGACAGAATCCGAAGGACTGGCAGAATAGCGGATATCAATAATAGAACGCTTTATGCGACGGAGAAGCGTAACATTACCCACAGAGAGATTCTTCACGAGTAAATCCCAAACAGCAGAAGCACGGGTACAAATCTGAAGAGAGAGCTCCTCATTGTCTTCAGCCTTGGCTTGTTCCTCTTCTTCATGCTGAGTTTTGGCAGTGACAAACATGGCATCGAAGACCTCGCAAATGATATTCTCTGTCATTTGAATCAATTGGTCTGCATTTTCATCAAACAACTGTTGTAAAATAACAAGCGTAGACAAGGTGGTCTTGAGAGTTTGGACACTAGGTTCAGGTAATGCATGTGATTTCTTTTCAATATATTGATGACGGTTAAATGCAACTAAGTTTGCCTCCAACCCTGAGATGATTCCGGTGGCAGTAGCATCAGATAAGAGCTTGAAGGATAGGTAATGGGACAAACTTAGAGAAACAATACTCTCTAAAATAGGACGGGGTACAATCACACAAGCTTCATTAAGTCTAACGAGTGCACAAGTTTCCACAAGGGAATCCAGTTGTTCGGAATTATAATCGAAATCAAGGGTCAATTTTTCAGATTGGATTTGTTCAAGTACCAAAAGTAAGATCTTGGCGCCACGTAATTTCATATCATCGGTGTTAAACATAATGTATAATTGGTTCATCAATCCAGACCACAAGCTCTTTGCTTCGTCTTTATCCTTGATAGCAGCAACAAGTGTTACGTAGAAGGATATCAACGAGACACCAGCATTTTCAGCAGCTTCGGTAAACAAGACCAAAAGTTGCTGTGTAGCATGAACAACACCTTCTGTCTTGATAGCAGACTCACGGTAATTAGAAATCAGTTGGTAAGCCAACACCAATAAGCCAAATGCTTTATCTTTATGAACAATACTTGATTGAAGAGATGCCAACAAAAGACGCTTGGCGAGATCGTTCGCGTACGATTGAAGAGTAGCATACTTTTCATGATTGTTAGCTTGTTGAATCTCGCGAGAGATAGCAGTCAAAAGATTACCAGTTTTTTGACAGAATACATCCATATCAAGGGGAGCACGCGTGACTTCAGAGCCACAATCAATTACGGTCTGAACCAAGAGTGCATCCATATGTGACCAAAAAGTGACCATGCAATCCTTAACGCTCTCAACAGACGCCATAACCACCAAATGTTTTGCAACAATAGCATAGCCATTTGGATCCAACTTATCTCCAATGTTTTTATCACGCGAATTTAAAAAATACACCTTGATCATATCCCAGAATGTGTTCTCGATCAAATCAGTAGCTGTCTTAATAGCCTTTTCGTCGGCTGATTTACTAGAAAAAATAAATGAGTGGTTTTCTTTCCCGGTTGATTTAAAGTATTTACCTTAAAGTGATCGCAAAGTAGACAACACATTCAGCATACGCATTTAAAAAGATGTGAGAGTTAGACCTGTCGATGAAATCAGTGGATAATCCCTTCCAAAAATTTTCAAATACGTCTGTATAAAACTTGGGGGCTTCTTTCAATTCATCTGGAAGGTTTGCCAATAAGGCAAGCATACTAGGATAAGAAATACTGACAGAGCCATTAAGACCTGATCGAAGAAAGTGATACAGTTTGGGCAAGGCAGGCTTCTTTTTACCGATAATGACCCAAGACGATGGGAATTCTAAGTATAATAAATTCAGCACAAATCAAAAAAAAAAGAAAAAGAACTTACTTTTGGTCATCAATAAAAGAGCGTCCCACATGTCGGAATGTGTGGAAGTATCCTTTTCAGTGAAAACGCTGGCATAAAAGTTGGGACAAATTAAATCTAATCTAGTTTCGATCATCTCCTTCCAATTCAACAAAAGTGTTCTGATAAAAGTGTATAATGCTTTGCGGATAACGGGATTTTCATGTGTGGCAAATCTCTTCCACATGGTTGTGTCATCCATAATCAAATCATACTCATTTTGGCATTTAGTTCTTTCGTCTAAAGATAAGGCGGTAATCAAGTAGGATATAACTGCAAAACTAGACGATATGATACGAGCATACTTTGCGGCCATATCTTCCTTGGAAACATAACGAGCGTCACTGAGTGTGTCTGCAGTTTTGTATAATAACATGTCGGTTACATAATCCAAAATTTCTTTTTGACAAAAGGTCATGACGCCCAATCTCTTTTCTTGTGCAAACACAGCCTATAACGTACCGATATAAGAATTTCAAATTTTTAGCTCTGTTGCATATATGATTTACCTCGAAGGAACATTGTGCAACTCGGGCTACGTCCTTACTCTGATCGTTCATGGCTAAAATCCAAGGGCCGATAAATTCCTTTAGAAGAGGAGCTAATCTCTTTTTTGCATTAGCAGTAATGAGCGAATGGACTTGATTAGCAACTAAACGAACACGGCGATCGACCTCTAAAACCAACTTTCCATACATGGGAACCTAAAAATGTCCTACTCGTCAATTAACTATTTTTTTTCCGCCCGCAAGGTGACATACCCAGTTATGTAAAATGTGTCCCACCGCATGTTTGTTGGATTTCAGGTAATTTTCCAATTCTTCCAAAGCCTTCAATTTGGTTACTGCATCGCGTTTAGTCACTTTTTTAAGAATAACGACTAATTCGGGATCCAAATCAGTGGACGAAGAGGTGGAGCTTTCAAAGCCATCTAATGACGAAGGTGTGGCAGGTCGTGAGCTGGCAATACCTGCTGTTGTTGAAGATGCTCCTACAAACTGAGCAAATCCACCGAGGTTTTCAAAACTAAGTGAATTCGCGGTTCCTGCTAAGTCGGCTGCACGACTAACAATAGAAATAGATATCCTACTTTAGTACGATGTTTACAGCGCTATGTCTAACGAGCATTACCTGCTACTAGCAGGCTGCATATTGCCTTTAACTCTAGGTTTCGTAGGTCTACCCATCCTATGTGATTTTTATTTTGATAGTTAAAATAAAAAAGAAAAAGAAAAGTACAACGACGCAGCAAAAAAAAAAGTGATGATAATTTTATTTTTATGACGTGAAACCGTCACTTAAAAAGTTTTGTGTTATGCGAAATTAGAAATTAGTAGATGCCTAATGAGAATTATAGTTAGCATAAACCTCCTTTAATTATCGAAAAAAAAAACTTACCAGGAATAATTCTGTATTTGACAGTTTTACAGTAAGTTTCCCAATCTTTACCGTACTTTGTTCTGCACTTGTGATCATCTCTTCTTTCACGGTGAAGTAAAAGAATACCAAAATAAACAGGGTAAAAATAAGGAATAGGAGAAGCGAATCCACAAGGCAAACTCCAAGAGAAAGCCATTAACCAATCACCAAGATAATTGATATGACGAGACATACCCCACCATCCAGATGTGATTAATTTACTACCAACCTTAGTTTGAAGATATTTAAGCTGCTTTGATTCAGGGCTATTAGGATAAGCACGGAATTCGTTCTTTTGGGAGTTGGCACTTCTGAAAATAAAGTACCCGACAAAATTGAGGAACAGAATAGCTCCAAACTCAATCCAACTAATGCTACGAGGAAAATCCACCAGATAGCGTGCTTGAAGAGTGTAGGTGAATGGAACCCAAGTATATAAACCAAATGCAAGCATGAAGCCAAAACCGTCTAGAACAATAATAATTTTTTTTGTTTGTTAATATGACATGTTTACAATCGCATTAAACTTGGTCTTACCAGTAGTGATATCCATTGTAGTTAAAACAGCTTCTTCGTTCCAAAGAGAATCAATTACATACCAAGATTGGAAGCATTGAACAAGAAGCATTGCATTAGTAATATAACCAAGATCAGCAAATTGTTTGGCAGCTAAACAATAGTTGATGGCCATCCATCCAATCAATCCAGGACGAAGTTCAGTGAAGAACTTGATATCAAAACTTTCAATGCGAGGGTTCAATTCTCTGCCAATCATAAACTACCGAGAAAAAAAAAATTAATGCTAGCTTCTGGATTTGACAAGTCTTGTAACTTACATCATAAATAGCATTGCCGGTGTTACCACCCAAAGCCAACAACTTACCACGCTTGAAACTAGCAAAATAGACAGCAAATGAAACAATATAACTAAAGATAATTGAAGCAAAAGCTAAACCGACATAATGGTCATAAACAAATAAAAGAGGCTTGAGACCAGTATCCTTTAAAAAGTAGAGTGCAACAAAAAAAGTGGTGTGGAAAGAAGCAAAACCTTTTTGTTGAAAAGATTTAGAAAGTAAGTATATAGTTAAATAGAAAGAATGAGCATCATCTACCGTTCATTCTGTACTTGTGTTTTGTGCCATCCCTCAATGTGATGCCAGGGATGTTTTCACCAGGTAAAACCATGTAAAAGATCGCTAACATAGCAACGAAGCCAACATAAATCAGGAAGGCAATGGGATCGAAAAGATTGTATAAAAAGTCCTTGTTAAGTTTAGAAAGAATAGCTGTCTTCCAGTCGTCTTTAATTGCTTGGGAAGGATAACCCGTAGAATCACAACATGTTGCGAAAAAGAGAACGATGACGGGAAGAATGACAACCATGGCTAAAGCACCAATGGGTCCTCCAAATTCATAATTTGTTGTTTTTGGGTTGAGCTCGCTTGTCTGTTCTGCTTTAGCAACAGCAGCTATCACTTGCTGTTTCGTCTTTCTTTTTTGAACTGCCATATCAATCAATAAAAAGGAAGAAATAGGAAAAGAAAATGGCAACCATCTGTTTTATTGTGTCTTTATGTGCAACCCCGGGGTTTTAAAACGATAGAAACCCAAAGTCTGTGTGGTTGTCCGCTTAAATATGTTACACACAATTACAACTCTAATCGCGTCCTGTTTGATCATAAACCTTTCGCTTTTTTGCTACATTGGACGTAAACAGTTAATAATTAAATCAAAAGGATAAGGCCGATAATTTTTTTACCATCACGAAGTACACTATAGGCGGATGATATCGATTGGAATTTTGCCTTAGCTGCCTGTTTTTGTTCAGGCTCGGAAAATCTATCAGGATGATGCTTCATGGCAAGACTAGGACATATATAAGCTACCTGCACAAGAATAGTTACGTTAAAATCTTACCCTCTAAATGCACTTTGGATGTCGGACTGGCTTGCAGAAGGCGATAAACCCAGCGCCTTATAATATCCTTTAGGATCATTACCTCCACTCGCCGCATTATACCCTTCATTAGAAGACTTGTTGTACCAAGATGACTTACTTTGGTACTCTTCACGCCATGTACGTCGTCTCTCTTGATCTTCGAATGCTGCATAACCTTTGACCCAATCACCATCCCATGCCTCTGGATCCTGTTCCATAGCTTTAATTTCATGGTTTCTAATTAAATCACGAATATACAAGGACAACAATGGATAATACATTGTAAACATGGATGTTGCAACTGTAGGTAAAACTACTCCCAACTAATATATGGTTAACGCTATGTTTTTTTCAGAACTTTATTCTTATTAACTTACCCAGAATGAACCACTAGCACCACCCCATCCAATTCCACCCGTCATCAGCATGGTTGCGGCCATACCCAAAGCAGAGACAGCAGCCACTCTCTCCCAATTATAAACTTTGGTTCCGCCTATCGTCAAATCGTGGCCATTGACAAACGTTCTCAACCTTCTACCCAGATAATTTACCGAAAAGATATATGCTGGGTAATACACAGGTGATACACGGACATTCTCCAATTGAATGTTTATTTTTAACAATCTTGTCTCATCCATCCCATATGCCTTTCTTAAAAAATCGTCTGCTAATTTCTCCTCTGAGTCTTTGATATAAGATTTTGCAAATCTTAAAGCTGTTGTGGGATAAATCATGAAAGGATCTACTTTACGTGGTGGATCGTCGTTGGAGGGCGTATCTAATAAGGAAGGAGAAAATGGTATGGCATTTTCAAGCGCTGGACCCGTAGCTATTTTACTTACGAGACCGCGTCTATACCTATGTGAGCCGTAAATTTGTAAGCCGGGGTGGGCCAAAGGAATATACTCTCTTGTAAAACTATGTTTCTCAGGTACCCAAGCCCACTCCGTTTCCCATCGTGATTCTGTTTGCTTGGTGGCGGGGTTATATACCGATCTCATCACTCGTCTTCCCTACCAATGATTGTCAGATATCCAACGATTCTTATACTTTTTGGTTTTCTGTATTACCACTTGTGCTTGTTCAATGGTGGAATGAACTGTGGCTGATACAACCCAGAAAGGGAGGAACGTTTGCTCTGGCGGGGCCATTTTAGATAGTCGTGCGGAAAAAAAACCACTACCATGATAGTCTTCAAAAGTCTTTTCATTTTTTGTTAAAAATTCTGTCATTGTAATTATTTTATACAATGTACCTTTTCAGCAGCCTTGACGTGTTGTGCAAAAGGGATTGCTTTAAGTTTATCACGCGAAGGTCCGCCTCTACTAGAGCTTGAATGGCGAATTATTGACTTTATAAAAGTAAATTTCTTTGGAATTGGAAGTCGTCCAACTGTATGAATTAAATAAAGCATTTTGTTTCCAACAAGGAAATATAAAATTCAACAAGACAAGTTTGATTTATGTAATTATGTAACTGTGACGTTGCGGCTCAAATTTGATGTAACATTCCTTTTTCCCAAATTCAGCTAGCATTAAATTTTTGGCATTATCCTCTTCCCCGTTGACTCAAAGCTACAAATATAACTTAGAATGACTCTTGTGCGAGAACTTCAATAATTACAGCTTTGGAGAACCACAAGGATCAATGAAAGCCAGTGCATGCTTAATATCAAAAAAAAAAGAGCCCCCCATAAGTTGCAAAAAACTAAATAATGATCTTTCTACATTTTTAAATACTTCGTCTTGTACAAGCACTGTATGCTCATGAGTAATAAATTGTTGAATCCCTGCTTCATGTAAAACTCCGTCTAATCTAAATGAGGCAGGCCAAACATATTGATTAAATTAATGTTACAATTTTATTTGATTGTAGAACAGTGGATAGATTAATTAGTTAGTTTTTTCTGCATATGCATTTTGTTTAGATAGCTTTTTGTGTATCGTTGTAAGACTTTCCGGTCATCAAGCCAGTGATGGTGTTGTTGCTCCAAGGAACATCTTTATCCGCAATATGAATATTCTTGTACTTAAGAGCCTTGGCAGTATGTTTAAAGACGTTGGAAACAGTCTTGTTAACGTCTTGTTGACCTAAGTTTCCGAGATCCCAGTTATGCTCAACAGTACTGAGAGTGGAGAAATCTACAATGGGCTGTTAGATTCCCAATATTTAGTTATACAGTGTATGACTTACGAGTGTAGAAGGTGTGATCAATAGTACCCCTCAACTTCTTGGGGATATCACCAAAGAGAAGAGTCCAAACTCTGTTTCTCTGGGGGAAACTAGCATTCTATAGACGCAGCTTAAGGTGTTAAGCAAAATCCACTGTATACAATAAAATAATTATTTGTATCTTACTTCATCGAATGTGATCATGACAAGAGTCTTCTTGAGAAGATTAGGATGGTCCAAGGTCTTCTTGTAGAAGTTATCAAGCCAATTGCCAGCATAGGAAATATTCGTATCTAATACAATTCAATAATTAGATTATCATTCATCGACAACAATTTGTATAGTTTCTTACCATGAGCATCGTTCTTCATATTGGGAGTGTAGCTTTTTTTTTAAAAAAATGGGAGGTTAGATTATAGGACGTAATATTTAGTGTAACTATACTCACAACATCCAATTGGGAAGCTTATCATTATGAATATCCTTGACAAATTGATCATCTAGTAGTATATTACGTGTTGAGTCTAGGTTTTAAATATTGTACTAAAGTAAATAGTGCTTACGTCCAACAATGTTCTTCAAACGGGTGGCGTTTAATCCGACAGCATCGAAACTGACAGCGGGATTATGCTTGCGAACATAATCACCAGCCTTGTCGCCGGTATAACCAACAGAAGGGATATCTTCTTGATAACACTTCCAGGTCAACCCTTTGTTCTCAATGAGGTCAAAGATGGAAGGAACGTGGGCGGGGATATTATAGTAGTCATCATCATCAATACCGAAATTAGATCCACCGCCAGCAGCAACATAATTGGGCTCAGAAGGATGGGTAACAGCATTGAAGTTATCCAAAAGAATACCTTTCTTAAGAAGCTTGCTAAAGCCGGGAGTAGAATTGGCATCATTGAAGTTCTAAAGTGTAGCAGTCAATATCACGTATAATCATTGAATCAACGTATATTTACCGTGTTCTCGAACCAAATTTGAAGAATATGATCAAAAGCTTTACCTTTAGGAACTTTGGGTTTATGTTCCTTATGTCCATGGTCATCATGCTTTTTTGCAGAGGCAAGACCGACGAGAGCAGCGACAGTTAAGATGGAAGCGAAAGAAATATGCATTTTAGAGTAGTTAAAGATGATTAGTTACAAAAAAAATCAATTTGGTCCAAAACCCTCTTAGTATTTATATTAGTTTTTTTTGTGTCTCTTGAAAATCAAGTCTTTATCACTTTGCTCTAGGCTTTTTTTTTAGCTATCAGGATAGGTACATTATAAACAGTCTTTAATCAAAATTGCATTATCTCAAAATTCTCGTTTACCCAGAATCGTTACTGCTTTGTGTGACATTCTACCAAGTGAACAAATCAGGCAAAATAATTTAAAAAAGGGTTTGCACGACACCCAAAAAAAGAGACATTAGGCTAAATTCAGTACTCATTATCTCAATTGGCTATTTTTGAATAAAAACTTCAAATTTATAATAAACATTATAGGGTGTATTCTTTGCACACAAACTATATGGCTTTGTAACAATGAAAATGATATCAACAGCACGATAGTCATTATTTTTCCATATTTTAGTACAAGATAAGCAAAAAACACAAACACTTGGTATTCATTGACTAATGAGAAGCATTTTTATTATATTTTACCAATGACCGTTAAGATTTAGCCAGCATACATTGCAATTGTATTTTATACACACGCTTTAATTAGTTTTTATTCTTTATCTGCGTCGACTGTTCGTACAACAGTGAACATAATTTTATACCAAGTCACATATAATTTTTTTTACAATCTCACCATTACCTTGAGCTGATTGTTAAGAGATTAATACGCTAAGTTATATATTGGATAATGTTCTTTGGTTAATTTTTTTTGTTAAACATAGATTGTAATTGTCCAAAGTAACTTCTTTATGTAAACAACCAATTAAGGTAGGTATGTTGTTATCTACTGTCCAATTTGTACTACATGTTGAAAACGCTCTTAAATACACATTAGAAAAATTTGATTTGTACATTACCAAATATGGTTCCCATGTCATGAAGTAAAGGTATATTTAAGATATCAAATGGAAGTGTGATACGTCAAAAACGAAGTTCTTATCTACAAACAGTTGCTTTGATTAGACAATATGGGTTTCAAGTTTACTAACCAATAGCTCATCTGTTGTGAACAATTATTCAAAAAGAAACACTGAGTGTATACGTACAATCTTAAGAGAAGTAGGTATCACCTTACTATATTGCACAAATTATTAGAATATATTCAATCGATTTTAAGCATTGTTCCTTCTTCATGCATTATACCGAACTCTTTTTCTCATTGTACAAAAATGCAGAATATACCATAAAGAATTATCTCACATGAGAAGCTTTTCATATTCAATTGGCTAGAACCGCTTTTGGATAGCGTTTGTACATCTGGTAATTATCTCAATCTATTAGATAGTTATTTGGTGAAGCAATACAAAAGAACTGTTCCACAAGAATATTGGTCTGGTGGATTTAATTTTTGTTTTTCCAAGTCTTTTTTCTTTTTGTTATTCAAAAGTAGTCCATTGTATCAGTATATTCTGTAATGGCAGGGCTTTTTGGTGTATTTCATTTATAAATAAATTAATGGTTATATTTTTGTTCGCATTACCACGCCTGAAAATTGAAATCCTTAGCTTGATATGCGTTTCGTGCCACGGACAATTATAATAACAAAAGGGACCGTCAATGTTTAATGTGCGTTAAATGTTGATCGATTGAAGTATCTGGCTTTGTTAATGTGGTTTTTCTTATAAAAAAAACTATTAAGATATGGACCCCTTTTCGAATTATTACTAAAAGCAAGAAAATATTACACAAACCAACAGAATCCCTTGTATTTTGTGCGCTTACTGATAAATAATCAGCAAGTGTAGCATCACATACATTTAAGTATTCTGATAGAATGACTTAAGTCAGTCAAGTAAAACTGTAGACCATAATTATTTTTGTTATAATAAATCAATTATCTCATCTTAGTGTAATGAATGAAATCTACTCGGTCGCTTTTTCTTTTCTTTTCTTTTCTTTCATTTACCTCAACGGTGTCTCATCAAGTCACTGATGAATTCTTTTTACTTAAGCAAATGCAAAAAAAAGTGAAGGCACAAACTTTTATGTCTTCCGATTTTTGTAAGATATAAATCGATATTATATTTTCGACTAGTCGCCATTATATTATGGGTTAGGAAACTTTAGGCTTCTGGGTTACCTCAAGCCACATACATAATCAAGAATACATAGCTATGATAAAGTGTCGTTTAAACAGTACTTCCAAAAGAAAAAAATGTAGGCGGAGATATTTCCATAAATAATCAAAGTTAAAAACCTCAAATACAACTCTGGCAGCCACAAAAGATGTCTATAAAGATATTGTATTGGCAATTCATCACATTATGTAACTATAACAAGTGTGAGACATCATATTACAAAGACGTTTCTTCGCATTTTTGGAAGCATTAAGAGATATAAAAGTTATTAAAATTCAAAGCGTAGGTAAATTAATTAAATATCCATGCCCATCTTTTTTTGTTAGTGCTAAAATGCCTTACTCGCTTCTATTATATTGCTCGACTAAAATGTTCTGTTATCATGAGATAACATATATATTTATACTCTAAATGAATGATTGGGGTTTTCATTATGTCTTTTTCTTCAAGCAGGCGCTAGTCCTCTGCAATTTTAATAACATTGCAGACAGGCTAAATAACTAATATAGGCAGCATTTAAAAAAACGCCAAAAAGTATAATCAGCAACCAAGGCTATTACAGAGTTCCAGTTATGCGCTAGATCTATTTACAAACAGGGGTTTTGAAAAAATAGAATAAAAAAAAAAGCATTAAAATCTATTTTATTCTAAAAATTGTTATAAAGAAAAACCTACGTCAGCAACGGGTATTTATGTTATCAATGTTTGCGAATCCCATGCTTGTTGGGTCCGAAGAAAGTTTATTATGATACCCGGAGGTACTAGAGTCCTTACTTGGTTTTAGCTACAATCGTTACATAAATATAAGCCCGTGCAAAGTTTCAATGACGAATATCCTCGTTGCTTGACAGTGCTTTATGTCTCAATATTTACAAGTAAGATAATGCGACTGTGTAATAGGCTTCCCACTATTCATGTAACACTACTGCTTATTTGGTTTAGGCTTTTTTCAATACAGTGCCACATATTCTTTGATTTCTTCCTTGGTTTTAAAAAATCGTAGAGTTCAAATAATTTGTAGCAAGCCAGTCACCTTCTTCGTATTTTGCACAAAACAGTACAACTATTCAATTAAAATTTATGTAGTTCTTACCAAAAGAAAAGTTGAAGATCATTCAATTCTGAAGGATAACCAGTCTACAAAGCATAATGCGATTTATGATAGTAGTCCCGTAAAGCTGATTGGGTGTATTTTTATTAAAGACTACTACCCCAGAAAAATGTATACGGCTTGCTATCGATTACATCTGCAGATATATGAAAATAAACAGATTTATAATTGTCTCATGTGAGAGATCATACAAACGTCATCCATCATTATACAATGTAGACGACACACTATTTGTTTTGAGTTCGTCCTCAAATTTGACATCATATTTTCAGACTCTTTATCGAATTTAGAAAGGAGGGTATGGAAGATTAATTTGTTATTCTCATACAGACTGATAGCTTGATTAGTAAAGATTATTTGTTTTGTTGTTGAAGCTACTTTGCGTTACTTGACGCTGGGTTAAACTGTAGATACATTGATTTCAAATATGAACCTTACCTTTCATAGCATCCGGAAATCCCCCCTCCGTGTAACATATATTCAAGTCTATTAAAACAGTGTCTATCAAAAACGAAAAAGGCTGGTTAAAGAGATCGTTTATTATTTACTTTGGCTGATCAGACATTCAAGAGATTTCCCCCAGATGTAGTTTTTATAAACCCTTGACACAATGATTATACAACTAATTTTATTGGACTACGTTTGCCGAAAGACATAGCAAAGACGGCGAAATTAAAACATGGCAAAGACGGCAAAATTTATCCGCAGCGTCCTTTATGAATCATAAGCTGCCGGGAAGAAAAAAACTTTTTTAAAGACAGAATCAATTAATATAAATAGAAAGGGTTAGTTATGATATGGGATTATCTTTCAAAATCTATCATTATAAATGAAATTCAGCAGCAAAAAACCCGTTTTATCGCTATTAGCAGCAACCCTTCTCGTTGGATCGAATGCACTGGAGATGCAACCTTCGTTTAGAGAGGGAAACTTCAAAAATATTGCCTTTACTGCATTGATAGGTGGCTCGTCCCACCACAATTGGGTATTATCTATCATCGATGAGCTCGGTGATCGTGGACATAATGTGTCTTATTTGACTTCCGTAAGTTTAATTGTTATTCATTACATTTATAATCTAATCGACCTGAAATCTACTAGACACAAGAAACCCGATTTGGCCAACCTTTTCAAAATGTCAGAACCGTTGACATAGGACCCGAGGTTCCTTATGACAAGGTTAAGGTAATGCAAGATATGTGCTCTGGAAAGCCTCCAATCGAAATATTTTCTAAATCGATGCCTTTAATGACTGCACATTACGAAAGAGGTAAAAATAATAAAAAATAATATTGATCCGGTTTTAACATATTCCATATTATAGACTATTTTACTTATCTAAGTTATTTTGAAAGTAATCGCATTGATTTGGCGCTATGTGATCACTTTGTAGATGCATGTGTTGATGCTGCAAATACTTTGAGCATACCATTTATTGTAACATCAACCCTTGACTACACTTCTGGTAAGGAGCAGATTCATTCTTTATTATGTACTTTTTTTACTGACTGCGTTTGTCTACTAACTTGTAGAGGCCGCTGCACCCTACATTAACAACAACATGAACACCATGAGCGATTATACAACTGAATTCCAAAGCTTTTCAACACGTTTCAAGAACAAATTCATTGTCCCTTTAGATGCCCTATACAGATTTTATCCGCATATCAAAGACATGATGGCTAGAAAAAGAGCCATCGGGATTGAAGCCAAATTCGAGACCCCCGAATCCGCCTGGAAAGATTCTATTAAATTGGTCAACAGTTTATTTGGGTATACTGCTGCTAGACCCTTGGGTCCCCTGTCAGAACATATCGGTCCTATTATTCCCAAAAAGTACAAACCCTTAACCGGCGAGCTTGAGCAGTACTTTAGCTCTCATGAACGTGTTGCCTATATTGCATTCGGTCAGCAGGCCGTACCTTCGGAACAAAATATCAGACTAATTTTAACAGGTCTCTTAGAGAGTATCGAGGCTGGGACTCTAGATGGATTCCTTTGGGCCACTGTCAACTCCGGTGGTAGCTTCCCTGATTCCATTACCACTTCTTCCAATACCACTTATAATGTTCTGGATATGTTTAGCCACGCAAACCCTCATGCGCGTATGATTAAATGGGCTCCTCAAATTGCTATTCTCGCACATCCATCGACGGCAGTATTTGTGTCTCACGGCGGTTTAGGCTCTTGGTATGAATCTATGTATGCTGGTACACCTATGATCATGTTCCCATTTTTTGGGGATCAACCTGGTAATGCTTTAATCATTGAACGTAGTGCATTAGGTGGTATTATCAAATCAGACGGCCCTGTAGAAGATGCTGTTGAGTTATTTAAGAAGGTTGTTATCGATGAAGACGACGAAATCAAGAAGAATGTCAAACGTATTCAAGCTCTCACTCAAATCCATTCCGAACATAGCATTCTTCGTGCTGCCGATATTGTAGAAGAGGTTGCTTATACTCATAAAGACAACAAACTTCTTCATCGTCAAACTGCCAGTCTTAATATGCCATATATTAAATCTCACAACATTGATTTGTATGCTGCTCTCTTGTCCCTTTTGACTGGTGCTTTAGCCTTAGCTGTCTTCATAATTAGCAAGGCTTTGGGGGCGAAGCAAATAAAAATGAAGACGCAATAGACTGCTGTATTATATATTTCACCGTACAATTATTACCTCACTTTACTATCATTTAATTAAATAAATTGTCATTTCATAAGTTGTAAATCATCTAAACCAGCTGTATACTATTTAAACTTATTTTAGATCAATGCGCAGCCTCTTTTTTTTTTTACAGGTGGTACTTTGTCACACTTTAATGTAGGACCGTGGTGTAATATTTTAACACCGCAAGATCGTTTATCCTCAGAACTAATTTCGCATTTGTCAGGCGGGTGTAATAAATCAACCTTTCGTATGATTTTATAGCAAACAGCAGTCCTCAACCGAAGGATGACACGAAATTAATTTGGCTCAGCCCTATCATCAGTCATTTACGTTTTGTCTAATATCATCCCGAGTACTTTTTAATGTCGCTTTTCTTTCCAATAAGCACAAAAGCCGTATTTTGGTACTTTATTACAAATGCCAGAATTTAAAGCTTTGTGAATAGACTTTCCCCCAGTTAGTAAAGAAAATCTTGCCTTAAAAGGTATTTTTGTAGTTTATTCTTTTCTCGTTCGATCTTTGGTCAAGGCTTGAGATCACTTTTGGAGAGGTGAACCTCTGTAATTATTCAATATAATAACATGACTAGTGATGATTTATACTTAGAAACGCATATGTTTGTATTTTTACTTTGAAAAACACACGTAATAAGACAATGGGATTGTTGGCCGGATCCCTGAAATAAACACAGTGTATCACCATACATACTTTATTTTGGAAGATATTTCCACAATTAAAAAATTATTTATAAATAGTACATATTGTAAGTAACTAAATATTTAACACGGACAAAAGAATAAAAGACCAGCACCGTTTGCTCCACTGTGAGGTTTGAATATCTTGTTCCTAAGTAAAAATACTAAAATAATAAGAGCAGAAGCTACAGCAATTAGAACTATACCAGTTGTATTTAAACCACTGGAGTGGTCGGGGTTACTATTGTCTTCAGGAGTATTGGAGCTTTCTTCTGGTGGTGAAATAGTAGGAGGAGTCATAACACTGAACGTAACAGGCTTGTATAATGCAGTGTCGTTGATTATGTTTCCATTTATATTATGTGGAAGTAAATAAATATCGTACATCAATTGATCAAGAGGAATGTTTGGTGGGAACCAATTGTTTGTAATATTGACCTTGAAGTTTGAGGCGTTTTTGGGTATGTTAGAAAATCCAAATAAAAATGTATCTGTAGAGTTGGCTTTGGTTAGGTAATTTATTTCGATATCCACAGTTTCAGTGTTATTATAGTTGGGATGCTTAGAATCCCAGGTTATGTCGTAGTTGCTACCAGAATACCAAACCGTACTTGATTGTGGAGAGCATATGGCTGTAATGTTTGGGGAGGAATTGCACGTAATCGACATTATTTTTGGGAAGAAGTAAAAGGAGACCAGCAATTTCGATTTATCTAATAGCCTTCGATTTATTGATTTTTCAAGTCGTACAAAGGCACAAACTCTTCTAAGAACCATTCACAAGTTTTGTTACTTTTCGACCAATCAAAAAAAAACTCGAGATAATTCTACTCTGGCAAGTATGACCATTTACTGGCTTGTTTATACAAGCAATTTGAGATAGTATGCATTCCATTGGCTGAAGTTTAAGCAATTTTAATTTTTTAAAGCTTAGTCCTACGTATGTCAATTATTATAGGGAGGAATAATTTAAACGATGGCATACAGGAAGTATTTATATAGTTTTCGTATTCTGATTTTTATTTTTATCCAACATATTTTTGACGAATATGTCAATGTCGAATCTAAAAACTATATTTGATCAATCTACCTTCAAACTGTTAATGCATGTACGAGGGACTGTTTATCGTTTCTATCAGCCACTGTGTTTAAAGTTGGATATTTTTTGGAATATCTTTTTTTAAAATTCATCGATTCTCTCTTAAATTAATCATGTCTGAAGAAGTTATCGAGAAGAAAGCATTCACCAAAAAGATCAACAAGAAGGAATCTTCTGAAGATCCTCACGCCAAGTTAACATTGTTTGTTAGAGGACTTCCTTTTGATGCCACTAGCAAAGATCTCGAAGATTTCTTTGGCGAAATTGGTCCTATTAGAAAGTGTTTTGTTGTAACTGACAGATCCACCGAGGAAGAAAAGAAGGACGACACCGTACCCAAGGCACCTGTTAAAAATAAGGGTTTTGGTTATGTTCATTATGCTTTGGAAGAAGATGCTAAAGAAGCCATTGCCAAATTGAAGAGTGTCAAATTCAAGGGAAGAAAATTGAACATTGAACTCGCCAAGAGAAAGTCAGAAACTGTTCGTGAAGATACCAGAAAACCCGCTGCTGTTGTCGAAAAGGTTGTCGAACCTAAGAAACCTTCTGAACCTTTAAACTTTGACGTTAATGCTCGTTTAATTGTTCGTAATTTACCTTGGAAGTACAGAGAGGCTGACTTGAGAAAGTTGTTCGAAGCTTATGGTACCGTCCACGATCTCAAATTACCTCGCAAGTACGAAGGTGGCCCACTCCGTGGTTTTGCCTTTATTCAATTTGAAAAGGTTGAGGATGCTAAAGCTGTAAGTAAACACATCTTTTTGAATTGAGTGTCACGTTTCTAATTTAATTTTAATTCTAGGCTATGGATGCTATGAATGCCACCGAACATGCTGGCAGAACAATCGCAGTCGATTGGTCCATTCCCAAAGGAAAATATCGTGAGACCGAAGAGAAAGAAGCTGCTGCCGCCCAGGCTGCTGCTGCCGAAAACGAGGATACCGAAATGAAGGAATCCAGTGATAGTGAAGAAAGCAGTTCTGACGAGGAAGAAGCCAATAGTGCAGATGAAGAAGAGAATGACAGTGATAACAGCGATAGCGACGATAACGAAGATGACGAAAGTGAAGAGGAATTAAGCGATAACGACGAAAACGCCGAAGCTAGAAAGGCCAAAAAAATGACAGGTCCTACTTCTGCCGATGGTACCACCATGTTTGTCCGTAACCTCTTGTTCGAAACCACCGAAGAAGATTTAAAGCAGTTGTAAGTCATTTGGAAGAAGTCGGTATATTTTTGATACTAAGGTTTTTTTTTTAAAAAAAAATAGATTCACACAATGGGGACCTGTTCTCTATGCTAAAATTACTAGAGATCCTGTTACCAAGTTATCTCGTGGTACTGGTTTCGTTTGTATGCGTAAGAAGGAAGATGTAGACACAATTTTAGCTGCTGCAGAAACACTCCGTAATATTTCACAAAAGGAAGAGAACAACGATTCAGAAGCTATGAATCAATTACTTTCAAAGCGTGAAAAGAAGAAGAAGGGTTTGATGTATAAGAGTATTATTACACCCGAATCTGGATCTGGTGAAGGTGCTAAATTCACACTTCATGGTCGTGTTTTGGAAGTTTCATTGGCCGTGGATCGTACACAAGCTAAAGAAATCAAGGACGCCAATTTATCACAAAAGAGAAAAGAAGATAAGCGTAATCTCTATTTAATGCGTGAAGGTGTTGTGTTCCCCGATACACCTGCCGCTGAGACCATGACTCCTGCCGAATTATCCAAACGTCAAATGTCATTCTCTAGCAGAAAGAAGCTTGTCAGCAGTAACCCTGCTTTGTATATATCCAAAACTCGTCTCTCTATTCGTAATTTACCTATCAAGGTTACCGATACCGAACTTAGAGTGCTTGGTATCAGTAGTATTTCAAAGTTTAAAAACCAAGTCAAGGGTGGCGAACGTACAGATCTCACAAAGGACGAAAAGGAGGATGGCTGGCATTTATTACCCCGTGTCAAGCAAGCCAAAATTATCAGAAGCAAGGACAGAATTGACACTGCAACAAACGAATTACGTTCAAAGGGTTATGGTTTCTTAGAGTTCAATACACATTCACATGCCTTAGCATCTTTGAGATATCTTAACAACAACCCTGATATTTTCGAAGGTAAGAGATTGATCGTCGAGTTCTCGTTAGAAAATAAGGATGTCACCGATAGAAGAGATCAAAGAGGTGAAGGTGGTGATAGCCGAGGTAGTTTCGGTGGTGATCGTGGTGCAAAAAGAAGCTATGAAGGTGATAACAACGACGATCATAAAAGACAAAGAACCGATGAATCAAGCGGAGGCCGTGGTGGTTTCGGCGGTGATCGCGGTAGCCGTGGTCGTGGTGGCTTTGGTGGTGATCGTGGAGGTCGTGGCTCGTTCCGTGGCGGTGACCGTGATGGCGGCCGTGGTCGTGGTGGCTTCGGTGGCGATCGCGGAGGTCGCGGAGGTCGTGGCGGTTTTGGTGGTGACCGTGGAAGTCGCGGAGGCCGTGGTGGCCGTGGTGGCCGTGGCAGTTTCGGTGGTGACCGTGGAGGCCGTGGTGGTCGCGGAGGTCGCGGAGGTCGCGATTAACTTAACAAAAAATATAGTAAAAATAGCATAAAAAGTAAATAAATAGAATCATGGTTTTTTTTTATGATGACACTCTTAATACCAAAAACAAATTTTATTTTTATTCTCACAATGACTTTCAAAGAGACTTGAGTTTTTGCTTTTTGATGATTATTTTAAATATTCCAATTAAGGCACTACTTATCTTATAGCCGGCATATATAGACAAAGACAGACCCGCAGCCAATAATAAGAATACCACGACATATAAATCCATATTGGATGCCTTCCAATAGGACATACGACGATCAGCAGTGAATCGATGAGGAAGCTTGCCATCTTGATGGGTATAAGCAACTTCTTCGATTATATCAGCGCCGCGGATAATCCCATGCTCGGAATGAATTTGGACAAGTGCTTGTGTACGCTTAACGTTGGCTTTAATACGTATATCGGCTGCAACCTTTTTTAGTAATCTTGTAGCTTCTTCAACAGTTGCATCGGCTCTCATATATCCACCTAGTCCGTCACGTTCAATGGAAAATGCATTACCCAGTTGATCACCGAAGAATGGAAACACAATCATAGGTTTAGCAGCATACATGGATTCATACCAAGAACCTAAACCTCCATGAGAAATAAATATAGCTGTGGATGGGTGTAAAAGTACAGCAATTTGAGGGGTCCATTGCATCAAACGAGCATGAGGATTTAAGAAATCAAACATGTCTTTCACATTATACGAAGTATTGGAAGCCGTCGTGATTGATTCCGGGAAGAAACCTGCAGAATAAACTGTAGACCACAAAAATCCGTCAAAAGTTCCAACTTCAATACTTTCTAAAAGACTCGTCAAAACAAGCCTGATATTTTCTGTAGAAGGCACTGCAGCTTGTCCAAATGCAACATACGCCATACGTTTATGGCCATTCATATACTCTGCAAGCTGGCCTGACAAAGGTTTATAATGCCGGGGAATTATGGGGCCGACATATTCTGCCATGGGGCCAATAGGTCTGGCTGGGATAAATCCAAATAGACAATTGACCAACTTCAATGAATCCTTCCATGTATCACTCGGTGCTTCTAATTTTACGTCGATACCGAGAGCTCTTCTTCTAGCAGATATAGATTGAAGATGAGGCCAGAAATGGTACAAGCCGATATAAGGAGCTATAAATTTCTGCTTGAGGCGTTCCAAAAAGGTTTGGGACTCGGTGGAAAAATCCCCACTGTAGTTAAAATCATTGTTAACATATGATGCAGATGATTCTATTCAAAGACTTGTAAGCATAAAGGGAGTAATATATGTCCCCCCCCCCTCTCACCTGTTGTGAAGTCCATAGCAGCCGTTATAATGTACGGTATATTTAACGTTGTTGCTGCATCCACACACACATTCATTAGAATGTCACACAAGGCAAGGTCAATTTCATTTGTTTTAAAGTAGTTTAGCAGTGCAAGGTATTCTAGATGAAGTAAAAAATCAAGTTCTCGCATACCTTATTGAATCTTTTAAATATTTTACCTTTTTCATAATTCTTTGTCGCCATGTCAATTACCTTAGGAAAAAATGCTAATGCATCTTCACCGCCACTCATATCTCTTAAAAATTGAGCACGATCATCAGGTAATACACTTGGACCGATCTCGTATGTCTTCACATTTTCATAAGACTGGCCAAATTTGATTTCTTCTGACTGGAAACCAAATCAATAAATACCCTCACATTATACATTTTATAACTTACTGTTGTAAGAAAAGATAAATTATGCCCACGTAAGCCAAGCTCGTTACAGATAGAAAGTACCCAGTTGATATGTGGTGCGCCACCTATGGATGCAGAAAATGCAATTTTTTTATAATTTTCGTCCCGAAACGTTGGTTTCATATCAATAGCGTAAGAAAATGTTAGTAGGCCGGTAGTGAAGCACCCCAGGAGTAACTTAATCTTAAATGATTTCATTCGTAAAACAAAACAACGGAGTAGTTATGGAAAGGACAATCGAAAAGTTTATGATTATCGACTGCGGTTAAATACATCATCTGTTATTACTGTGGGTGTGGGTGACGACAACAGGGTGATTTTACGTTTTGGTCGTTTATTCACCGAGAAAACAGGTCAATCACAAGACTGTTATGATCCCTAAACAAAATAACTTGTACCCTGAATTAGGTAGGGATATGTGTTTTTGATTTGGTAAACTTTTTCATGCGGTAACTTCTGGGTACAAGCTACTCTCGAGATTTTAGGCAAACGAAAATCATGCATTTGTTAAAAGTCCAATACGTCTAAGCATTCTCACTACTGAACACTTTAGGTTGTCCTCATTGTGCGTCTTACATATTTATAACTCACCATGCCGACAAAGATTTGGGGTATGACTGATAAAACTTTTATCTACGCATTTTCATCGGGAGCAAACCTATACTTTTACCTCTAGATATAATGTATAGTGCTCTAGCAAAAAAAGAGCGTGTGTGTAAATTCTATTATTCATCTTTAAGAATTACATAAGCATTTGCTTCTATAATTTTTATGAATGGTCGGATTGTGAACAGACAAAAGAGCCCTCTACGATTTGTGAGAAGTTGTGCTGTAGGAGTATAGTCACAATGTTTTAAGAGATACTGGCCTTAGGATTAGTGTTGAATCTAATAGCTTATAGCTACTCTTGTTCCTATTTTTTTGTCCCCTGATTAAGGCATTCGGTTTATACCGTTAATCAGATTACAGATGCTACATACACCACATGTATGACAGACAGTCCCCACAGCGTCCCCTGAGAGAAATTGCCTTTTTTTTACACTCCAAAAAAATATGCATAGAATTTTGAGACAAGTCGCGACAAGACGAGTTGCCAATTACAGCCTTTTACGCCGATCCATCACGAGTATAAAACCATTGGCTCGACCCACCCAGCCGCTTCTCTTACAATTACAAGCAAGACGCTTTCCCTTATTTCAAAGAAACATGACCACCTATAAGGAAACACCCTTTTTAAAATGGAAACTGTTTCCTGACTTCCAACACTTGGTTGATCAAACCTCACCTGCCATTGCCGTACCAGCTTTTGAAAAAATTATTGAAGCTGCGAAAGAACAATTTGTTCAAATCGAAAAGACTTTTGAGCCTACTTGGGATGGCACTATTGGTCAATGTAAGCTTTTCATTTGACGTTAAATAATATCCCCTTCTGACAATATTCTATTCATTAGTGACCGAACTGGAAGACGAAGTATCTAGAGCCTTTGGTATTCTCTCTCATTTAAATGGTGTCAAGAATTCCGATGACGTTCGCTCTACACTTGAAAAGATTCAGCCTGAGTTTGTTAAATTAGGCTTACAAATGAATCAATCCGAGCCTAAGTTTAAAGCCCTCGAAAGTTTACGTAATACACCTTCTGCCTGGTCAAAATTAGATGCTGTGCAACAACGTATCATTGACCACACTTTACGCGATATGAAGCATGCGGGTATTGGATTTGCTGCTGGATCTGCTGAAAAGAAGCGATTCAATGAGATTTCTGAACGTTTATCTCAATTATCTTTATTGTTCGGTAACAACGTATTGGATGCCACCAAGGCATTCAAGCATGTCGTAACAGACGTATCTGAGTTATCGGGATGCTCGCCTACCTTTTTGGAAACCCTCAAGAAAAATGCGGAACGTCTTGGTGTAGAAGGTTATTGTATCACTTTAGATTTCCCTATTTACGGTCCCTTCATGATGAACTGTAACAACCGTGAATTACGTGAAAAAATTTACAAGGCAAACATCACCAAGGCATCCGAAGGTGCCATCAACAATGAACCGGTCATTAACGAAATTTTGACCTTGAAGGGTGAAAAAGCCAAATTGTTAGGTTATGAAACGCCTGCTGATCTTTCTTTATCGGTCAAAATGGCCCAATCCGTATCTGCCGCTGAATCCTTATTAAATGGTCTTTTCCAATCCTCCGTCCCTCACGCCAAACAAGAATTAATTGACCTGACCAAATTTGGCGAGGAAAAATTGAACCAACCTACACCTTTGCAACCTTGGGATCTTGGTTACGTTACAGAGCAATACCGTAAAGAATTATTCAAATATGACGAAGAAACCATTTCCGAATACTTTGCTTTCCCCAAGGTCTTAAACGGTTTATTCGATGTCGCTAACGAAGTTCTTGGTATTCAAGTCCGTGAGTTACAAGCATCTGAAATGTCTCAAAAGGGTATCACGCGCTGGCATGAGGATGTCAAGGTCTTTGAGGTGGCCGAACAAGGTCAAGTCAAGGCCTACTTTTATGGTGATTTCTACTCTCGTCCTTCTGAGAAACGAAGCGGTGCTTGGATGGATGTAGTTACTACACGTTTTAAACACGCTACAGACGAGACCACCTTACCCGTTGCTTACTTGATCTGTAATCAAGCTGCTCCTCAATCCGATAGCCAACCTTCTTTGATGAAGTTCCGTGATGTCGAAACTCTCTTCCATGAGTTCGGACATTGCTTGCAACATATGATGACTACCGTCGACTATGCACCCGCCTCAGGTATCAATGGCATTGAGTGGGATTTTGTTGAAGTTGCTTCACAATTCATGGAGAACTTCTGTAGTGAACCTGAATGGATCGATCGTCTCTCTGGTCATTACAAGACGGGCGAAAGCATGCCTCAAGATATGGTCAGTGCACTTGTAAAAGGAAGAGAATTTATGAGTGGTTTAGCCACGTTGCGTCAAATTCATTTCTCCAAGGTGGATTTGGCCTTACATTCACGTTTCAAGCCTCCCACCGGTCCCAATGAACCCACCGTTTTTGATGAGGATGCCAAAATTGCAAAGGAAACTGTGTTAACACCCCGCTTAGCTGAAGATCGTTTCTTGTGTAGTTTCAGTCATATCTTTGGTGGTGGGTACAGTGCAGGTTACTATAGTTATAAATGGTCTGAGACCTACTCGGCCGATGCTTATGCAGCTTTTGAAGAAGCGAAGGCTAAACAAGGTATCCAAGGTGTTAAATCAATGGGTAAGCATTACCGAGATACTATCTTAGCTTTGGGTGGTGGTACTGCTCCTAGAGATGTGTGGAAGCAATTCAGAGGAAGAGATAATGTAGATATCAGTGCTTTACTTCGTCATTCGGGTTTGGCTAAATAAACAAGTTTTATTTATTGTAATTGAATTAATTGATAACTGGGAAATACGAGTTCGTCATCCAACATTTTGCGTAATTGATCTACAATAAATTTCTCGATTTTACCCACATTTTTCAATACTTTTTTTTTATGTGGGAAACTTAGTCTACCTGCTACATGCATTTGTGTGTGTACGCGTAACTTTGCTTACCTTGCTTTTGCTCATCACCGACGATGGTCTCTATATGTACATTTCTCAATAAACTACAACACTGTAAGTAAAATTTACATATCCAAACATTGAATTATCTCACCTGTCCATGCCAATATCCTTTCGTATACCCGTATCTTCTGGTTCCAACATGGATACGCACACCCTGTTCATGCTCTGGATATATGCAACCACAGCTGTAGCTTCAAATTCGATTGCCTTGACATTCAAGTTGATGGGTAAGCTCATAAACATGACACTGGGGTAATTCATTCGAAGCTCTGTCACGATGGTCATATTCATATCCCCTTTATATGAAATCAGCATATGTACCTGGAAATCCATTTCAGTCGACTCCTTATCGCTGGATGAGTGACTGGTAGGAGGTAGAGAAGAAATGTTGGGATTGATCTCTTCATCGTCAATCCAGTCTTCTTCGGCAACAGAAGGGGGCCGTGATTGCCAAGCTAAAGAAGACAATGCAGGTACGGGAGAGCTATTAAATGGATGCTGTGGAGCTACAAATGGGGATCTATGAAATGAATGAATGAGATTGAAGCGTTGCTGTTGCGATAGTGGAGTATTTAAGGAGAATCTTGCTGCGTTATAGCCCACACCATCATCCGAAAAGAATTCGCTAGGTGGCAACGACGGTGTGACAGAAACAATTGTACTGGGCGAAGAAACAGATTTAGGGGCAGGTGTGGTTGATTCGCCTTCTTCTTCCTCATAGAATTCGGGAAAGGGGTCTGTAATGTTGATGATTTCTACTTGAGGGGTTTCGTTGCCCCAATTAAACGATGTGACTTCAATGTCGCCAATAAAAGAAGGTTTTGTAATTGCCTGAAAGTGTTTGTTGAGAAACTGTTGAACATGTCCAGCCAAGGTGTCGTCTAATTTTGACCAGTCGATGTCGAGTGACATTATTAACAAAAAATGCAAGATACTTTTTTAAACGTGACCCTGCCCCCTCCCCCATTGTCCCTTAAATTATTGTATCTCAACATAGCACACTGTAAAAAAAAGCAGAGATTATGATGCCCCTATAAGCATTCTAAGCCCATATTTTTGCCCTTGGCACTATTATCAAACGTGTGAATAAAAGACGCTAAAATAAACAGATAATTATACTAGAAGGTAATTTTATGATCGAATTAAGCTCATGTCACAGTTTAATTTTACTAGCCTACAGGAAGCTTCAAAAAAACAAATTAGCCAATTCTTGAAAAACGTCAACAATTACAGTACTTACATTATAATAAACTTCACACGATATTGGTAAAAGGTCAGAACTTGCACCCATTGACAAGCCTCAAAGCCATGAAGACAATGACCGGCGGGCGTGTTGGCGGTAACAAGAATGTCTCCCCTAGAGCCCACATTTTTATCGCAGCCATTTCTCTATTATTTCTAAGCATCTGCCTTTGTTTCTGGCTAAGCCAGTTTTCTCATCTGGTCGTGCTCAAGTATACTTATTTGTAAAAATCCGGTATATACAATAAATCATATTGTCCGTAACAAACTTTGATAGTACAGAAATGATGCGGAAATGTTTAACGAGTTGAGAGTACCTGCCAAAATTGAAAGAGTACAATATTTCACCTTCTTTACTCTAACGTTTCAAAGTGACAACGGTAGGAAAATAATCTTTATCTAACCACGTTGATTGTGTTACCTTCTCCTACTTATTTGACTTTTTGTTCATGTTGCTTTACATGGAGAACAAAATTAAAATAAAACCAAATACTGTTAGAACTAGGATACCACATTACTTTGGACGAAAAAAATAATAATTAAAAAACGTTATAATGGTCAAAATGAGAAAACTATGGAGAATATATAATGCATTATTGGACCATGATGTAATAATCTAGTATTAGTAAATAATAAACATGTCTTTTAATTTAGCCCTTCCATACTGAGTACGTAAATATTAGTCAGAAGCATCAACAATTATAAAAACATCAAATGACAAGAGTAATATTTATGCTCGGGATCTATTAATATTCTATTTAGTACGGGCTTATCCGACTGTATTGCTTTTTGCAGAATAAATATCTACTCGCCACAGGGTTGTACCCTGTGTACAGACTTCAACGATATGATGAGAACAAGCGGGGTTAATGCGTGATTGATGATTAACTTTTATATTACTGTCTAAATACACCCTTAATGTGATGTGATAACTATTTTTATTATTATATCTGTGGCATCCTCAACACATGCTCCAATTCTTTTATGCTTGTTTCTTTTTTTAGAATGTATATCTAAATAAGTTTAGCAAAACTATACAAATAACTCAATAAGACTCGCTCAAAGGCGTTTTTGTTTCTACTGGACCTGGTTTCTGACTACGAATTAAGTTTGTTACGCTTCATTCTTCTTTTGACAAGACACCAGAACTATTCAATTGCGTCAAGTTCTGGGGAGTATTTTGGAAAATGCACGACGTAACCTCTTCTCGAGATTTTGTTTTGCATAAATTTAAAACCATAAATAGAATAATTATGCATAACCAGATAAGACCCTACGTCATTTACAATGTTGAAAAACTTTGTATAGGGAGCAGAGGTAGCTCTCTTTGAAGATGATTCTGCAAATATTCAAAAGTACTTGCGTGTCGGCCTTCTACTACTATAACAGCCATCTTCTTGCCTTCGTCGTGCGGAGGAGGCTTTCTGAGAAAGCGAGATTTAATTCCTAATTGGGCGACATTTTGTTCGGTCCGGACAATGTGATTTATTGGGATCGACTGTTACTCACCACCTTGTTCGAAAATGGTTTTCCCGGGTATTGTGCACAATTCGATGATGATTGGGTTTCCAAGTGATCTACGGGGGGAGCAAATAAAATTTTAAAAATCACGTCAAAATTGTTCACCAAATTAAGCTTTTTATTAGTCTTTTATTATTGCTATATTGTACAAAGGTATATTATTATTACTATTTTTTAGGAGGGTAATTGAAGAGCCAAACTATAAAGATAAAAAAAAAGGCATGAGTCATCTATTTATATAAAAAAAGTAAACAAAAAAGACACTAACCTATTCTTTTTTTGCTTTTTCTCAAGTGACACTACTTGTTCGGCAGGAGGTAACAATTCAAAACTACACAATAAGTCGCTTGAAATGGTCATGACGGCACCATAATTATCAAACTCTCCACAATAATTCGGCGCGCTAAAAATCGTAACCAACCTACGCTCATTGAAAAATTCGTATCCATCTTCTACAACCTAAAAATAACACCAATATGAATCCCAAAATGTAAAAAAAAAAAAAAAAAATGGGAAAAAGAACGTACCATATGAGCTCTGCATACCAGGTCTAGATCAAATCTATTTAAAAACGCATCTACATTTTTCGTACCAAAGCAGACAGATACACCGCGATCGTTTTCACTCCAGTCGGGTGAGGCATCACTAGGATCTGACCAGAGCAAATCATTCAATAAACCATATTCAGGAATCTCCAAAGGTCTCTGAATCGAGGTGATCTGGTCCATCGACTGCATTAATGGACTTAAGCCACCGTGTACACAAAATATTCTACCTCCAACCAATGCAGCAATAGGCATCGCATTAAATACATCCACGAAATGCTTCCAAATCCTAACCGTACATCTTCTTTTGCATTCATCGTAAAACCCATACACTAGAAAGAGAAAGAAACTGTTACACACACTCATACACTAAAATAAATCGCTTCTATACCTCGTGTAACGTCAGCACTTTCATGATTTCCTCGTAATAGGAAAAAGTTTTCCGGGAATTTGATCTTGAAACAAAGTAACAATAAGATCGTTTCCAAACTGTACATTCCTCTGTCGACGTAATCACCCAAAAAGAGATAGTTGCAACTGGGTGGAAATCCACTCATTTGAAATAATCGAATCATGTCGTGGTATTGACCGTGGATCTATCGTTTAACTTAATAATAAGATCTAGTGTGAATATTAAAAAGCTTAACTTACGTCGCCTACGATTTTTACGCCCGCGTTTAGTTCAAGTAAGGACTAATACAAAAAAAAAATTAATTCTTGGCAAACTAATTAATTATAATTTCTTACGGGTTGAGTTAAGAAAAGGTCATATGCATAACGACAGATGGCGATCATTTCTGGTTGAGTTATACAAACGTCTTTACCAATATGTGGTGTGGATCCAGCTTTTATCAATCGACTGATGCAAGAATCAATATCAGCATGTATATGTTCAAACGGAACGGGTTCAGGTTCGATATGTTCGATATAGGTATGATCAAAGTACGGATTATCCTCTGCTTTCTTATGTTCTATCGGTGGTGGTGGTGCTGCTGCTGCTGATGGTGGTACAATTTTACGTGAGCCGACAGATCTCTTATTATGTCTATGCTTGGAAGCTGCGTTTCCCATTAAGTTTATTATTATTTTAAAAGAGAAAGAAGAAAGGAGAGAAATAAAAGAAGAAAACCCTTTATTTCATTTTTAGCTTGTGAGATTTTCTAATTAGGACACGGGGGTAATACAAAAATATATTTGATTATCCTATCATTTCATTCGTCATACAATCAGCCTTGTAGGTCTATTTTTGTGGTGCAGATGAGGCTGTTTTAAGGATTCTTCTGGCGGTAATATGTATTTCCGATACAAAAAGTGGCCAGAACCTGGCAACTGCTTATTTCTGCTCCTTTTATTGTGCTACAACATTTTATGCTGACTATCCATTATATAAAAAAGTGGAAGCATCAAAAAATTTAAAAGGAGGTTGTAATAGACCACTGATGATTTGTATTTGCCATTTACTACATATGTATTCACTGTCTTTCATGCTCTACTTGCTACTTAAAATCATTGAAATATACATTCTTTTCCGTGTATCATTTGGCGACAATAGCTTGCATTGACTAAAAAGTGCGATGTACAATTTGGTGGATTTTCATCTTTATCAGATGATAATCAAATGTACAATACCCACGGTGTCAATGTACAGGTCTTTTGTTCCATTTTCTTTTTTTGTCAAACTTACGGATGTGTGTAAACACACACGCTTCCTCGTCATGTCTATTGGTATACTACGTAGTTAATAGTAACTAATTATAAAGAAATTAATCTCATTTGTGTATAATACTTATGTCGCCCCTGATGCTCTTACCCAATGATCAATTGACACAATGAACCCTTATTATTTCAAAACAGAACAAATATGTACGTATTGCAATGAAATTTACCTGTGTTTATTGATACATTTTTATGGGGCAAACTATAAGCACAAAGACTTTTTTTGCTACACAAATTGTATTATAACCAGCAGCATTTAAGACAATACAATCTGTACCTGACAGCACATATCTAGTAGACAATAAACATCAACATGACTTATTGATGGAAAGTAACACATGTTGCAGAGTTAATAACACGACATAACAGATATGTTTTAGTTATTGCTTTTCCAATCCAAAAGAGACGATGTAAATAAGCGATAAAGGATCGCCCGTAAATACCAACGGCCGCGGCTAGTATGTATAACCAGCGTCTTTATTTTTTAGGAGACAATTAAAAAATATAAATTCACATAATTTAGACTTTAGGATTTAAATTGTAACAATATTATTAAAATAGAAGCGTAAATCACTCATTTTAGGTATAACTAATACCAGCTGAAGTTTAATGGAAGAAATGGCGTTAGAATTTCTAACCACTTGACAACGAACACGATCTTGATGTTGTTTAACCAACTGAACTAATTGTTCCTGTATCCTTTGATCTAAAAACGAGATTCTTCTTTTTTGTAACTTATAAAAAGATGGCATTTAGTTCGCATCTGCAGTGCTTGGGTTGTTGTGTCACTGCCACTGTTATCTAGCTAAAAAAACAACAAAAAGACGATCATGTTGATGGACGGCTGACTAATATGTGAATACGATTAAATGGCACGATCATTAACTATCACTTATTGATGAATACATTTATTATGCTCATTAGCAGAGTAGTTTTAATAACGCATATGAAATAGATCAACTAGAAAGCTCTCTTCGTACCACTTGACACGACATCGTTTCTGTTTGTGCCACAGTGTCTTCAATAAGGGAAAAACAAACGAATATGAAACAAAAGCTGTTTTTATAAAGATTTAGGTTCCTTTTTTTCCATAGAACACATCATGTTACGTAAAGCCAATCAGCAAATAGTGCACTTCCCGATTGAAACCTGCCTATAGATTGCATTGTACAGCTTATTGGGTGGGGCGAGAGATCAAAAAAGCACACCATATTCGGAAAAACAAATGCCTGAGTACGAATGAGCTTGTTTCCCCCCGTGTGACTTTTTTTATCTTTTTCCCCAAAACCCAAATTAAACCTTTTTTTTTTTCTCTCTTTTCCCCTTTCCCAACAGAATTTTTTTTTAACAGTAAACAATGGTCAACAGCAACGATGTCAAGATCGCCGTTATTGGTGGTTCCGGTCTCTATAACCTCGAAGGTCTTGAAGTGATTGAGGAAGTCAACCCCGAAACCGTAAGTGAAAAAAAAAAAGCGGCCGCAGCAGTGAAATAAAGAGATAAGGATCTAATCTAACGGGATAATATAGCCTTGGGGATTTGCCAGTGACAAAATCGTTATCTCCAGACTTCCTAGCGGTAACAAGATTGCTTTCTTGGCTCGTCATGGTCGTGGACATTATTTAACCCCCACCGAAGTCCCTGTCCGTGCCAACATTGCCGCTCTCAAGTCTCTCGGTGTTGAGGTCATCATTGCCTTCTCTGCCGTCGGTTCTCTTCGTGAAGAAATTCCCCCCTGTGATTTTGTCTTGCCCGATCAATTGATTGATCGTACTCGTGGTCTCCGTGCCTCCACTTTCTTTGGTGAAGGTTTGGTTGCTCACTGTGGTTTTGCCGAGCCTTTCCATGCCGGTCTTGCCGCCTTGATCGCCAAGCACGAAAGTGTCCTTGAGTTTGGCGCTAAATTGCACTCTAAGAAGACAGCCGTCTGTATGGAAGGTCCTGCTTTCTCTACTCGTGCTGAATCTCACATGTACCGCTCTTGGGGTGGTGATGTGATCAACATGTCTGCTTTGCCCGAATCCAAGTTGGCTCGTGAAGCTGAGATCGCTTATCAAATGATTTGTATGTCCACCGATTACGATTGTTGGAGAGTGGATGAAGAGGCTGTCACTGTCGAGACCGTCATGAAGAACATGGGTAACAACGGTAAGAACGCAAAGACTTTGTTACACGCTCTTTTACCCGATCTTGAACAAGCTGTTCTTGAGGATACCCTCGAACCCAGAATTAAGGGTTCCATGAAGTTCTCTGGCATGACTGCCAAGGAGAAGAGAAACCCTGAAACCGTTGCTAAATTAGAATATATCTTGCCTGGTTACTATTAGACAATAAAAATAGAAATAGAGACACACGCTTTCAAGTAAATTATCATATTTATTATTACTGTAAATGAAAAGGGTATTCTGCGGGGAGTGACTTTTTTTATTATTATAAACTATGCAGCTAACAGACTCTTGGATGGAGATTCAATGGGAGTTGACATTCTCCAAATATCAGATGGTGTCTTGGGAGCATACGAAGGTGCCCAAGGAGATAATTGCTGAATTGGTTTATTCATGCGATCTTTACATTTCTGCTGATAATGCTGCTGATGTTGTTGCTGCTGTTGCTGTTGTTGCTTTTCAAGTAATGATAGATCTGCAATCGGTTGAAGCAATAACGGAATTCCGTTATTCACAATCTCTTTTTTCAATCCGCTTTTACTCCGTGTCTTTAATTGTGGACTGTCCTCATCAAAGTAACAAGTTTGTTGGATATCTCGAATCAAGGAAGAGATAGGTGAGTTTGTAGGTGATAACATGAGGTCTTCTTCATCCCAAACATAGTGATCTTGTGGATGAAAAGAATGTTTTGTATTGATGGTCAACGGCGCCTTTGCATATTCGCAGGGTGGTGTAGAAGGTGTCAAGGTAATCCCACCGCTGTTCACGACAGATGTAGTAGTAGGAGTAGTGGTGGTGGTAGCTGCAGCAGTAACAGCCGCTGCTGTGGCTACGGGAATAAGAAAAGATTCGATATCAGCAGGACAGTCAATCCGTGCTGTTTGTAATAATGTTGTTTTCTGTCTTTCTGTAAAAGCTGGGCACATGATACCAGCACGTGTCAGGCGCTCGAGTAAAGTGGTGTCGATCTGTACATAATCCTTTGAAAGATGTGTCTTTAATGACTCGATGGATAATTTTAACATTTCATAGATATGGTCTCGATGCATCGTGGTGATCAAATGGGATTGATGCCAAGGGTATTTTGCAATCACACTGATGATATTCTCAAAAGGTCTTTCGGCACATTTTCTCGAGAAATGAAGCTATAGGATAAATAGCATTGTTAGGGAAAATCATCAAACATATGCTTATTGTAGTTTTTACCTTGTAATTTTTACAGACGACCAGTAAAGAGTTGATTTCCTCCCGTGTGATAAAAGGGGGACAACCAGAGTTGCCACCACCTGCTGCAGTCGACATGGCTCTAACTACTTCAGAAGCAGGTGGGATAGCTAAAGTGCCATGAAATTGGCCTCTCCATTTGGGAAATACGACAGCCAATAACTCTTCTTGGGAACATTCATTGACAGATACAATTCTACCTTTTAAAGGCTTTTGGTTTCTTGTTTCAATTGCACGTCGCATATCTGCCACTGTTAAAAATTCTACATAGGCATCCGATAATGTTTTTCCTGTAGTGCGATCCATCATTATCTAAGGGGCGTCGGAGGACATGAGGAGGTTAGGATTTAATATATAAATTAAGGGAGGAGAGGGTTTATTGTAAAAAAAAAAAATACTTACATGAATTGACTGCGTACAAACTGATAAAGAGGGGCTTCTGCAGTTACCAAAAAAGTGACGTACATCATTTTGCGATACATCCCAGGGGATCTTATTAAGTGAACATTTTAATAAACCGTTTCGTTATAAATTAAAAAAAAAATGTATTTACATTGGATAATTTGACACAAGCATAATGGGTTGAATGAGGACGGAAATCCGATGTAGGATAAGTGTACTGAAACATGTAGTCGTTGGCTGCAATTGAACTAGTGGGTTTGGTGGCAAGGTGCATACTTGTTATATTATAATTACTCGCGACTGTCTGTGTGTATCATATTTATAGGAGAAAGAAAAAATGTCAGAACAAAAAAAAATCTAATTGTATTTTAAAGCTTCACCTGTGAACAAGTAGGGCAGACACCTTGCATCAATAATTGAAGTGATTGTGAAGTCAAGCAAGAGTTACAAAACTGGTGCTGTCCACATGATGGAGTAAATAATTGCGTGTGTTTGTTTAAACAAGACGTGCATACAGATGTGAAACTGGGTGTATTGGGTTCGGATGCGCGTCTCCAAAAGTTTGTCCTACTGTTGCCATCATTGTTCGTGGCTGTAGTAAGCATATTCGAAAAATCATGACCGTCTGCTTGGATAGAATGTTTACGGAAAAGTGGGCTGGAAAGCCAATCCCAACTGTTGTTTGATGTCACATTGTCGTCAAAAAGTGAATAAGAGGACAGTTTTGTATTTGTCGGTGTCAGTGGCGTAGGTGGTCGGATAGGTGATCCTTTTGGCTGCAGTAAATTTAAACTCATTGTGAGCGATTCCTCTTCAATAGGATGAATAAAGTCAGCTTTTATGGAAAGAAAATACTGGTTAGTGTCTTATAAAAGTGTTGCATACTATAGTTCTACTCACTAGTGGTGCTGTACATCATTATTTAAACTAGTAGGTATATAAGATAGTGTATATTTATAAAAATATAAATGGATAGAAAAAAAAAAGAGATTTTTGAAATAGTGATTCTTTTATATACAAAATGTTTCTATATGTATATATATGTACTTATATAAAAAGTTAATATGTTAAATGGTATGTTTATAAAAAATACAATTAAAAAAAAAAAGACTGGATAAATGAAATTAAAAAATTGTGCGTTGTGGTTGTGAAAGTAACCTTACACACACCCCTTACATTTTTTACCTTAATTAAGAAGGGTTCAATTCCCTGACTTTTTTCTGTCAAACTTCTGTATATGGAATTTATTAAGTGCACATAAAAAAAAGGCACTTGTGCGTTTTGTAAAGTGTAAAGTAGCCAATAATATGACGTTTTAGATCCTTTGGAATGATGTTTATTAAACTTTTTTCTTGGTCCGTTTGCGAATATGTATTAATGTGTTGACGTTCGCATCTTTTTTTTTTTTTTTTGCAAATAAATGCCGCAACACAAACTTATATCACATTTAAGAAAAAAAAAATACAGACAACACCCACAGACACGAATACCCACACAAAAACAGACAGCTTACGAATTAACGTTCTTTGACAGTAAATACGGAAATAATCGCTTGTACTTAGTATGCAACTGCCCAACTATTAATATCAGCAAGAATTTATTAATAAACGGCGATCCATAAAAAATTGTTCTATGGAGAATATCAGAGCATTGCTGTTGTATTTGATGCATCCAAACTGTCTATGTAAAAACTATTTTTGTCAGTATACTACAGCCATAGCTCATCATCCTTCTATTATTATGCATAGTTCGAAATGCGATCAATACATTTTTTCATTGTTCAGCCACCTTTGGTAAAAAAAAAAAAAAAAAAAAAAAAAAAATAACGCCCGTATTATTCCAAATAACATGTTTTTTCACATTGACAACGAATTTATTTTTCCTATTAGTAAAATCCTTTTCAGCAACATTCACCAATTCCCCTCCACCAATAAGCTACTGTCTAACCAAAAAAATCTTGAAGTTCAAACCAAAATTGTTCGTGAGTAGATACGTGCATGAGAAACATTTGGAATAAACAGTAATTACTACCGTTGCTATGGAATCTGTTCCGCACTTTATCTTGAACTTTCTTTCCTGCTAAATAAACTTTTTTTTTTCGTGTGGATAGGTATTATTGTTTCGTTAGTGAGATGTGATTGACAGTTTAATTTGTCCTAATATTACAAAATGTTATTTACCTTTTGCCCGCGCGCGTTTTTTCATGTCAATTAACGTATATGATCGATAACACCTTTTGCATAGATATTGGCAAATACAAGTTATCAGATATCGATGCTGAGTCGTAAAAATAAGATCCTCGATAAAGTAAAAGCTGATTATGCAGTGAGATGACCGTGAGATCAAATTATTTCAGTGCAAAGTATATAAATGGACCACTTTTTTTTTTTCTACTTTTTTTTTTCTCTACCACTGATGATACACTTTCTATAAAAAAATATATGAATTTTACTTTACGGATTACATCCAGATATCTATGAAGAACTAACAGATTCTTAATACACCAGAACTACACAAAGTGTGACGTGATATCAGAGTAAAAAGTGATCTTCAAAATGAATAGGCCACGTTAACAAACAATGAAGTGTGTGACAGTGACACTGAAAAAAACTCTAACATAACAATAAGATTCGTTCTTCGAGTATATTAGCACACCAGAACATCAAATATTTCATCTGACATTGGGGGACCGTGTACAGTCGATCCTCCATGACACACGTAACCCTAATACCTTATGCTGATTGGTCCCCAGATTTGTTGATGGTGGAAAAAGCATGAAAAAAATGGCTTCCCCGTAGGTTGGTCTCGGTTAAAAAATTCGCCGAAAGTCAGCCCAAACAAAAAAAAAAGGGCTGCGCACTGTTGGAAAAAAGTGCGAGAGAGAAAAAATACCTGCATTGTATTACCCACAGAAAAAAAAAAAGTAAATCAACGTTTGTAAACGTTTTTGGTAACATGAGAAAAGCGGGAGAACATTGATTTAAAGTACCGTTAGATATATAAATTTGGTTTCCCATGGATCTTTTTCGCAAAGCTATGTTTTTTTTAGATCCTTTACTCATTTATTCGACTTTAAGAGAAGCTGTAAAAAGCCTTTTTTTTTCTCGTGTAGGATGAATTAAATTGGATTCAGAATTGAGAATCTTACGTGATTTATATTCCCTTCCTTTAGATATCATGGAAATAATTGTCGCGTAATAGTTTGTGTTCAATTATGAAATTACGTGTCATGTTAACATCATGCAAATTAAAAAAAATAAAGCATAATCATTTTTCATTGGAAGTTAGAATTGATCTATTACTATTTTCTGATACCATTTGAAATAACATGGCATTCTAATCATCATGTTCATGCATTCAATGATACCAAAAAAATATATATTCCTAAAAAGCTTCTTAAAATCCCATCGATATGTATTTTAAAGTTTTGTCCTACATCCGTTTTATTGTACGGTGGTTTAAATCCTTCAGTATTGGATGGGTTACTGCCATATGTCGTACAGATATTTATCTCTTTATTGTGAAAAAAAAAAAAGGTAAATTATAGATTCTGTTATTATTTTGTTTCCCCCCATCCCCCCTTCTTTATTCTAACCCTTTTTCTTTTCGCAACTCACATTACAATATAGTTGTACCTAAAATATGCAACAAGACAATAAATGGACATCATCCCCAGAAACACCACGTAATTATATGTCACTGCAATCAAGTTATCCCTACGGAAGCACCGAATACAATCCACCCACTAACACTACAACCGTCTTACCAGGTATGTCTACACAACCTACCATGCCAGGGTAAGTCCTTTTTTTTTTTTTTTTTTTTTTTTTTTTTTGTGTGTGAAAAGCGAGATCATCATCTCGATCGTTCATCATCATCTAAATCTATTAAATAGCTTAATGTCAGGCTCTCAACCAAGCACACCTAGACCTGACGTAATTAGTCCTCCCCCAGATAGCAATAATAAGTTACCTTCTACTTCTAATAATACAGCGGCTACACCCGACTTAATTCGAAGAAGACCTCCACTTCCTTCCAGACCTGCCAGTTTTACCACCACCACCTTTCACTCTAACCCTTATCCTGGTGGCACTTCTTTAAGGCGACGTCGAACTGAATCATCCATGTTTTCTTTTGAGACAGGACCTTCTTTCAGCCAAACGAAGCAAACACTTGATTTATGGAATATAGATCAATCAAATGGGTAAGAAACCTTAAATTTTTTTTAAAATTCTCAGCCTTATTTTTTTTTTCTTTTTTTTTTTTTTTGGTGTAATATTAAATAGGTATCAAGTTCAATTACAAGCAAAAATGGACCGGGGATTCTTTCGTGCAGATCAAGACTGGACCTGTTATCGTCGTAATTATTTTCAAGTCAGTGCTACATTTGAAGTTCATGGCGTCAATTACCTCATTAACGGTCCCGAAGTCCCTTGTCTTATTCGCACCGAAAACGGCGAGATTCATCAAGTCGACTTCTTTTCCATTGGCGTCAGTGCTCGTGTCACCGGTAGTGATAAGCGCATTGAATTAGTTCAACATACTCCTAAGCGTGATAAGGGTCCCCAAATGATTCCTGAACCTCGCGTCGTCAGCGCAGGTGGTAACTTACATCTTGCCTCCGTAGGTTCTAACCATAACATCGTGACCTTTGAACGTATGCAGTTTAAAACAGCTACCGCAAACAATGGAAAAAGAAGAGCCGCACAACAATACTATGAGATTGTGGTTGATCTTTGTGCTAATAGCTCTTCTGGAAAACAGTTCAAAGTCGCTTCTTGTACCTCTGCCCCTCTAGTTGTACGTGGTAGAAGTCCCGGTCATTACGCTGATTCTCATACACGTTATAGAAGTTTGGATTCTGGTACACCTTCTTCTTTCCCCGGTCAAACGGGTCCACCCTCTGCTACCATTACTCCTTCAGGTGCTCCCACCTCTTCCAATGGTGAAGAGGGACATCAATACATGCAATCTCAACCACAGCCTCGTTTCCCCGGTGTGAACCCTTCTGCCAATGGTAATAGTGACTATGGAAACCCTTATTCCTCTTATGGCCAACCACCATCCGGATATCCTTATCAGGTGGGTGGTTATGCTCCTGTTATGAACGCACACCCCGTCGGTTCCACACGAAATGAAGAAGAAGGTGGTCCCAGTGGTCGTGAAGGTGGCTATATGATGCCTTACTCCTCTCACCCCCACCAACATCCTGGTGAGCCTACTGGCTATTATAATAACAACAATAATAGCAGCAGTGGCAGTAGTGTTGTTGGCAGTGCTAATGCGCAAGAGCCAAATAATAGCAATAGTAATAGCCATCATCCTCATCAAGGCTATCATGCCGACAATAATAGTAAACCTTATTGGTCTGGTGGTAATCGAGAACAGCAACAACAGCATGGGCCTGGTAGTAGATATAGTAATGGCTCGCCTTATGTGAATCCCGAATTCAATGGATACAGTATGCGCCCACAATCACAACAACAAAGCAATGAAAACACCTCTCCCGAGACAAACCCACTTGACGCTGGACGTTCAATGACCCCCAGATAGTACGCACTTTATGCAACATTTACTCTGCAAACTCTCATTTTAAAAAGCAAGAGTACACACACAGACACACACAAAATCAAAAAAAAAACCTACTACTACATAATCCTTTTTTATCCCCTTACTTATTGTTCTTTCTTAAAAAAACTACCATATTTTTAATCTTTTTATTATTGTCGTCTTAATTTTTTCTAATTTGTTTTTGGTATTACAATGGTTGTCTTTTTTAAGTAATAAAATCATGTTTCTTTTGTTATTTCTCTCTCTTGCGCCTTAATCTACATTTACGTCAAAAATCTAAACTTTGTGGAGGCACAGACATAAGTGCGGCTATATGTGATAGGATATGTCGCCAAATGACCTGCATTAGCTCATGCATCACATGATAATAGATGCTCTTTTCTAATTTGCAAGTATTTATTCGGGTCAGAAAATGATTCCCTCCCCTCATTTGTGTTACATCCTATTAAAAATAGAAAAAAATCTCACCCGCAGCAGCAAAAGCATTATTTTTATTTTTCTTTTTACCCAAAGAGGTAAAAAAAAGTTTTTTAGGAAATAGAGGTAGTACACCCCCCTTTCATTCTTTTTATACATCTGCTAAATTATTGGCACATTTGACAAGTGCGTGCAAATCTCATGTTTGAGTAAGCTTTATTTTAAATACTTTCTTTTTTTTACTCTACATTTTTTGGTTTTACCGTTCTACAAGACAATGTGAATTTACACACGCCCTCTTATTATTATTTCATTATGCAACCTTATGTGTTAACTTTACGCAAAGGTCTATAAATGAAACAGGCTAGACCATGGGCTGGGAAGATCTTACATGTTTTTGAAATTTATTACTACTTTAAAACAACAATAACAGAAAGTGGTCTTACTTTTTCTTGTGTATTACCCGCATGTAAATTAAAAGGCATTGGGTAAGTCTGAGGCATCCAACTCCTAATTCGTTCTACATAATCATATTAGAATGGCAACTACAATCACTGAATAGCATCAACCTTTATCTTTTTTTAAAAAAAAGTAAAGAAACAGTCTTTATCATCAATTAACATGTAGCAAAATAAATTACTTATGGTCATATTGACAAATGACACGAGGACTTGAGTTTTATTGCAAAAATAAAAATAACCACAATGCACATTATTTGGTTGCTTATGAATTTTTATAAAAGCTAATTAAGTTGCACAACGCACATACATTTATCCCAAGTAATTATGAGTGTCCTACACAACTCATCCATTATAGTGACTTTTGATATTTAACGGCGGATCTTTTCTGACTATATCTGCTAATTCTATCTTGCAATGTCTTCAGAACCTGAGGCGAGCTATTCATTGATTTTTTAATGACTTTAAAGTTTTACTCGCTGGTATAATTCTGCTTTGGTTAATATATGAGTGAGGGTATTCTATTATATGTTTAGTTTCTAGTTTTATATCATTGAGCTTTTGCCATGTACGAAACTGACTATTGAACTAAATAAACAGTTTACAGTCGTCAAAGCTTTATTTTTAATTACATAGAGTATCCCAGAGAAACATTTAACAACTTGACAGTTCTTTATCAAAGACTTCATTCTAGCTTTCCTCTGCTTTTCTATATTTGTCGAGTTGATACAGGAAACAAAAATACCAATTTTTGCGCACCATAATTTGCTTTCTTGTTAGATAGACTTATCAATGTATACAGACAACAATTTTACGCGCGTATCTTTAAATAATCGGATAGAAAAAATAACGCCAACGTTTTTTCTTTGGGTATTTTTCCTGAGAAAGTATCTTACTTGTTAGGATATGACCGAACCGTGTTGAAAACGCGACTATAAAGCAAATCTTTAAGTTCCCTTTTTTATTTTCTTCGTCTTGAGCTGGCAATCATATCATAGCAACTGTTTCATTTGTTTTAAAAATTAGACTTTAAACAGTTTCAGTGAACCTAACGTCATGATCGGAGTGTGAAATTAGACGTGCTTTAAAATGTTGTTAGCAACGGCTTTGTTCAGCTTTCTTCTCAACTTTGCTGATGGATGAACAAAGAGAGTCTTCTACACTCTACTGGGTACACATAGACACATTCATATATATATATATATATATATATATATATGTTTATATATAAATATAAGACGATTGAACAGTGAAACAAAATAGGTTTATTTTGCATACGGCATTGCCATGCTTTTACCATGGAACGGTACCGTCAATAATTTTTTTTTTAACGTAAAAACAGCATTGCTAACGAAAAATAAATAGTCTTTATCACTGCCTCAGATTACTTTTCCGTTCGGTTTTCAGGCTCTGGTCATGAAACTGACTTCATGAGTTACTTTTCTGCTTTTTCCAACGTGTCGAATTTACTTTCCTTATCCTTGTTTCTCTGGCTCCGTCAAAAAAAGGTATACTACGCGGCATATATAATAGTAGAAAAACTAACGTATCTATATTGTATAGCACATGGGAAATGTGGACGTATTGATTCCTTTATCTATTAATTTGGCAATATTTTTATTTTATACAGTTACGTCCTGGGCACCCAACATGATTGCTGCACATGTTTACTTTCGCCTTACGGTGTTTTGTATGTCCGTCGCTGGAACCACCACTAGTTTATTACAATTGACTGTATTTGCCGAAGCAAGTCAGTTATCTCCTAAATATATGCAAGCTGTCATGAGGTAAAATTTATATCATTCCTTTTTGGTGTCAATATCGCATTTTTTACATATTGACTCTTTTTTTTTTTCTAAAAAAAAGTGGACAAGGTAATGTATTCACATTGAAACGTGTTTATTCCTAATTAACACAGGCATATATATATATGGTAAGGTATTGCTGGTGTCTCTGTGTCTCTGTTCTCTCTAATGACAACGGTATTTGGTGGTGACGGTACTATCTTCTATTTCTTGGGAGCTTTGCTTGTCACTTTGGTCAGTATGTTGGGTCGCCTCCATCAACATAAAACCAATAATTATCAACTTGTGGAGGATATCGATTTATCTCTTGATCCTGTCACCGAACCCGACTTACCATTAACTAGCATCCTTAAACGATCCAAACGCTATATATTTACTGTGGTATACATTTACATCATAACACTTTCGATTTTCCCAGCATTGACGAGTCAATTCGGATGGACGGCGGTGGATGGAGTGAATACAAAGCAGGTATTTATGTCACTTCATTTTTTGATTTTCAATTTGGGTGATTGGGTTGGACGTACATTACCCATTTGGCCCTCCTGTCAAGTTAGATCAAGTCGAATCATGATGGTGTATGCTCTGTTACGGACGTTGTTTTTACCGCTATTTTTGATCGTGACGGTGGAAGGAAATGTGGTGTTTTTAGCCGGGGTATTTCTCTTGGCTGTGACTAATGGCTGGCTGACAAGCCTTGTCTTTATGATGGCACCAGTGGATTATGGAATGGAAACTAAACCTGTCGTGGCGAGTGTGATGAGTTATTTTTTAGTGATAGGACTTGCTTTAGGTGGACTATGTAGTTTTTTATATTGAACTGAAAAAAAAAAGAAGGAAAAAAGAGAACCACAAGTTGGAAGACAGTTAAAGCGGCGTGTATTCAAGTTTTTGAAAGTAGCACCGAGGTTAGTTCTTTGGACCGGGCGCTCTCTGTGCGGCGAGCGCCCGAAAACTTGTTGTGTTACTCGCTAATTATTCTTTTGAGTTAGTTCTGAGTGTCTAATCAGGTTAAGATCGAAAGAATGTCTTAATGCCTATCTGTTCATTTGCTTTTCAAACGTTTGGATCGAGGGCTGGTGATTCTGACAATTTTTATTTTTTTAAACGGTAATTAAAAACGAAAAAAAAAAAATTTATGTAGATAATTTGGGACTACTCTTTTTATAAGATATGGCTGTCAAAATCTAGTGTCATTTATAAAACTCGGAAGAAAATAGACACACAACAAAGATGTCAGAAGACAATAGATGCGAAACGGAGATATAAATATAGAAAGTGATTCTGAGAATTGTTTGCTTGATGCAAGACACACAGAGTTATATCCAAAAAAAAAAAAAAAGGCTGCACATGTCTTATTTTTTTTTTTTCCTCTTATTGAACTGAAAAAAAAAAAAATGTCATCTGTAGGTAGCGTGGGAGCACAAATAAGTTATGCAACTGTCCTGTATTATCCTGCCGCATGCTTATTCTGTGGGGTTCCCAATGGTCAGGCATCTACTACCATTCTTCGCACCCATACCATTACGCGTCGACAATTGGATAAGCCATTAGCAACATGGAGACACATCTTCAAATCATAAATCTTGTACCGGTTGAAAGAAATCACCATTTTTAGTTTGTATCACAATCTTTTTTGTTAAAAGCTGCAGGAGATTTCTTTTTTTTTTTTTGCATGAAAAATAATTAAACATCTATATAAAAAGGCAAGGAGTGAGCATTTTTTTTTATTATACATTTCAACCCTTTTTCTCTCTCATTAAACACAAAAAAAAAAACTTTTACACACACAAAAAACATGAACTCCTTTTCACGTACATTGCGCAAGATCTCCACTCAACTGCGAACAAACCTCACAAGAAAGAGATCGACCTCTTCCTCAGGCGCTTATAAAAAATCAGTCCGGTTTTACGCGGTGGATACTATCTACTACACTCACTCATCTTTGGATTATGACCGTACACCGTCAGATGAAGAAGACTTTTAAATTATTCCATCTCATTGTTACCTCTCTTTAATTTTGTATATATAATTTTGTATTTTTATTTATTCCATAAATGGTCAATTTAATCTGTTGCATATTTGTTTGTTTGCCAAGTTTTTTTTTTTTTGTTTACCAATGGGAAAGTTTTAGGCAGTGAGAGAGATTTGAAAACCAACTACTGCATTGAACAGTCACATTTTTTAACCTTTAGTTGTTCATCTAAATGTCGAAACCCATCACGATCAAACAGGTGGTGAATTTCCCTGTGTATGCTTTAGACTTTACAGCAGACAATGTGCTTATTGCTGGAGGAGGAGATGGTTACAACAAATCTGGCGTTAAGAACCATTTGGTAACTAGGGCATGCCAATGAGCAAAAAAAAAAAAAAAAGGTCTAATTCCCTTTGTAAAAATACAAGGTTTCTTTCAAGGTGAATACGGACACACAAGAGCTGACAAAAGTAGATTCTTTATTACTATCGGAAAAAGAAGATTGCCCCATGTCTGTTGCATGTCATCCTACCCGACCCATATTGGCAGCGGGTATCAATAGTATGGCGACAATTATTGAAGGAGGTCAAAACCAAAATTGTAGGATATTTCATACAGACGACGGCAAGCTGGAAATAGATACCACGTTTTCGACCAGTACCTGTAGAAACACCGAAGAATATCAGGTTTCCTTTATAAATATAGAATTTGACAATAATAATAATATATACTAAAAGATCATTTAGAAAGTAACCCGGTTTAGTCGTTCAGGTAATTATTTAGTTACGGGATTCAGTGACGGTAAAGTCTCAGTCTTGAATACAACAAATTGGAAGCTTGTATTCCCACCCGTGCGGTTTAAGGGTCTTCAGGATGCGGATTTTGATCAGGAAGAGCAACATGTGGCTGTCGCAACCTCAACTGCCTTAATTATTCTTGACATGGCGGATGGCACGCTTGTTCAAGTGATCGATAGTCCCAAACTCAATAAAACCACTCACTGTGAAATTAGAGCCTGTCGTTTTGCCTCCTTTAAAAATGAACAAACTCTCTATGCCATTGTCAATCCCACCTCCAGAGGTCGCGGCTTTATCTGTGCCTGGAAAACAAGGAAAGGAAAATTTTACGTCACTAAATCTAAAACCAAGGGTATCAGCAAAACTTCCATCACATCCTTTGCTGTCAGTCCCGCAGGAAATCTTTTAGCCTATGCTGCCACGGATCTTAGCATTGGCCTAATTGATGCGCAGCAATTAAAAGTGAGCAATTAAAAGTCCGTCATTATGCAAAAAAAAAAAAAAACTGTAGCTAAAAAAAAAAAAAAAATTGTGTGTTTAGCCCTTGTTAAAAGTCCAGAAAGCACATGGATTTGCTATCAGTAGCCTGGTATTTGACTATTCAGGTCAATTGCTGGCAAGTGGTGGCGCAGATAACTGCTGTAAAATCATCGTCTTACCTAAATTAGAGGCCAGAGGTAATTCCTATAAAAACAATGAAATTATTGATTGTCTGAATAGCCCAAACTTTTTTCTTTGTGTAGGTTTTAATTATTCCAACATGGTGTATATGGCGCTGGATATGATGTTATTTGCTCTTTGGATGCATATTCTAGTACAAATGGTCGATACAGGTGTACTTGCGCTTTTCTGATATAAATGAAATCCCCGCTCTCCGCTACCTCCCACCCATTTTGATTCACCGTCCCCAACATCACCTCCCTCTTTTTTTATTAACTCACCTCTTTTTTTTTTTTTATTTTGTTAATTACCCTTTTCTTTAAAAAAAAAATAACAACAATAACGTAATGTAAACATGTAATATTAATTAAACAATTTTCACAGTAACACTGCATTGTTTTTTTAATCTAGTTCCCGAGTAAATGGCACACGGACCCATGAGTGGAATGAAAATCACCGGTAAATTATATTTAACAACCCAAAAAAAAAAAAAAAGCTTTACGTATATTCATGCTATTTTCCCATCAGGTGGAGATAACGACCCCACCAAAGTGTACGAAGAAGAAGCTAAAGATGGCAGAACAGGCCAAGACATTGCGTTAAAATATACAAAGTACAAAGTAGCAGGTAACGGTTCTTTTGGTGTCGTCTATCAAGCCAAAATCGTCGGTACCGGTGAAAGTGTTGCCATCAAGAAAGTCTTTCAAGACAGACGCTTCAAGGTAAATATCACATTATAGAGAGGGAAGGGAAAAATGGGAAGAGCAAAACCCCCAAAAAAAAACCACCCCTCTTCTCTTTTTGTTAAAAGATTAAAGTGAAATTAAGATGGTGAAAAAAAACATTAGAATCGAGAACTGCAAATTATGCAATGTGTTTGGCATCCTAATGTCGTGGCATTGAAGGCTTACTTTTACAGTCATGACCCTATCAAGGTAAGATATTCATAATAAAATATTTCGTTGTTGATATAGAACAGTAATTTAAGGAGTTTCTTTGTTATTGTTTAAACAGAAAGATGATGTATATTTGAATTTGGTGTTGGAGTACATCCCAGAGACTCTCTATCGTACTTCACGCAATTATGCTAAAGCCAGACAACCTGTACCTATACTCTATGTAAAACTCTACACATACCAATTAATGCGATCTTTGGCTTATATCCATTCACTCGGTATTTGCCATCGTGATATCAAGCCTCAGAATCTATTGATTGATCCCAACACAGGTGTACTCAAGTTATGCGATTTCGGAAGGTAATTTAGATTATAGTACAATGCCGCGAGAGGGCAATGGGGTGTGGGTGTGGGTGTAGGTGTGGGGAGAGAGTGTATGTGCTAGATATTCATATTACTATTTTAGCGCAAAGGCTCTTCATGCAGGAGAACCCAACGTTTCTTATATTTGTTCCCGCTATTATCGAGCACCTGAACTTATCTTTGGAGCAACAAATTACACCTGCAGTATCGATGTTTGGTCTGCAGGTTGTGTGATGGCCGAACTCATGTTATGCCAACCTTTATTCCCCGGTGAAAGTGCCATTGATCAACTTGTCGAGATTATCAAGGTCTTGGGTACACCTACCAAAGATCAATTATTAGCCATGAATCCTTCTTACACCGAACATCGTTTCCCTCAAATTAAACCTCATCCTTTCTCCAAAGTATTTCGCTCACGTACACCTGAAGACGCTATCGCTTTTATCACAAAGACTTTACAGTATGAACCCTTTAAGCGTTTAACTGCCTTTCAAGCTTTGGCAGATCCCTTCTTTGATGAATTGCGTAATCCCGGTGTTCGTATGCTGAACGGCAAGGAATTACCCAACTTGTTTGATTTCACCCGTCATGGTAACCCAAAGATTGATATACGCAAATCAAAAAGTCCTAACTTATTTATATTATCGATTTAGAATTATCTATACAGCCTGATTTGATTCGTAAGCTCGTGCCCCCTCACTACGAAGCCACATTATTAGCTACAGGTGTTGATATCCAAAATTTTGTTCCCATGACATCTCAAGAAATGAGAAATGATAATGTACCTCATTAGATTCCACCACGCCCACACACCCACACACCCACCCACACACACACCCACACACACACAGACACACACACACACACACACACACACACACAATCACCCACACACACAGAAGTCCCTTTTTTTTATCCTTATTATTATACATAAAACATTAAGTACCTTCAATTAAATCAACTGCGTAATAAAAGTGATGGATTTTTCAATTATCTACAACAAAATAAAGGCTGTGCTTGTTGTGCCTGTGTAGGACATCTATGAAGTTTTCGACATAAGTTGCAAAACGATGCACAGTTGTACATTTTTTGGTGTCATCCATTTTAGCCTATCTTTTTTTTTTTTTTTTTTTTTTTTTGCTGGCTGGGGAAAGAGAATAGTCGTAGAAAAGGCATGCCCTTTTGTGGATTAGACTTACACTCTAGTTGAAAAGAATCAAGTTTTCGAACAGATTGTACAACAGCTCGATGCATTATGGTCAACATATTAAAAAATAAATAGCAACTCAAAGAATTTGTACTCTCAACCGCATGAATTCTTCAAGTGGCTGTATTATCTTCAACAAAAATTGAGCGAAAAGGTGTACATCAGGGAAAAAAAAAACTCAAGCCACTAGTTGCCTCGAAGTCTTATGTTTATCGAAAACTTAAAGAACTGGCATTTACTTTCATGCCCAACAGGAAGAGTATTACCACCTTTATAGTTTTAACGATACAAGTTTAATACGGAAGAAACATCAAAAACAACGCATGGTTTAGTTTACAAAGATTTCAAATTTAAATTCATTAAAGACATCTAATATCGCAGATTATGCAAAAGCTTGTCAAGAAAAACTTAGTATGTATCATGATCTAACAAAGTACTACAATGAAGGTGGCTGGTGAGTGCAATACATCACGATCACTTTTATAACTATTATACCCAACAGTATTCACATTGGTCATCCGAGTTAAAATACAAAACCCACATCCGAAAACATAAAAGACGTCCATAAAATATGCAAACATTTGTTATACAAGAGCAGCAAATACAATCCAAAGGCATCCACTGGGGTAAAAAAATCCATCTGTTGAAAGCAAAAATAAATATGGTCTTCCTGCTCTTCTTCATCATATCGAAAAGCGTAACAGAAAAATTATTGCTTTTTGTGATGGAATGTGTAGCAGCAGTATGAGAGGAGCTACATCGGCTCCCATTCGTCTTATCAAAAAGGCTTTTGAAAAGCACAATGAAAAGAGTTTGGAATTGGTGATGGTAGATGAGTATATGACGAGCCAAATATGCAATAAATGTAGTAGTAGAAATTTGAAAAATGTAGTAACCGAAAGATCGAAACGAAGAGTACATGCAGCATTTAAATGCAATCAAAATTATTGTAATATGGTATGTAATTGTGACATTATAAAAGGCTTTAGTACAATACGTTAAATATATCCAATAAATTGATGTACATAAAATCATAAGAAACAATTGTACATAAATAGTAAACACTGGTAACATATTTAAGTGTATTATAGAAAATAAAAGCGTCAGAGAGCATGTATCGCATTGAGTCAGCTAGGATTAGTTTAGGTACGACAAACTTTTTTTCAGATGACACGTTTAAATGATGTGGATAAACAACTAAGCATCTTGTTGGGAGGATGTAATGCGATGCCACTCGTTTTCTATCTTGTTTTTATTTGTATGCAAACAATCCCCATTCGCCCGCACACCAACGTGCATGCACCTTTTCTCCTCATTGTAGTTTGTTTGTCCAAGTGATATTCTTGCGCTCAACTCTGTTTGTGTAACAAACACGGCTCATACCACTTTTTGGTTTCCGGATAAATGTCCACATAGAACGCGTAGTAAGAGCTTCCCCTAACAGAATTAGCAATCATTATACACTTTTCTTTAGGTATAAAATTTGAGTTATGGCTAAATCTGAAAGCATGCACAACGAAAAGAAAGGATTATAGTTTCTCAGAACATTGATGTAAATAATTTAGTATCGCAATCCCCTTATTAAATGAGTGCTTGCTATTTTTAGTGTTGTAAGTTATTTTATCGCGATTTATAGGGAGTTTGCAAAAAAAACCGGTAAATGTGCTACATTAAATTACTGCAAACAGAGCTATCTAACTTGGTCGATTCCTACCAGTTTACCGGATACATATTATGTCTATCGTTGCTGTTGTTAGGGGGAGGAAAGCACAAGTGGTTATTCAGATTTTTTTTTTAAAAAAAAAAAAATCCGGGTACGTGTGAGTTTCTTATCATCGGCCAGTCTGTCAATCACTAATGAGACATCAAACACAGTTATATCATGCAGGAAATGAGTAGATATGCAATGACTTTTGTCACTGATCCAACAAGACAAAGATTCACAAAGGGTTTTACTCTATCTTACATAAAAAAAATTAGATATATAGCCCTGAAGATAAACATAGATACAAACTTTAACAAAAAAGAGGTAGATGATAAAAACCTCGCTCGAATTAAACTTAAGCTCGATAAAAGAAAGAATGAGCTCATTGATCAGGTATCCTCCTTAGAAGAGAGTGAGACATACTGTTATTAGATCACCCAGTAGAAAGGAAGATAAGGATATAATGATAGGCGTTAACAATAGCATTATTTCATCCGTTTGTCCATGAACTTTATAGTTTCCACTAAGCCACCTCGTTTTTTTTTTCATTGGGAAAACGGGTTAAAAAAATTATTTTCTGTTTATTTTATTTTCTTCACTCATTTAATATACTAATAGAAAATGTCACAACATTCCGACGATGAAGATGGGTTTGCTGGAGACTTGTTTGGTGTAGGGTATAGTTATAAATAAAAGCTAAAGAGTCCAGTATTAACACCTACAAAAAAAAAAGGCGGAACAAGAAGTAGAAGTTCCCGAAGTTGAGCCTACGTTTGAAGTGTACACAAGAGAATCTGTTCCAGAAGGCACGGCACAACGTGACTTGAAAATCAAGCTGGTTGGCTCACACCCCTTATGGGCACACCATTTATGGAACGCTTCCAAAGTATTTGCATCCTTATTTGACCGCACACCAGAATTAGTGAAAGACAAATACATTTTAGAGCTGGGAGCGGGTGGAGCTTTACCCAGTTTGGTAGCAGCATATAATGGGGCAGCCAAAGTGGTAGTAACTGACTACCCCGACCAGGAGCTCATCGAGAACATCCAGTACAATGTAGATCATAATAAGGCGCCCAATGTGATTGTGGATGGATATGTGTGGGGTACGAATACAGATGGTTTACGGTCGTATTTACCAGAAGGTAAAAGTACATTTGATGTCTTGATCCTTAGTGATTTGGTGTTTAATCACTCCCAACATCATGCCATGTTAAAGACCTGTAGAGATTTATTGACCCCAAAGACTGGCCGTGTCTATGTATTTTACACCCATCATCGTCCCCACTTGGCTCACCGTGACCTTGAATTTTTTGAGATTGCACAAAGACCCGTATTGGAAAACGTGGATGCAGAAGATAGAGATCAATTAGGTTACGGATTCAAAGTAGAGGAATTCATGACGGAAAAGATTGGCGTCATGTTCAAGGAGGATCCTGGGGATGAAAATGTGCGTGCCACTGTTCACGGTTGGCAATTATGGCTAGAATAAATAAGAAGAAAATAATAATAATAATAATAATAATAATAATAATAATAATAATAGAACGCCAGTGTTTATATGTAACAGGGAGTTTTTATGACAAATCTTGGCGATAAATACTGTCATTTTGACATCATATCTATTTTATTTTTGGGAATTCGACTCCTTGTTTTAGCCCTTTTGTCCTATTATATAAACAAAAAATTCTCGATTTTTACAAATATGGGAATCCGGTGCTTTTCATTCATCGTGGTTAAAAATAATATTTATTAGCTGTTTCTAAATGAGGGAGAAGAGGGCATAATTTGTGGCATAGAAGAAAAGAAAAGAAAAAAATAGCAATTTACAAGGGCATAAGTTTTTGATTAAAGAAGGATAGATCAACCGGCTTCTTTTGTATTTCTCGTGTGACACGTTGAAAAAGAAAAGTGAAAAGGGAAGCATAAGCTTTGTGTTGTTAATTATTTTTAGTGCTTGCGTCGTCGCATTTGGTTGATTTGAATGACTTGGGTATGTTTGCCACACAATGGATCTGATAGAAAATGGCGTCTTCTAGCGTCGGACCTTGAGAAGGACTTTTGACAGCAAGGGCAACTGTATGGTTTAACACCTGTATGGATACGTGTATGTCGCTGTAAATCATGTCTACGAGTAAAGGAGCGAGAGCAATAGGAACATGCGTATGGTTTGTAAGCTTCAAATGATGACTCGGTAGAGGAAGGTGAGTGAGGGCACATTTCCATAAACTCTTGTTCGTACAGAAATGGGTAATCATCCCAGAAATTATCCACAGATTCCACCTTTGCGACCACTGTTAACTCATCAAAGTCAATCAAATTGTTATCTAGTAAAGTGTCGAATTGCATATAAGCCATGTTTTTATAAAGTAAGAAAGAAAAAGAATGAATTATGGGGAGGTTGCTGGGAAAAATCTTTCATCTTTTTATAATTAGTGAGGCATAAATTAAACAAAAAAGAAAGTCTCCCCTGATTTTTAGTTTGCCTTCTGTAATGTCATGATTAACCCCAGTGGTTGGATTTATTTGTATCCCACAAAACTTTGTCTTTATTCTCCTCTCGCCCCTTCTTACAAACAAATAAATATTCCATTTGCAGCTTTTGGCCGTTCTTTCCCAGGAAATGTTGACGTGGGTTCCCACCTATCTGACTTTATCGCATTTTGATACACCATTGGTTTCAGCATTTTTGCTAATAAGGCATTTGTGTAAACGATCATCTTAATCTCCAAATTATCCAACTTAACACCGCATTCTTCCGATAATTTGTGGATTTAGTTCACATGTTGTTTGTATTTGATCCCAAAAAATGCTTTCCTTCATCCTTGATTGGATTCAGCCTAAAAACAGACCCACACTCTGTACCCTTATAATCACAACCTGTTCGTGTTGAGGACCATGTCATGCATATAAATATCTTTGTTATTAAATATAAAAATTACCAAATCACACTAGTTTATTGCTCTAACCAATACAGGTAAATTATGAATAGCATGGATATATAAGAAATCAAAATCAACCTTGAAGCGGAAGCATTGGTTTATTATGTTTATCATCCTTATATAAAACATGTTTTTAATCTTTTAATGTTGCACTTGTAATCTGATTTCTAAATCTTGTTTGAAATTGTTGTAATGTGTCAACAAAATACCTATCATTTAGAAAAGAAAAGAAAAAAAACACCACCATGATTATATAAAGCCTACCATTTCATTTCAAATCCACTCTAAACGGGATATGGAGAAACCCTAAACTGTCAAGTTGGTATAAGAAGGGGTTTGCAACTGTTCAAGAACAAGCGGTACTTGTTACATAGAGTGGGTGCCATGACATATTATTAATAATTCAACATGTCCAATCCATGTTTAGTCATGGTTGTGTAATCAAGCTACTAACAGAACCAAATAAAAAATAAAAACAAAAAGAATTACCCCAAAGTACATAACATATTTATTTTCTTGAAACAGTCCGTCAGCCCATGTACCTGGAATTGTATAGTGCCTTGTCGATCTTATCTTTAAAACACCGTACGATGAAAATAGAAATCATACAAAAGTTATCTTTTGGATGATATACCGGATTTCCTTTATCGTCCTATGCTTGCAGAATAACATTCTTGATTTGAAAAGCTATACTTTAAATAGTGTATGTTCAATCGCTGAGTTGAATTACAAGCAATAATATGCTGCCTTGTTCAGTCAAGTGATTACTAAGCCATTTCTTTGCAGCAGAGAGGGAGGGAGGGAGAAAGTGAGACATCGCATATGGCCTTAGTTTTTATTTATACTACCATAGAAAGATAAATTATATTTTTAAGCATGACGAATTACATATAAATATTATGCCGCGGTAACCTTTAAATACATCGTACAATTGCGGTTTTGAATATTTTAGGGCTTAAATTGGTCATTGTCAAAATTCTCTTTATAAGTATTCATCATCTATGCTGGAAAAAGCAAACCACCTTCTAGCTGCTTCGTAACAAAAAAAAACATGCGACATGCGTTACCTGAAATAGAGGTATGTATTAGTCAGTGCTTACATGATACATATGGGGTAGTAGAGAGAGTGTGCCAAGTAAATGAACTTTATGCTAATAACATTAAAGCCTGCGAGTTGAACTATTACTCAAAATGCAAACATCTCTAATAATTTATAAATGTCAATTTGAGACGAATGAAAATCACTGTCTTAATAAGAAACTACCATTAACTACTTTCTCCCATATATTAACACTAGCAGGCGAGGCGTTGTTTAATTCCAGTTCTCAAGCAACTTTGACTTTAATTTTAGCCAAAGCATAATTTTGGTGATTGCAGCATTGACAAAAAAACTCAAACTTATCACATGAAAAATATCAGCAATTGATTATTAGAGCCAGCAGGCAGCTATACTAAATCCTTAGATAGAACTCCTGTCTAACTTAATTGCCGTTTAATTATGCATAACAACCAGCACGTAACACTTTAGAACATGCTTCTAGATATGTCAGGCTAAATATAACTTTTTCACGGAATTGATCAAATAATAGGTACATAAACTCATTATTTGAAGGACGTCTTTTTTTTTTTTTTTGGTGGTACTGGTAGCGTCAGAATAAGTATATAATACGTAACCGTACATATAGATAAACTACCCTGATATAAAACTTTATGTAGGTTTAACCTGCATATCAAGGGAGAAAGTCAAAACAAAGTCTAGTTATTGTTGGCTTGCTCACACATCCCCTATTTTTCTGCGTGTATGAATGTTTGTACGCTACAGGAATGGAATATTCTCACCGGCTCAAATAAGTGCTTAGGTTCACTGTTACTGTTTATATCAGTTTATATCAGTTTTGAAATTTTTTTAGGATATTTGTATATAATCATTATTTACTGAAACATTTTATTCCGTTCATAACGTATCCTTAAAATAAAAATTTGCAGATATACGCCATGGTGATCGCTGATGTCATTGTGGTACTTTATTATCATCCTTCGAACTGGTCATAACAGGAGACAAATGATCGACCTTTCTTGAAAAAACACTAGTCGAAAGTAAATTATACGTATATGTATTAGATCCAAGCTAAACCGGAATAAATTATTTAATTAAGCTCTAAGAACAAAAGTAATACATCATAAGCCTTAATGTTATGATTGATCCCACTATAAGACAAAGGTATAGATTATTGTAAATTATGAGTGTAATATGTATAGAATCGAAACTACTGTAAATTTTTTAATTAGGCTTTAAGGGCATGTAATTATTTAAATCCGGATAATAACGTTGACTTTTTAAATCATCATTGCATACGAGAGGCCTCCTCCCCTCCCCCGACACATTTTTAAATTGTTGTTAACAATCCTGTGGCCATACAAAAGTACACTTTTTTATTAAACACTAGATTACTCATTAGTGGATTCAATGTCGAAAGTACAGAGTTTGGTTACGAATTAGACATTGAAGATAAGCGGAACTGAAGTTTAATATTGCGACTCTGTGTCAATACCCATGGTTAAAATTGCATATAATCACATTCTTTCACAGATGCTTGAAAGACAAAATGAAATAGGAAGCTTGTTGTTGCTTCAAGATTGTTACCAAGGTATTGGTTTCCAATTCATTGTGTTTGCCGATCAACTCCAATTCTAATTATAGTTTCGGGGTTTACAATATGATTGGCGTCGGACGCTTCTCTTTCAATCACTATTTAGATAATATGTGCGTGGGCATACTCCTAAAAGTTTATATGGGTCGATAAAGCCGAAATCTGATTATATGTACAATTCCCCAATTAAACTTATCGAAGCTCTTTTAAAAAACGGGTTTTACAGTCCAGTCATTGATAAAATGTACGGTTTCACAAGATAGTGTTATGTAATCCAAATGAAGCTTGAAGTAACATTACTGATAGCACGCACAAGAACCTATCAGGGCAATGAGTGATATTTTCTTACGATCGGATTTTGTATCTATACCTAGCTCTAGATGCGAGTAATTGTAATGGTCCTCGGGTTCATGTTTTAAAAGAGCCCTGACTTGGAATTGGCCTCAAATCCAAACAGTTTAGAAATAAGGTTTTCAAAAAGCGTGCTTTGTCAGTATAACAAAAGTACATGACACTGACACGGTAATTTTGAAGGGTATTTTTGTTTTCTCAATTAAGAGCATATCCGATAATAGTCGGTGACAGTTTGTAACGTGTGTTCTAAGAATTCAACTGTCGTTCGAGTATGTAAAGCACGAGGGATCTGCGCTATAATGTCGACTACATACCTTGTTACTGGTGCTTTGATTTTTTTTTGTACCCGCTCCATTATTCTGGTTTCTTTATCCAGAAACGGTAATAACGCACTATGTGTGTGTAGGTATATTTTTAAAATAACTTGTCCTTCGTTCGGAGTTGGAGTGAGATCAATTCGATAGAAGCAGTATGCTTGTTCTGTAGTATACTGTATAGCCAAAGTTGTTAGCTATTTCCGACTCTATCAATTAAAAAAAAAAAAAAGGAAATTGAAATCAAACGAATGTCGGGTAGTACCACTGACAGTTTTATCCTCTGCCCCCGTCTATACATCTTTATTTTTCGGAGACATTTTTTAATATCAATGGCGCGGAAAACATTTCTAATCAAAGATATGTAGTCTAAAAAATATTAATTTGATAGTAAGTGTTACATACAAAAACTGCTTTAGAATGTGATAGAACATATGGTTTTTAATAAGACTTATTGTGATATGAATTGAGTTTATCTAATGACACCATCATAAAAGTAGCCTTACTATATATAAAAATAAAATAAAAATTAATAAGGGCCTAGCCAAACCTTATCACGGCACCTGTTCCTTTGTAAAAATCCCATGCGTTTCACTATGCTAGTGTAACAGTGAATAATGTAAACAAAAACAAAAAAATGTCAAGCTACATTCTGGCCCAGCATAAAAAGGATCAAAACAAACAGTGTCACTCGGTGCAAATATTCTCCCGTTCAAAACTACTCTTTTCCTACTAATTGTTAAGATAGAATTAAGACTCTAATTGGGAGAATGTGTTTACCGTAAGTAGCTCAAAAGGTTCTTAATGACCAAAAAAAAGGAGATGGATAACAATAATTCTTTCAATTAATGTAATCTTACTTTGAATATTTGCTTGTGATACAGTAAGGGTTTTTTCTTTTTTGGACCAATGGAATTCAGCTCAACATTTTTTTTTAAAAAAAAAGGACATGTCTATATGTGTCGTGCGGTCTATCAATGTCCATGCTGCAAAAGGTCCAATGGAACAGTTGTTGGCACAAAACGGCGAGATATGTAGGTATAGCTTAGTGGGTTTAATTCTGACTCGTTTAGATCGTAGACAATGATTTATTTTCCTCCCCGCAATCATTACTCTAAGCGCTACTTTTCAATATACCACAACTGATCTTATGTGTTTTCAACTAACAAAAGTGTGTCCTGAAGACTTGCTTCAATACCCCATCTTCTCCCACTCGCAGCTTTTTAGATAGCTTTGGTCAAGGACTGTCCTTCTACAATATATAAAAATAAAGAAAAACTATTTGAATTTTGCCATTTATTAGCCGTATACCATATTTTGAGTAAGCATGAGCATATTTTTGACTTGAAGCGAGGAATAGAATCCATATTTTGCCATATATCAAAGTCCCCTTAAAACCAGCCAGCTATGTTTTAATTTTCTGCCATAGCTGGGTTAGCATATTCAAAGATGATATCATGTGAAGAAACACTTTTCCTTCAGGGGGTGGATAAAATGGGATGTACGATGGGTCTAGACAACCAGTGCGCATGCACCATAACAATTTGAAAATTAACTTTTAGGATGTTATTAGTTATAAATTGCCTATGATATACTGTAAAGACTAAAAGCCCCAATAAACGGTATTGACTTTAAATGTTCTGTTTGTTATTGCAGTAGTAGCGTTCCTTATTGTTTAAATGAGGAAGGTAAAACGAGAAAAGGGTATTGTGTATCCTTTCAACTGGGTTGCCACCTGTACATGGTCCCTGTATTTTTTGTGAAAATAAAATAAAAAAAAGCATAAGCATCTAACTACAAAAGGCATCTGAAATATAACAATGGACACGAGTAAGTCACTTGGCTAATTTACATCACATATCGCATGGATGGTAAGCGATATCTGGCCCGAACAATATGTTTAAGGTTTTTCTTGAACTGTAATTCATCATGTTTTTCTTGAACTGTAATTCGTCATGTTTTTCTTGAACTGGAGTTCATCATAAGGTATATTCATGTTTGGCAAGTTTTGATTTACAACCCAACTTTAAAAGAGCATCTCGAATCCATTGTACTTCAAAGTAGAATACATATTATTAAGCCGATATACTTGATTGCTTCCTAGGTCTACACAAAAAAATAAGCAGGCAGCATCATGCCACTGCTTTTTAGTTACAAATATGGTGTTTTTTCACCAAATAAAATAAAAAAAAGTGCTGTTGGTATGACCCCCCAAAAACATTTAATACACCGCAATTTACAGAACTTTGTGGCACGTTACCGCAAACCCTTTTTTAGACACTCTGAATATGGATCTAGTGTCCATTGTAATTTGACATTTCTTCTTTCCGCTTCTTTAAAGCAGCATACATTGTGGTAAAAATATGATGTAATAAATAAATGCGGGATACAAGAACACTGTACCCTGCTCGCCCCCTTCTTACTCTATTTGTTATTTTTTCAAGGTTAGTGTACCACAACAAAATAAGTTTACGGAGCCACTTTTTTTAAACGATTAGCCCTGCATTTTACGGCAAGAAAGAAGAAAAGGTACATATGATTATTTTAAACCGGGGACTATACACTTTTTCAAATAGGAAGAAAATAAGCTAAACTGCGCTTAGAAAAACAGCATGTGTATATATTTAGCTTTGACGTGATTAATAATTTCTGGTGACATTAGTATTGCAAAGGAGAAATATAGCAAGATACAGTGTACTATATGACCATACAACTAGAGCAATGTAGCAACATACAAGCTACTAGTACTACCTCGGATGACTGTTCCTCACACATTATTCTAATTGTGCTCACTGTGTCATTTTTTTTAGAGAAATATTTGTCAATAAAACTTCACGCCGACTCTCATGAAGAAGAAAAAGATAAAAAAAAATTAGCAACGCATCTGTTTCTTTTACCATCAAAATAGAGGGGGTTACCAACATAGTTGCCCGTGCGTGCTACGTGAATAATAAACCAGTTTATAGTTATTGAGTGTATTCCTAATTTGTAAATATAGAGGTTGTTCAGTTTCTCATAGAAAACGGTGAATCAAATATTTGCATAAAGAATACCCCCAAAAGATGGCTCGGAAGTGCCTCCTAGTGCGTTTCTTAAAGTGTTTAGAGATTGAAGCTGGATTTGGTAGCAATTCCACAGTGGTCCGACAGTACAAGTCTATAAAAACCGTTATTCACCGAAATCACCTATTAATAAATAAGTGAAATAAACGGTTGGGTGATAAAATAACGGTTTTCCTAAATATTCATGTGCCAATACAAATTCACCAGCGTCTCTTTTTTTTTTTTTTTTTTTTTTTTACAAGAATTTATCGTACCACTTTTTTATCTTTTTATTTTTATAAACCCATCATTCTATTATTATAAAACCGTCTTTGTTCTCCCAAACATGATGGTAGTACAATAAACTGATCGGGCATCATAAAGTTTATTTATGGTCACACAATGTCATTATCATAATCGTGTTTTGCGCGAGGTTAAGTGCACTAATATTGAATTCATCTCAGAATGGGGGGAGGAGAGGAGCTCTGGGCCAACATATGTGATCTAAGTATAAATTTATTGTAAAATACATTTAGTGTGTTTAAAAAAATCTATATTTATATATGGTACATTCTAGAAAAAGAGAAGGGCGAAAGAGAGAGAGAGAGAGGAATAGAGATGGGAAGGAGGAAAATTAAGCGATTTCAAAAGACAAAGAACAATAAAAATAAATACATAGGTATAATTCCATAACCACATATCGATAAAATAATAATGTGGGGGTTTTAAATAAAGTGGGGGGTCATAAACGTGTTTTCTTTGCAAACTCGACTTTTTAGATATGTTGGATAATAGAAGAGAATGAAGGAGTTCTTGTAAGCTTCACACTTTGTTGAGTATTTGTGTTACAAAAAGACATGGCATTAAAACCTGTAGTCAAACTAGCTCTTCTTTTTGGTGGAGGAGGAGGGGACAATTGAAAGTCTTTATCATAGGACATCAAATTCAATTCGCGTTGTTTCAATGAATCTTTAGTGGACACAGGACCAGGGCTGCTACAAGAAGAAGTGGGTGGACTGATCTTTTCAAATAGTTGAATGTCTTCGCCGCCATAAGTAAAATGTTCAAACAAAAGTCCTTCGATAGAAGTGGTGGTGGCTGGAGTGTTACTTTCGGATGCAACGGTGCCGGCACTACTATTGCTGCGACTTAACAAACTATTATTTTGTTGAGCATAACGGTTCTTCATAATACTAGAAGAAGCTACAGATTTAGCATGGCTGCTACCACTGCCACTACTGCTGCTGCTGTTTCGTTGTTTTAATGTATCTAAGCGCACATTGGTTTTTTCATAGTGATGGGGCTTGCTCTGAGATTGACTGGGACTTCTTTGTCTTGTGCTTGTCGTGGTCGTACTAGTAAAACTAGTTTGGCGGGAGATATTAGAAACTCTGGAACTAATTGTACTATAAGAAACAGAGCCAGCTGGTTGAATAGTAGTTTGGGACTTTGAACGAGAATGTTGAAGTTGGGGAGGACGAACATCATTAAGAGGATCGGAAGGTAAATTAAGTCTTCTAGGAAGTCGGCCGAGCACCTGAGATGAATTTATAGATCCCTGACCTTGTACGATTCTCAAAAACTGCTGTTCATCAAAGTACTTTAAAGCGGCCCAAGAAGGGTTTAAGAACGAGAACTTCTTTTTGATTGTATTAAGGTTCTCTAAAGTAACAGAAAAAAAATTAGCAAAGAAGATGATAGAACCTTTTGAATTTGAAACTTACGTTTTCCGATACCACCGTTTTCAAGCATACCATGTAAAGGTTTGTCAGGTGCAGGTAAAGTACCCTTGGTACCCTGCTTAAGTGGGGATTTTCCCTTTACGAGACGACAGATATTGCGAGCAATACAAACGCCGGAAATAGTAGCAGCATAGCCGGTTTTTTCCTCGACCACATTGGTTACATCACCACCGGCGAAAATGTTCTTGTACTTCCAGTGATCAATTTGGAGAGTAGACTTGACCTTTATACGACCCCAAGCATCAATACAGTTTTCAAGAGAACTATCAGTGGATCCGGAAGTAAAGAGAGTACTGTTGGGACGAGTGCCGGTAGCAACAAAGACCTTATCATATCCGGTATACACACGGCCACTCGAACCGACGTATACGTTTGCGCAGGTAGAGTCAAAGTCTAAGATCTTTTCATTGCAAACAACTTCAACGCCGAGATCGTGAAGATACTTGGTAGCCATGTTTTGTTGACGGGAATCACTTCTGTTAACAACATTAGCATGTGAGTCAACAAGCGTAACATGCTTCTTGGGATAGGCACCAGGAAATTGATGTTGAGAGATCTCGGAAGCCAATTCACAACCGACGAGGCCACCACCAATAATGAGAACACGACGAGCCTTTAAAAGCTCGAAATAAGACTCCTCTAATCCGGACATACGATACAATGAGGAAGTATCCGTAGATTTGAGCTGAGAAGAGTATGCACTGCCAGTAGCGACAACCAAGTAATCGAAACCAATCTATTGTAAAATTAAAACGGAAATGAGTTTAACGAATATAGAAAATTAATGTGTAACTTGGACAAATAATAAACATACCACTTCGCCATTTACAGAGACAGATTTTCCTTGGTCGAGGTCTTCGGCATAGCCAATTACGACCTTTCCGTTTTTTACATATGCATCATGACGTACACGAAGGGAGCTGGTCTGATCAGGGTTGATGATTTTTTTCACGATACCGGGGGTGTATTCAAATGAGTCTATTAAGAACAATCGAGTTAATAACATTCTGATTTGAGAATGGATATAGAAAAAGCTACCTTTAGTATCAATTAATGTAACATAGAAACGTGGCATCTGGTCAAGAATTGAAGCAACAGTGAAACCCTACATATTTTAATTGAATATTAGTAAGTGATAAATGATTATTTAATTGCTTAGAATTAATTACCGTGAAACCACCACCAATAATAACAACGCTGACTTGTTGCTTTTGAATGAGAGTAGGGCTAACAATTTCACTGTAATAAAATAGTAAGTATAAAGAAATATGTAAAAAAAAACAACGTGTAAATTTACCCCATTGGGAGATCCATAGTACTAATAAATTCCGCCAACTTGACTTTCTATATTCAGAAGATAAAAATTCGGATAAACAATCAGTTACGCAAGAAAATAAACGTGATTATTTAATAATCAGCTATATTAGGAACGAATGTAATACCAGCATGTCAAGAACTTGTGTTTCCGTCTCTTCTAAAATAGTGACAGCATCGATACGATCAACAATTGCCCACTGCAATGATCGGATGTCTTCTCTAACTTGGTCCTGTGTTGTGACATTTAATTCTAATGGTGATCCGCGTGCCAAGAAAGTCTTATAAATTCTAATATAAAGTGTTAAGACATGCCGGATACCAATGATATTGTCTACGCTACCTATGAAGTGTATTTTCAACAGCTTTTTGATCGTCTTCATGTTTTAATTGCGAGATTGCTTCTATAAATAATAAACTCTCATGCGACCATGTTTGTCTGAGGAAGCATTCAAATGCACATAATAATTTTGGATTTGAAAGTACTTGATGTAAAGTGTAGGGTGATACTGGTAATGTTGAAAATTGATCGTCCGATGAATTTGATGAAGAGAAGCTAGATGAAGATGATAAAGAATCTTGTGATAATAATTCGTCGTGAATGTAATGCATTTCTATAGATTAAAAGTTTTTTTTATAAAAAGAAAATGAAAAATTATAAAAAGTAAAAGTAATAGAAAATATAAAAAAAAAAATATAGATTGGACCCTTTTTATAATATTTTCGTAATCCCGAACCAGTAACGTGCGTATGTGCGCGTGGAAATGGACAGGTTTTTTAGAATAAGCAGATATAACTTCCCCGCAGTCGGAGCAAGGGACACCCGCCAAAAAAAAAACTTCTTGTTTTGGCTTATGCTCTCAATGTTTGTAATGAAATGATAAAATCCAAAATTACAAATGGCATGATTATTTCAGCCAATCGGATTAGTGGGCCCGTGTATACTGAAATACCCCTGTGTGACCATCATCATGGCTATCACCACACCTCCCCCCATTCACCACTGTGTCACATAAAGTCTTATTTTGGGTGAAGTAAAAAAAAAAAAGCCGTTGATAGCTGGGATATTTTTAATAGGCATATAAAAGTTTGACGCCAAGATCTAATGGAAAAAAAAAGAAGAAAAGAGGGGAGGGTGATTATAAAGTTTAAGCGAGGATAGATTTTTTTTCTACAGTTGTTTGTGTGTGTATGTGTATGTATAAGGTTTATACATGAAAATATGTATAATGTCTAAATAGCAGATTTACCAGACAGGTCTGGAGTCGTGTTTAGCCATATCGATGATTCTCCAGCCACCAGTAATGGGGTTTTGAAGGTCCTCAGGTTCTTTGGTAAGGACACAGGCATATGTTACTTGTTCAATATTGTCCTATTTAAATTGGTCAATTGATGGTCTAATTTATAATTAGAAGTATTTACCTCTTGACCATATACAATCTCTCCACTTTTAGCGTTACGGAAAACGATAATTTCTTGTGTACGGAAAGACAAAACTAAGACGGGAACGTCATTTTCCAAGATCTTTGCGGCAACCAACTATGATAATCTCATTAAAACCCTGATATGTGCTTATTCATAAACCAATATACTTACATCGATATCACGCAAATCTTGAATCTTACAATCACTAATTAAGCCTTGTTGCATTTGGGCTTGAATGACAGCAGTCAAAACATTATAGGTCTATTAAGGAATAAAATTAATTAACATCCTCTCCTATTTTTTTTTCATCAACAAACTTACAGCCTCGGAACACCACACCTTCAATGTCTCGACATCACCCTTCAAGTATGCTTCCATGACTTCAGGGATAATATATTTGCGGGCATCAGTCATAAACTTATCCATATTGAACGTAGGATCGATAGTTTGGAAAGCACGGATGGCTTGGGCTTGATCTGATTCTTCGAAAATTGATCCTATACAAATTCATGTCAGGACTACTTTCTCTAACCCGAATAATATTGGTTAGAAACAATAGTTACCGAATGTGTCCGAAAGACGATCAGTGAAAGCACGAGAGTAAGATACAAAGACGTTGTCAGATTCATCGTAATTTCTTCTGGCACGGAAGATACCTGATCGATTACAGGTTAGTACATATACTAATTAGGGGAATCATTTTATTACCTTGCATGATAGGACTATCTTCCTTGAATTTCGACCAACTTTCCTTCCATTTGGAGTCTTTGTGAAGGACCATATTGGCACCAGCCTCGGTATTTTCAGCAACGACCTTGGAAGCACCCTCATTAGACTTTTGAGCCTCTTCACGCAACTTACGTCTGGTTTCCTTGTCAACGAAACCACCATATCTACCACTGTCATCCTTTAAAACGGTCTTGAATGAATCCGAAATCTTTCCAACAGTCTCACTCTTCTTTAAGGGATCTGCAGACTTATTAATTTGTTCTGCTGCCTTTTTAATCTTTTCCGATGCATCTTTAGCAAATTCAGTTTCGGAAGCCTTTTTGAAAGATTCGTTAACAGAGGAGCCAACCTTTCCAGCAGCCTTTGTGAACTTTTCAGATGCTTGCTTAATACGTTCCGCGTTAGCTGATTGTTGAGCCTATACAAGTCCATGTCAGTATATCTCATTGACCTTTATTCGCTTATTCCATAAACTTTACCCTCGCCTTTTCAAACATTTCCTTTGCTTTCTTGAGTGCCTCGCTATCATTTATTCTACCAGACTCATCTTGCAAATTTTTGATATCTTTACTCTTCGACATTTGTTCCTTAATGGTATTGATAAAGACCTTGAAAGGAGAACTGTAGTGACGGACATTGTTATTTTGATAACGCACAGTGTTTGTAACTAAACGGGCTCTTGAAGAAGAGGTCAATAAAGCTTTATATGCAGACATGGTGTATATATACAAGGGTGATATATAATAGCAAAGAGAAAGTGAAAGAACTGAGTGGAATAAATGCAGTAAATGTGTTTGAAATGATGGGTGGGGGTGGCTTGTCGAAATCCGACCCTTGGTCTTGGTTTAAGACTCCGCTCAAACAAAAGTGAAAAAAAAAGGATATTCCCCTGGCAACAAGGATTTTTACAGGGACGGTATAATAGTTGACACATATTATATGCAAAAAAAGTACATTGCTTTAATTGTGTAGTGTAATGAATAGTTGAGCAATTACATCATGAAACTACTAGATGTTACACTAAAATTGAATTTATAATTGCCCTGTTCATAACGATAAATTCACACGGTTGAAATGTCAGATTTATAGATACTGAGTCACTGCTATTAAGCATTATTCTATCTATAGAGCCCATGAAATAAAAATCGAGTATGTGGTCGCTTCCGTTATTCATGCGCATATATTGTTCAAGCGGCTGCTCAAATATTTAATTGTTACGCATTTTTTGTTGAATAATATTGGGATTCAATCTTAAATCTTTGAAAGACTTACAATCGAAAATGATTTACGGAGAGCAGGTCAATAGATATTTTAAATATATTCTGTCTCTTTTACATTATATACAATTCATTTACAAACAAAATACTATGGGAATGCCACGGCCACACAGGTATAGCTCTCCGAGACGTATTCACTGTTGTAACTGTCCTTAGACTTAACAAATAACTATATACAGTCACACACAATTGATTTAAGCAGAATAGTAAATAAATAAATCAGAAGAATTTGTTACCACATCTTCAAATGTCAATTGCACAATAAAATGATTTGGAAAACTTCAAATTTTTTACATATGATGCTTGAAATATATATTTTAGTAAAAGTAAAATAAAAATCGTTAATATTTTGTGGGTCCACCACGGGTTTCAATTACCGCTCGGCATCGAGCAGACACACTTGAAACTAATCTATCTGCTAATTCGAAGCTCATCTTTTTCCATTCTTCTTCAATGGCTTCTCTCAAACTACCAGTATTGTTTACTGAACCGCTTCGGGTTTTTAGTTTACACTCAAGGGCTCACCAAAGGTGCCAGTACTCAAAGCCACTGATTTGATGCGTTTCTTTCCATCATCTTGCATACGCACCAGTATGACAGGCAGCCCCATTCCCTTGGAGTATGAAGCTCCTGTTGTTAGTCTTAGTCATTAACTTAAACCAAGGATGGAATTTACCTACCAAAAAATTGGTGTATCCATCCTGGCCAACAGTACCGTTTAGGTTAAAACACTTTGGACAACGATAATAGCAGGTACTGCTATTACTTCGTCTTGATACGTTCTTATTATATGGACCAGTCAGAAATGCTATACAACATCATAAAGATGACTTTTTTATTAGAATAGCTAGTAAAATGTTTGAGTTATAGTACTAATAAAGTAGACCATTTATAATTTTTATTTAAATATCATAGTAAAATGGTACATTCATAAATAGCAAGCCCTTGCCAAAATAAATTGCTGTCGCCACATATCAAATACGTACTAATAACGTCATATTAGGCAATAATGGCTAATGCAATGAATACAGCTATGGCAGTATGAGCAAATGTGTTTAATGACTTCTTTCCTAAAGTCGCGCTTTCACTTGAAGGGGATGCTGAAGGCAGAGTACCAGAAGAAGTAGCGAGAGTTTTGATAGTAGAAGATTGTGCAGACACAGCAGAACTAGAAGAAGGTTCTGGGCTTGCAAGTAATACAGAAATTGTAACATGAGGACTACATGTTTCCTCATAATCGCTCTTTTTGGTACGATCGTAAGATTCACTTGATACAAATCCTCCAGGGATAAGATATAAATTGTAAACAAAGTCTTTGTAGGTGGAAATAGAGACGTTCCAAGTATCTTCCTTGACATCAAGATTAAATGACTCTGATGCGATCTTTATACCCATATGTTTGAATACCGCTGTCTCTGTTGCATTTGAAATATACTTTTTTGTTATTTCAATATCGAGATCACCCCGTATATAGCTGCAGTAAGAATCATTGAATATGGGGAAAGTTGAATCCCATGTGACATTGTAATTGCCGCCTACGAACCAGGTTGCGTTAACTTGTGGAGAGGTAATAGGTGTCAAGCTCATACTAGAAAAGGTATTAAATAATAGTTGAAATAAGTATAAGTTTAAGGAAGTGAATCAAAAGAAATAAAACATTTTATACCTGTATAAATTTATGGTGGCTATACAGTAACAGTCGTGTAAATTCAACCGTTTGTAGAAAGAAAAAACGAGGTTAGTTTAAGTTTTGTACGCCTTAGCCATTTTTTATGGCGAGGCACTTTTAACTAGTCTGAAGTCCCTGTATTACATATATAACACGGATCCATAACGAATAACGTTCCCTTTAAATGTTTTAGTCTTGGAAAATCCAATTCAAGATTAAGTATTCCGGTGGCATAAATTGTCTTACACAAATTCTTAAATAGCTTCTGAACAGAATACTATTTGAATAATTAAATAGTTCCAAAAGTCTAAATTCATATCAAACTTAAAAAAGTAGCCAAGTAAATGTGGGCCAGGGCTGCCGAATTGCTTTTATTCTTTGTGTAAAATCGAATTCCAAGCACTTTTTTTATCTATAGATGTTAAGTATCTGTTTCAACCATCAGCATGTAAGCGGAACAAAACTAGTTTATTGTCAATTTATAAAGACTCTTCTCCACCATCAACCAATGCACTTGGACTCTAACAGGCCAATAGTAGAGGATTACAGCACTAAGAAGATACGTTTTTAAACAGCGATAAACTAAGCTGAAGTATCACCATGCAATCAGAGGTGACAGCCCATCTTGAATGCATGCCTTCTCAATAAGAACTGTCTCTAAAGAACTAACCATTGCAAGTTGCAAAAACCATTTAATGACATCATCCTTGTTGTTGCAGAGCGGGCATAGAAAAAATAAATGCTTCAAGCAAAAATGATATAGAGAAAGACATACCCAGCTTTTCCTATCTCTCTCGTTTTTATTTATGGACATCAAAAGTTGGTTACGTACAGTCTTACAAAACGTAAGTTAAACTGAAATTATTTCTGTCGTAGCTGGTTTATACTAAACAAAACTTTATAGTACCAAGACCCTGATCGAACATTTCGAGATGTGGATGCAGTTCTTCAAACATATCTATCTTTAAAGCCAAAGATGGACACATACAGTATGTAATATTTAAAGCGAAATATACTGGAAAACCTTTAACGGATGTAAAAACTTTCAACGAATTAGCTTCCAATGATGGTCATACGCAATTGCTATTATGCTTGCATGGAACTATCCCAATCACATATCGTTCAATTCCTTACAATATCCCGGTGGCTTTCTGGATTCCAAAGGAATACCCTAAAAGCTCACCCATTCCTTACGTTAAGCCTACGGCTAATATGCTAATTAGAGAAGGGAGACACGTTGATATAAGTGGTATGTGCTACCACCACTACCGATCCAGCTGGCCAAATGATCAGGTAAAAAAATATTTCATAAAGAGACCGAAAAAGAATTAGATTTGTATTAAAAACGCTCTATCAGAATCATACATTTCTTGAACTTGTGGCTATTCTACAACAAGTCTTTGCGCTTGAACCTCCAGTATATACCAAACCTACAAATATCACCACCAGTACGGGATCACCACAAATTCAAGAGTCTATTTTGGACAGAGTTTCACCTCAACAGAGGCAGTCTATGCCATTAAACAGTCAGAGCCCGGCTCTGTCCCAAACATCACCAGAAATGCCAAGGTGGATGGGGGAAAGTACGGCCTTGTATAATATGAACCAGGGATTAGCAGTAAGCAACCTTGCATCTCGTTCATTTTATAGCATATTTGAACGAATATTTCTTTTTCTTTTATAGTCTATGAGTTTAAACAATAGTAGCCCATTGCCGAAATCATCATCACTTCCAACCATCGCGAATTATCCTTCATTAACTCCTCCTTCGAGATCTGGGACCGCCGATATTAGCTCTAACGGCAATGTCAGTAATTACAATTTGCAGGAAACACTCTATAGAAAGGTTGCAGACAGATTACAGCAGCATAATTTATCAGTGTCCGGCGAGATGGATAAATTATTACTTCAAAACCGATTATTAAATGAGGGAGAATTGAATATTGAAAACGAATATAGGGCCTTGAGTGACATTAAGGAACGCTTGCGATATAATAATTTGATATTAGAGACAAGATCTAAAGAAATAGATACAGTGATCAAACAAGTGAATAATACGCCTGATGTGCAAGTGGATGAAGCTTTATGTGGAACAACTGTAGTTGCCAATCAGTAAGAAGCATATACCGTATGCGATGATTTATATCTTAATCAATTTATTTTTCCCAGACTATATGAGTTGGTAGGTGATGACAACGCTATATCAGATACAGTCTACTTTTTGGCTAAGGCTTTAAATTCTGAAAGAATCGATCTAGCTACATTTATGAAAGTAAGTTTAGGTGGAAACTCTGTATGTACAGCAACATTTTACTTACAAAATTACAAATTTAGTTTACACGTATGCTATCTAGGGAACAATTCATGAAAAGAGCTTTGATCAAGAAGATTACACAGGCTGCTTGAAAAACAATACATACGGAATAAATATAATGAAGACGTATTTCGATTTTTGCTTTTTAATTTGCTTTTTTTTTTTTTTTGGCAACCATTCATAATTAGACGCTTTTCATTAGTCAGTTTTCCAACTAAAAGAAAACAAAAATTGGGCATTTTATGTTTAGTTGGATCAAGTCATGGTCATTAGACGAAAAGACCATATAAGGACACATCCTCCATAAACTATCGCTAACAGAACAAAAATGATCAGCGGCTCAGTATACAACTGCCATGAACAAAAATAGAATTGATTGAATCCTCATGGCTTTCTTTTATTGGCTTTAATAATATGAACACATGTACACAGGTGTGTCAAAACGAATAATGGGGTAGATAGTCATTTGAATGTGTTTGAAACAAATGTCTACAATCAAAACTTTAGGGAGTAAAAGCTTAGAAGGTAATCCCTTCTTTCTTTTACAGCTACTGAAATAGATAAACACGCAACAAAGGATTCCGTTGATAATAAAAGTGTTGTTATTTACGCAGCAACAGCTATATAGAAATATAATGTCATTTAATTGTTATTCCATTGGGTTTTTTATGCAAAACTCTTTTGACATGATGCTCACTGCAACCCTAAACTGAAACCTGTTGAATGGTCTTCATATCAAACACATGTGCCCGAATTCATGATCTACATAAGCAACATATTAAAAAGAGCGAACAATATGCGGTGAAAGAAACAATAATGAATATTCATTACTAAACTCATCAAACAGATAATAAAAAGTTAGCAATTACATGCACTCGAATATAACATCATCTCGTGACAGATTTTCTTTTCTCGCATTTTTTTTTTGCGTATGTTGTGAAGTAACTTTCTTTCTTAGCCTATTTTAATTGATACAGGTATGAGATATACGTGTATCATATACGCACTGTTATGGGAAAAAAATGTGTTATTCCATCGTACAGTGCGAAGAAGAAAAAGTGCGAGTCAATACTCCTTTTTATTGCAAAAAAGAATTGTTAAATAACCCCTTCTATTACTACTATCTCCGTTTTGTATTCACCCATGAGCGCCCTTGTCGTTATGATAATTCAATGTTATAATTATCCTTTGTTTTATTCTTGCATTCTTTCTCTCTCTCTTTTTTTTTCCCTTTTTTTCCATCTCTTGTTATTTCACGTCCCTTTGTTGTATAACACAGTGAGTATAAAAAAGGAAATTCAAACCTTATTAGATAATTAAATTATTAAATGTCTTAATTTTTTTTAAAAAAAGACATCCAAATGGAACAAGATAGCCCTACATCTATGGCAGTGCCAATATGGGCAATAGCCATTATCGCTATACTTGTTGTTGCAATAATCATTCTTATTCTCTTTTATTTAAAACGACGTCGTACACGATCTTACTCAGTTGAGACAATACACCGAAGCGAAGATTACCCGATTAAAGATCACTCTATTAAAGATAATTCTATCAAAGAAATGAAGCAATCCGAATCGTTAGGATCATTTCAAACACTTGTAACACAACAAAAAAAGCAAAGATCAATGAAGTTTGACGAGTCATCTATTACGACTACACCTTTACCAACCCCACCTTTACCTAATATAAAACAACAACATCTAGAGGGGACTACTTCCCCTCTTAATACCAACAACAACAAGAAAGCGGATAAGCCTGCATCAATCTTTGACGAATCAGATTACAGTTATTCCACTCCTCCTGAGCCTTCTTCACAGGAGATCAAAATTTCATTACCACTGCCACCCCCCTCTTCTTCGTTTTTCTCTGATAAAATGGAATTAAATGGAGACCATGGTCAAGATTTATTCAACATGTATCTTAACTCAAAACCTACTGAAAAAAGTGAATTTATTTCAATTGATTTGGATACTGGGCCATCCTTTTACTCTAGTGCAACAGCCAACATACAACAGAAAGCAGCTACCATGAAGAATTCCCTGTATCAATCACTAAGAATACAAAAAGGTAATAGTGGTCGTACGTCGGCTCAGCACATGTTTAGTGAACCACAGCAAAAGGCACCGAAAAATTCAGGAGATTCATATGGATATCAACCAGAATCTTCAGAAAAGACTCAATACATTCATAACTCTAGTACAATCACTACGGACTCAAATAAAACCGTTATTGATATGAGAGAGTTTAACAATACTACAAAACAGCCACTCAAAAACCTTACTGTAACTCGTAGTTCAGATGATATGGTTGCAATAGATGACGAGTCTCCGATTACTCCTAATCCAAATCTACAAGAACCAGTTCGTGCAGCAAAGCGCGTCATTCGATCCGCTTCTAGAAAGACAAAGACTCGTTCTATGGTCGTCAATGAAAAAGATCTTCTGCCAATTGAGGATGAAGAAAGTACGGATTATCAAGGCCTGGGTGGAACTGTAAAAGATTCGAAAAAATCAAAACGGGACTCGGTCAGATTTGCTAGTTTCCGTGGTCCTAGAAATAGCGGTGAACATATGACAATTACGTCTGGCTCCATGAGACGTCTGGTGCGTGAAAGTATCTTGTTTGATGACGATGCTATTCCTTCCATGCCTCCTTCTGCTGCTGCTATGGCCTCTACCAGAAATACAAATTCACGAAAAAGTAATATCAGCGCTGTTGACATTGCTAGTTGGTGGGAAAGCAACAGCAATACCCCTAAAAATTCAAATTCAGCCACCATCACAACAAACGAAGACAGTGATAATTCATTACCCCTATTTCAAAACATTTCTGCAGGATCAAACAGCTCTAGTGCTCCTCATCAGTACCGTGCCTCTCTTACAACATCTATTTTTGGTACTTTGTCAAAATCAAGTACTGCAGTACTAAACGAAGCAAATCACGAAGCCGCTGGTGCTGCTAATGGTAATGCCACACGTCATAATTCATTTAGAAGAGGAACACTTAGTCGAAATACATTAAGAAACATAACTGCAGGTGCCACAAATGTAAATAGATCAATCAAAGGCTTGTTCGATAACTCTTCAAGCAAAGTAGTTCCTGATGATAGTCAAAAGATGGAACTTGATTCTGAGCCTGTTGTTCAGAATGAAGAGAAATCAAGCCCACATGAGCGTTATGGTTCAATTCGTCAAAAAAGTGTTCGAAACACAACTCAAACAAGGCCAAGTATACCATCAACATACCTTCCCAATTCGGAGTCATCCACGAAATATGCGCTGAGTGACGAAGATTATTTCCCTGATCAACAAAATTCAGCTGTCGATCAAAAATTGGACGATCAAAACAAGCTTAAAGAAGAGCCCAAGCAAGGTATAATGCCAACATCTGCCAACAGTGAAGTAGACACTATTCGACGCATGTTGCAAGATACTTGGAAAAATAATATGAAGGAAAGTGGATCTATGTTTAGTATTTCATCTGAGACCGAGAGTGTCGCTACTAACTCGACGCAACAATCGGGCTTAACACAACAGTCTGCATCCACTACTGGCACAAGCAAATTCGTATCTCGGCATCAGAACCAGTCGCTTTTAACCAAGTCCTTGCTTACACAACAAGTCGTTAAGAGAGCCTCGCTTCTAGGACGTACAAGACAATCTGACGATTTTGTTCCTCAACAAGGTCCAGAGCCAACTGCTTCATTTTCCTCGTCTACTGCAAGAACCATGGTACCTGAGGCTGCAAATGAGCCAGCCAGTGTTCGATTAAATGCAATCAACCACGGAAGCAATAAAATCCAACAAGATGCATGTGACAATGTACTTTTAAACCGTCTTTCAACATCACCTACCTCACCTAGAAACAGCAGTGCTAATAGCAGTAGGGGTCATAGTAGAAAAAGCAGCGGAGGAAATAGTGCTGCCACCGCATTGCGAATTAGCTCAGGATACGCCATAAATGCAAAGACTTGGAATGGGCGTGCAAATCAAAAACGTAATTCTCGTCCGTTGGTAACACAAATCTTGGACGGCAACGACGATGAAACACCCTCAACACCAGATACCGCTCATCTTGTATCACCCGTGGAACAGAGTATAGGAAGAGCCAGTGTGAATAAACGTGCATTTTTTAGTACAATGAGAAAAGGCCAAAAGAACCGTGGTAGTATTCCCTGGATGGCAGAAGGGGACGATCAAGATAAAACGCCTGCTCAAATAGAGCGTGATAAATATTTAGAAGGAAAGTTTTAAATAAATTTTTTTTGTTAAACTAGTAATATGATTCACATATAAGTAAAAAATACACCAAAATGTGATAAATCAATTTATAATCATGTAACGAATTACATAAATCTGTATATCGCAACCTCTTTTATAACTGCGCAAAAGGCATGTCGTGTTCATTATAAGATTAAACAAATTTTTTTGTCGTACTCTATCTAAAACTTATTAAAGATGGATAAAATTGATTTTGGTCACAAATCATCTGTAGAAATGATTAGGCAACGGCTTAAATTTTGCGTGTGTAACCTATCACAGGAACAAGCTACAATCAGGGTAGAATGGATAATTCGACATTTTACCATAAAACTTTATTAATGAAAAAGAAAGCACAGATAAATAAGGGGGTACGAAAGTAAACATGTACTAAGTTTACTTGGGGTTGAAAGGACATTTTCCAGAAGGAACAACAACTTCATCAGGGTTAGAAGAGCCGTCCTTTCTGTTCTTTGACATTTGTCTCAACATATCAGAAGGGTCATAGAAAGTCTCAAGCTCTTCGATCTCAAACTTGTCATTAACTTTGGCAACGGTGACACCAAAAATTTCAATCACCTCATTAGTAGCATGAGCTTCAAGCTTCTTACCGTCACCCACCTTGATCGATAAATCACCATTGTTCAAACCCCAATGTCTCCACTTGAAAGCAACAACAGGGGGGCCGCTATAAACAGAGATAACTTCCCATGAAAAGGCACGAAGAGCTCTTTTAAAGAGCTTGTGGGATTCACTGAAATCCATATCACTAGCCTTGTAAAGCTCAGTATCACCAATAAGTGCATTGTAAGTACCAATCTATTTCTCAAATGTTAGCCCGGGGGAACCGATACTTTAATCGGTTCATTGTTTACCTGGAGCATACTTTCAATATCTTGCCATGGCTTGCCGTTGACAGAAAAACGATATTTTTCTTGGTTAATGGTACGGATTTGGTCAGCACGGAGCTTATAAGACATTTCCTTTTCCCAGTTCTATATAATTAACCCAAAAAGGACATGAGTTAAGTACCAAGCGAATCGAATGTATTAATATGCAATTACCTTAACCAAGTTGGAGACGAGCCATTCAAGAGAGCCTTCTGCGTGAGTTTGTGTCTTTTCTGTAAAATATGTCAGTATAAATTTAATCATACATTAAAATGTAAAATTTTACCTTCTTCGTAAGTGGCATTCACCTTGGTGTAGTCAGGGATACGGTTGTAACGCCATTCATCATCTTTGTCACCAAGGACGGCATTAGGATTGGTCATGAAGTCAGGAAGATCCATTTTAGAGTAGGGGTTTTTGATAAAAAATATGTATTTGTATAAAGAAAGGGAGAAAGCTGCTAAAGGTAAGCTTCAATTTATATTGATTTATTTAACCCGTCCATGACTGTAAAAAAAAAAAAAAAAAAAAAAAAAAAAAAAAACGCACAGATATTTTCAATTGTATGTATAGTGTAACATCATTAATGAGTCCCTACAAAATCATGTATTTGTATTCCAGAAAAAGTTTCTATATTACTATTACTGTTAAATCATAAATACCATAAGATGTTTACAATTATTCTTGAAACTATAATTATAGAGAGGCAGATACTTTAATTTCGGAAACACATCGATACAATAGGTTTAACCTCAACTTACAATGTACATGTGTTACATTCAAATATTTATGACTATATTACCAATCAATGAAGAAAGACAAAGCATCTTGTACACAATAAAATGCAGTTTGCAAACGTATTCCCGTGTTTAGATTTTTAGGTATGATTTACTCTACTATAGCCGATAGTACACTCATATAATAGAGTTCATCACTATACAGTAGTTGGACTAATAGAGTGTAATTTGTAATAAGTAAAAGGGGTTTCTTTTAATTTGCCGCATTCGTGCACGCGTTATCACTACACAGTTCTATGTAGTAGGACAATGGTTTTCACATGCGCTTTTTGAAAATAAAAAAGAAGACAAAATAAACTACACCGGCGAAATTTTGGTCTTTATGGTAATCTATCAATCGAGTCAAGGGAGGAAAGTCTACACAGATGTAACCTTGTACGACAGTGCCAATTTTTAACTCATCCTGATAAAAATGTATAAAGTTTTAATTTCTTTTTGACTATCCCTATATTATTTTAAAAATGATAAAACTTTTTGTGTAATTTTTATTGATAGACATAAATATAAAAAAAAATATAGGATCAAACCATAAAGGCAGGCAACTAGTACAAGAAAAGACAACTATAACTTTATTGAGACAATATGTATCAGTGTGACACATGAAAAGTGATATTGGTACAATGTCTGACCAATTAAATAAAAGACCTGTTATTTAAACAAGTGTCTCCAGCCTCCAATCGATGCTGATGTCTTCTTTTTATCCTCCCATTTAAGCCTTTCGAGGAGATCTATTTTATTAAGTCATGTTATTTTTTTTTCAGTATCAAGTCAAAAGTAACACAGTAGCAGTAGGCGGAGTTTTTGAGCGGAAGACGGGTTCTGCACAAGTTGTTAGTCACTACATATTTATTCTATCAAACGCTGTATGGTCTAAGTTTTAGACAGCACGCTATTATTAGAGAGATATAGTCTTGGAGGGTCTTTGTGTAGTCTTTTTTTCAACAAAGAGCAAAAAAAAAAAAGAATGAAAAAACCCTAAAACTTTAATTGATGGTCCGCAACGGTTTAAGCAGACACTGAAAGGTCAGGAACAGTTCTAAACAGTTTTAAGGTCACACGACTGCTTATAGTCTTGCTTTCCATTTTTTTCTCTTTTTCTCTTTCCCTTTTTTTCAAACATATAAACATTAATACGCAAGAAAAAGTTGTGAAAATGGCGACAGCGACTAATGTTCATCAAACAATTGCTGTATATACACAAGGCACTAAAGCTTGGTTTGAAGATGACAGAGAAGCTTGGGTTTCCACCACATGTACTTCAACAACAGTAACTGATGCTAATGTGCGCTTGGTGTTTCAGAGTGACAATGACGAAAGAGTAAGGCAGTTTGTATAACGTGATATGTTATATATACATGTATATGCCGCACTTTACTGATAATATTATTGAATAGGAGTATGTATTTACATCCACCATTGTAGAGCTTGAAAAAAACAATGGATCAAAACTACCACCACTTCGTAACCCACCCAAAATGGAGTATACGGATGATTTAACAAACTTGAGTTATTTGAATGAGCCTGCAGGTATGATTTTTTCTTACGGATATGGTTATACAGCATGAAAATAATATTTAATTAGTATTAAACACCATCCGTACACGTTATATGCAAAGATTAATTTATACGTATTCTGGTATTGTGTTGATTGCTGTCAATCCTTTTGACCGTGTGGCACTTTATGACCCTGATATTGTTCAGCAGTACTCTGGAAGAAGACGCGGTGAGCTTGAGCCTCATTTGTTTGCTATTGCAGAAGATGCATATCGTTGTATGATCCGTGAGCAAGTTAATCAAACTATTGTCGTTTCTGGTGAGAGGTAAAACATGAAACAAAGGGGGGGGGGGAAAGAGGGGGGTTTAAATATATCTAATTTTCTTTTTCTGGACAATAGTGGTGCTGGTAAAACAGTCAGTGCAAAGTATATCATGCGTTATTTTGCTACTGCAGATGATCAGGAGGTACAAGGAAAGAAACAAAAGTCTGGAATGACTGAGGTAGAGGAACAAATTTTAGGTACAACTTACACTTTAGATACTATATTCATTATACTTATAATTTTGCTGTCTTGTAATATAGCTACGAATCCTATCATGGAAGCTTTTGGTAATGCCAAAACCACTCGAAATGATAACTCTTCTCGATTTGGTAAATACATTGAAATCCAGTTTGACGACAGTGCAAATATTGTTGGCGCCAAAATCAGGACCTATCTTTTAGAAAGATCTCGTTTGATCTATCAGCCAGAAGTGGAAAGAAATTATCACATTTTTTATCAGGTACGCTTTCAAATGGAGAGAACCCGGGCGTGTGACAACATGTAATATTTATTTGTTTTGTTTTAGCTTTGTGCAGGCATCCCTCTATCAGAGAAGAAGGAATTCGAGCTTGGTGATTATAGTCAATTTCATTATCTTAACCAAAGTGGAAGTGGGATCATTCCTGGTGTAGATGACGCTGCTGAATTTGAAACGACGCAAAGGGCTCTATCCACCATTGGGTTATCTGTGCAGTTACAGTGGAAGATATTTCGATTATTGGCCGCATTGCTTCACTTGGGTAACATCAATATCACCGGTCGCGGCGATGCTATGTTATCTGAAACCGATGCTGCTCTTTTAACAACCACTCGTTTGCTTGGTATCAAAACTGCTGATTTCAGAAAATGGATTGTCCGTAAACAAATTGTGACCCGTTCAGAGAAAATCGTTACCAACCTGAGCCCCGCACAAGCACACGTTGTAAAAGATTCTGTCGCTAAATATGTCTATGCAAACTTGTTCGATTGGCTTGTTAGCGTTACCAACGACAGTCTGTCTTGTCCCGATCCTAGTATGGTAGCAAACTTTATTGGCGTTTTGGATATTTATGGTTTTGAGCATTTTAAGAAGAATTCGTTCGAACAGTTTTGTATTAATTATGCAAATGAGAAGCTTCAACAACAAGTAAGTCACTCTTTAGTATCAACAAAAGATACCCCCTTTTCTTTTTTCATGCAAACAAACTTATTCTTTCTGCTTTTTATAGTTTAATCAGCACGTCTTCAAGTTGGAACAAGAAGAGTATGTTCGCGAAAAGATCAACTGGACATTTATTGAATTTAGTGATAATCAAAAGTGTATCGAGCTGATTGAAGGAAAACTGGGTATTTTGTCACTTTTAGATGAGGTAAATAAGCAAAAAAAAAAAAAAAAAAAAAAAAAAGTAGGCGTATATATACATCTAAACACATTTAAAACAAAAGGAATCGCGCTTACCATCTGGTTCAGATCAAGGATTTGTACAAAAACTCTACTCAAACTTTGAAGGTCCCAATTTCAAAAACTATTTCAAGAAACCCCGTTTCTCAAATAATGCATTCACTATTGCGCATTATGCTTTGGATGTGCAGTACGAAGCCGAGAGTTTCATTGATAAAAACAAGGATACCGTACCGGATGAACATTTGGCTCTTTTACAAGGCTCGGATTTCGATTTCTTGACAGATGTTTTGGATAAAGCCGCTGCTAATACTGCTCAAGCTGCTGTAAGTATAAAATTTTATTTTTAATAATGAATTTTGCCTGACATCCATTGCCATAGCCTGAAAATAGCAAACGTATGAGTATGATCGCAAGAAAACCTACACTCGGCTCTATCTTCAAGCTGTCGCTCATAAACTTGATGGATACTATTGGAGGTACAAATGTGCATTATATCCGTTGTATCAAACCCAATGAAGCCAAGATTGCTTGGGAGTTTGATCCTAGTATGGTTCTTTCTCAATTACGTGCATGTGGTGTTTTGGAGACAATTCGCATTAGTTGTGCAGGTTATCCATCTCGTTGGACCTTTGAAGAATTTGCCGACCGTTATTTTGCGCTTGTTTCTTCCAAGCATTGGGATCCTCAAGTTAAACCTGAAGTGAGACAGCTGTGTTCTGTCATCCTGGATACTTCCATCAAAGACGAAGATAAGTATCAAGTGGGCACCACCAAGATCTTTTTCCGTGCTGGTCAGGTATGAAAGAAACATAAAAATTGAATAATTTTTAATGGGAGGTTTTGACATATTTTTTTTTAGTTGGCTTATTTAGAAAAACTGAGATCAGACCGTTTTAATGAATGTGCTGTGACATTACAAAAGCATATGAGACGCTTTATTTACCGTACGCGTTATATTCGTACCAAAGAGCTTGCTGTTCAAATCCAATGTGTAGCACGTCGAAAAGTCGCTTTGGCCAACATGCGGACCCTCAAAGAAGAAAAAGCTGCTATCATCATTCAAAAAAATTGGCGCAGATATGTTGCGCGTAAACAATTTGTGTCCAAGCAAACCTTTATTCTCAAACTTCAAACAGGTAAAAAATATACGGGAGCATTTAATAGGGTTATACTAAATCTGATTTATGATAAAAGCATCTCGTTCCTATTTGGCTAAACGTAACCATGTGGCCCTCCGTGAAAACTGTGCTGCTGTTCAAATCCAAAAGCTTGTGCGTGGTTGGTTTGCAAGAAAGAGTTACAAGGCCAAGCGAGAACTTATTATACATGTGCAATCATGTATTCGACGAAATATTGCTCGTAAAAAGCTACTTAACTTCCGTTCAGAAGCCCGTTCTGTCAGTCATTTCAAGGAGGTTTCCTACGCACTTGAAAATAAGGTAGTCGAATTAACTCAAACTTTAACAGCAGTAAGAGATGAACGAAAATTAGCCAATGACCGTTCAGTCCAATTGGAAGCACAAATTAAAAACTGGGTGGACAAATACGAAAAGATGGAACGCAAGGCCAAGAATTTGGATGAGAAACTTCAAGAACCCACCGTACCTAAAGAACAACACGATCATTTACAAGCAGAGTTGACTGCCTTGACAAGTGAACACCGTATTGCCACTGAAAAGGTGAAGAGTCAGGACCGTGAATTAACCTTGATCAGAACACAACTTGAGACTGAAAAGACAGCCAATGCAGGCCTCAAAAAGTCTTTGGAAGAAGCAGATGAACGTGCTAAGAATGCAACAGATGAATCTGAAGTCGCTGAACTTCGTAATCAGCTGGCTGCACTCAAGACCCAGCTTTCCCAAGCACTACATGCACCCCGTAGGCAAGGCTCAAACAATGCTTTGCGTGGGATTTCCCCGGCTCCTCCAGGTATGCGTGGTCCATCCCCTTCGCCCAATAGGTCTTTGGATCCAGAGTCTGTTCCTCGTCACAGAAGCAGATCTCCGGGCGGCATCTATCCAACACCCATTACCACCTCCGCAGTCTCTACAACCCTTTCTGCACCCAATAATAGAAAACCTCGTCGCAATAGTTCGGCTGACATGCTCAATGGCAGTCGACTCAAGAACTCGATTGAAAATATTCGAAACAATGAAAACTTTGGCAAGAATCCCAGACCGGCGTCTATTGATCATTTTAATACTCTCTTGGGCGCTAAAAATGCAAGTGGCTTATCGGGGGCTATTGATGAGAGTCCTGAGGAAGAGATTCATAGTTTATTACGTAATGAAGGACCATTACAAGAAGAGATTCTGGAAGGACTTATCAAGTCAGTAAAGATGCCATTGCCAACATTACAAAATCCACCTTCACAAAAGGAAATCTTGTTCCCTGCACATACCATTAGTGTCTGTGTCAATGAAATGTGGGAGTTGGGCTATATTCAAGAATCCGAAAAGCTCTTATTTAATGTCATGGATACTATCCAAAAGCAGTTCTTAAGTTTCACAGACGAGGATGCAGTAGTGCCGTGTACCTTTTGGCTAACTAATGTTCATGAATTACTATCCTTGATCTGTATTGCACATAATGAGATTGATCAAGATATTTATCAAGACAAACGCAAGTCTGTGGGTAGACATGATTTCTCAAAGTTAATGGAAACCATCAAATTTGAAATGCAATGCTTGGAAGATAACATTTATCACGCTTGGATGAAGGAAATTAAAAAACATCTTAGCAAAATGGTCATACCTGCTGTTGTTGAAGGTCAATCCCTTCCTGGTTTTATTACAAGTGACAACGGTCGTTTCTTTAACAAGTTACTCATTGGAACAACGCAGCCCACATACTCTATGGATGAACTTTTAAACTTTTTAAACAAGATTTGGCGTACAATGAAGTGTTACTACATTGAACAATCGGTTGCAACCCAAGCCCTAACAGAGTTATTAAAGTTAATTGGTGTATCTGCTTTTAACGATTTGCTCATGCGAAAAAATTTCTGTTCTTGGAAAAGAGGTAAGGCTATATAAACCTGGCTAATGGATTAGGAGCACTAAAGGGTAGTTTTTATATAATTTTTTAGCTATGCAAATTCAATATAATATTACACGTATTGAAGAGTGGTGCAAGAGTCATGATATTCCTGAAGGAGCACTTCAACTTGAACATTTGATGCAAACAACGAAATTACTTCAATTTAAGAAGGCAACGTTAGAAGACATTGAGAACATTTATGACGTGTGTTGGATATTATCACCTACACAAATCCAGAAGTTGATCTCACAATACTATACTGCAGACTATGAGAATCCAATCAAACCCGATATACTTAAAGCAGTTGCCTCACATGTTGTAAGTGGCGATAAGAGTGATGTATTACTTTTAGATTCCGTCTCCATTGAGAATACATCAAACCCATTTGAAGTACCCGTTCCAAGAGATACCAGATCAGAAATTTATCTTCCTTCTTGGGTAAAAACTATTTTTAAAACTTGTAATACTCGAACGTTGTGATACTGAACTTTTATTTATTTATTTTATAATAGTTAAACTTAAAGCGTCTTCGTCGGTTAACAACATTAATCCAACAAACCAATGAAAATAATGCAATTGTTACATAAAATATTGGTGCACAACAGCAAGAAAGAAAAAAAAAACGCCTCATCTATGAACAATACCTCCATTTATAAATTAATTATCTATGTAATCTATATACAATAAAATCTACTCTTTTCTTTACATGATGATGTCCAGTATTTTTTTTATCTTTATCCATATTAGTATTTTGTATTTTAATTTTATTTTTTGCCAAGAAAATATAATAATGAGACCATGTAATTCACGGAATAAATATTGACAGGTTTTGTCAAAAAAGGCCCTTATACCGTCATTCTTTCTGAGTTGTTAATTTTAAATATTATTTTAACATCTGGATTTGGTAAAAATAAAACCCAAATTAGTGTAGTTTGGCTACACAAAAATGCTAACGAATCATCAACGAGCTTAGCCCCCTTTCTTTTCGACTCAAGACGAGCAAGAGATTGCTGACTCATACAATAGTAATGGCATTTTTCAAACAAACAGTAAAAAATATCCCCTTTTGCCTTAACATAATTCCCTGCCTTGGCATGACGTAAGGGACACACAACCTTATTCGGTCGAGACCATAGTTATTGTTATACAACCGTAATCTGAGAGAGAAAAAAAAAGCACATATAAAATAAAAAATAAAAAAAAAAAAAAAGATCTCATTGTGAAATAAAACTTCTCATTTCTTTCTTCTATTCCTTTTTTTTTTTTTTTATTCTTTACCTTTTAAACTTTTACAGCAAATATGTCTTTAAGCAGTGACGACGCTACTGTCAAACGACAAAGAGTGAGCCGTGCATGGTAGTGTACCTTACATATCTATTTACCCCACATTTATTTTTTAACATGCTTCTCCTCAGTGACTTGTGTAGAAAGAAAAAGATCAAGTGTGACGGTACCGCACCCGTCTGTAGTAATTGCCAAGCATTCAACTTGGAATGTAGTTACAAGGACACCACCAAAAAGGTGAGTCACTATCACTAATCATAAGCCCGCTTTATCGGGTCTAACATTTTTTTTTTCCTTTAAATAGAGAGGGCCTCCAAAAGGATATATTGAAGCAATAGAAAATAGATTACACAAATTAGAAAGTTATCTTAATGATATCGTAAAACAAGAAGAAGAAGATCCACGCACTAAAGAACTTTTGAAAGAATTACAGTCACCATTAGAAACACCACTCGGTGAACAAATTAAAGCAAGACCTCAACGTAGACAACGTAGACGCCCGATACCGATTGAATCCGTCACACCACCTATCACTGATTCACCTTTATCGCCTTTATTTGATAGCCCAACACTAAGTCATAGTGAGATACCCTTATCTAACGATGAACAACCAATGCAAAGTACGTCCGATCTTAATGACGGCAAAGGTCAATTATCAATGGATGAAAACGGTCAAGTCCGATACCTAGGAAAATCTTCTGGATTCTATCTTTTACAGAATAGTAGAACTTATCAAAATGGCGCATTTCATTTCTCAGGCTACAAGCATAAACTTTCCTCTGAAAGTATAAATGAGTTTGTCGCCCCAAAAAACAAATATTCAAGCACGGATCCCTTTGAACTACCCCCCACTGATTTATCCGAACATCTCATTGATTTATATTTGACTCATTTTTATCCCGTTCTACCAATGTTCTATAAAAGGCGTCTCATCTGCAGCCTGTCTCCCTTAGAGCCTATCTCTCCACTCTTACTAAATGCAATTTATGCTATTGCGTCACGAGTCACCCCTGATGAACGCGTGAGATCTGATATCTCTTCACCTGATACTGCTGGTGATGTCTTTTTTGAAAGGGCCAAATGCTTGCTTGATGATTATTATGACACACCAAGAATATCTACCGTACAAGCTTTACTACTGATGGCAAGTCATCAAATGGGTGCTATGAAAGCGGCAAGAGCCTGGCTATACAGTGGAATGGTAAAGAAAGAAGGCATGCAAATTTACTATATATAGAAAACTTACATTTTCACACTTTAGGCTTTTCGCATGGCACAAGATTTAGGCTTGAATCGTAACTGTGACCACTGGAATATCTCGCCTGAAGAAAGAGAAAGGAGAAAACGTGTCTTTTGGTGCTGCTTTATTGTTGATAGAATTACAAGTGCTATTTATGGTCGTTCTGCCAACTTTGAAGAAAGAGATTGCGATGTGCCGTTTCCTTCAGTAGATGATGATGAATGGATTAAACCCGCAAGTAAAGATTCGTCTAGACCTCCTGCAAGACTCTTAGAAGTGTTTATTCAATCAATTAAGATTTGCGACATCTTGGGTCATGTGTTGAAAAATATTTATTATGCAAAAGCGAGACAACATACTTCTGCGCATCATATTGATAACATTTTAACAACATTGAACAGACAACTCAATCAATGGCATGCAAGTTTGCCTCTTGCTTTACAATACAAATTACCAAATACGCAAGCCGGTGAAATGGCTCCTGATCCACCTTCTGCTATCTGTCAATTACACTTGATTTATTATACAACTTTGATTCTGTTGCATCGTTCTTTTATTCCTGGCCCAACTCAAACTCAATCGCCTAACAATCTTCCCTCTTACCGCATTTGTGAATCGGCTGCTACTTCTGTTCTTGATATCATCAACATTATGCTTGGCGAAAATCACTTGAAGTATGTATACAACTTTTCTGTCTTCTTTGTCTTTACTGCTGGTATTATTTTTATCAAGTTGGCCTCTTCAGACGATGCAAGCACAGCTTTTGACGCGAGAATCAATATCAATCGAATCATGCGTGCCTTGGATGAACTAGAAATCACTTGGCTAAATGCAGCCCGTTGTTGCAATATCTTGGGAGAATTAGCTGGCTTGCGTGATATCAAACTTGAATGCGATAAATTTGTACCAAAAGAAATATCTAAAGCAAGTCCTCCTCCTTCTATAGCTGTTCCTAATTCTCCAGAACTCTCTTCGACCATACTCTCTTCATCCCCACAAGATATGGATATAACGATGCAGTACAGCCAAAACAATACAACACAACCAATGGATACCTCTTCCAACGACTATAATAACAACTGGAATCCGCATCACCACAAGAGTGCAAGCATGTCCGATTATTCTCATCACCAACATAATCAACCCCAGCGCTCATCAACCGATTACTTTAGCCATAACAGCCATACTAGTAATTTTTCCTTATTTTCATCATCGCCACCCTCTATGAGTGTCACATCTCAGATTCCAATTTCATCTGTGCGTTCATCTTCAGCTCAAAATCATCGTGCTTCTTCATCTCCTACATCATCATCATTTTTAAACAATACCACACCTACTATGGATCCATTTGCAGCACCTGGCATTATACCTACGCCCGCGTCAAATCAAGCTGAGCAATTTGATCCACTGGGTACAGCCTTTTGGGGCATGCCGACATCGCTTGATACGGATGAATGGAATGCTTATTTCGGAAACCAACAAGTCAATAACACAGCCCCTACTAGCGAACCTACACCGACCAATCAATTGAGTTCTATGTTACTTTCATCGTCTGCATCTTCCGTTTCATCATTCATGTACTCCCAACAACCATTGCACAGGCTGTCCTCTACATCGTCCGCTTCCATGGATCTACCGAATTCTCCCTCTCAAAGCTTCTTGTTGGGATTTTTGGACGAAAATAAGAATTCTCGTTTGGTGTCGTCTCCTTCGCCCATAAATGCCACAACCATAGAATCATCCAACGTATCGGCTGACATTCGTTACTGGTAACACAACAACAATTGGTCATACTTATAAATCGACACAGTCGCCCTTCTTTTACATAATTTTTATTATATTACACTTATTTTTTTTTAAGAAAACAAGAAAATAAAACCCTGTACAAATCTGTCTCATATTCATTGGTAAATCAAATGACCATAGTACACAATCGTGCTACAATTTACAAAAGAGCACATGGCACATAAGGTTAAAGTTTTCCAATCTTGAAACCTTCTTTTCCCGGGTTTAACAAACCTGTAATTATTAAATGGGAAAAAACTAAAGGCGTGAACTTTTCCATTTCGCAATAGTCGCACAAATGAGGCTTGCCTGGTTATTATAGTATCACAGCATACTTGTTTACGGTGTTTAAAAATGCTCGCAATTCCTGGTAAGAAGCTTAATAAGGCTTACTCCGACTATATTTTAGGTAATTTAAAGCATTTGATGAAGTAAATACTTACACTTAATGCTTTAAAACTAGTTCTGGAAACTTTCCTATCCTTAAATTTTTCTTTGCATATATTGAACTTTATGAAACGTAGGTGCACATTTATAACAGCCGATATGAGTTTAAGTATCAAAAGTATTAGATCCAAAACTTATTTCAGCGTCAATTCGAATGTACACCCATAAGAACAAAAACTTGACAAAATCGGGCCATAGAATTACGAAAAATACTGTTTTCTATTTCAAAAATCAGTAATTTGGTCTCATAAAACTCTCTTATAAAACAGCTCTTTCTAGAAAACTGAATGATTGTTGTGTTTTCATTATTTTATTTATATAAAAACCATATTTTTAAAAGACATGGTTTATAAACGGGTTATAAATACGGTTTATGTTCAATAAATCCCATCTAGCATTTAATATGACGAAGGGGGGGGGGCGTTTTTATTTTACAGCAGTTGAATAAAACAGAACTGCAACCGTTATTTATTGTCGTTTTAATTGCCAAACTTAATCAATTGTTTGTAAAATTATTAAGCCAAAATAACACAGCGCTGATAGGTTTACATTACCAAAACAAGTTAGTAAAGCTGCAAAGCTAGCTCAAGATATATCATCATATATTGCCTATAAGTTCTATATATTAATCAATTAACATCTGACTTCAGCGTACTACTAAGATAAGTATACTCTTCTCAAACATTGCTTTTAAAAACTGAGAAAAATTTTACTTGAATTTGAATGAGAATGTCTGGAGAACAATACTTTGCTGTATACCATTTACAATCATCGATATTTGATTTAAAATAGAGGCCTATTTTCAAACCAATTAAAAATAAAAAAGAGTAGTTTGAAGAATGGTTTATAGTAAATACGAATTTAATCAGATGCTTTCTTTTTATATATACAGATCAGTATGTGAAACTATTATACAATGTTGAGGGTAAATGTAGTTATATATATATACACTTCTTCAAACAAAGCAGTGGCATCCGGTGTGTTGGTGGATTAGCGAAGACAATCTGGTGGTGACGGTCAGAGACGAAGTTGATTTACTAATTTCATCAGGAGTACTCTAAAAAGACCATATTACCGCTCATATTTTACAATTAATCACGAGATTTCAACGTTAGTCTAGATGATGTTAAACAATAGTTTGTTTTCATTTTCTTGCCTAATAAGTGAGATAAAAATATCGATATCATGTTAAATGACTCGAAGTAACCTTTTTCCAAATTTGGCCTGACAGCGGTAACGGGTGCATTGCGTTTGATTTATTAGCATTATCTAATATTAGATAAAGGCTAGATCATATTGTTCTTTAATAACAATGAAAGCCTCAATGCTAAATAAGAACTTTTATAGTGTTACAGTTAGCATTTTTTTAAAAATTTAGTGCGTGACAAACATGCTTTCTCTAATAACTTTATTTTCTAAGGTTCTTTTCTAATGTTCTTTTTTTGTGCAAATATTGCTGTCGGGTAATAGATAACGATTATCACGCCACCATGTTTCATTCTTTACTTTTATATTTTAAAGATAGTTAAATGCCGTGGTATTGATTTTTTAAGTGTAAACGGGGTTAAAACAATTAGATGTTTTGCAAGATCTTGGTTCCTCTTAATTGCTATTTTTAATCGTACACAGATAAACCTTTTACCAAAATGATGTTGCAAAAAAAAAAGTCAAAGTGTCACGCCTTTTAAAAAAACGGTGTCGCACAATTCTAAAAAAGAGTGTCGATGCCGTACTGTACATATAATAGCCTGCAAGGCAATCATTAAAACGTCTAGTGGAATAGTGCTCAAACCCTTCAAAAGATGATTGAGCAGCTTGGTTTCTAGCGGCTGCAATCATTTGAGGAACAGTATTTTTTTTTTGAGTATAAAGTCTCAGAAAACTAAAAGGATGCTTACTAGAACTAAAGGCTTAAGCTTTATTGTTCCCAAGGTCATTAATATTTACTCGTTTCCTGTGATATATAACTTAATCCTGCTGATTAAAAAAATTGTGAGCAAAATGGTGGATTTGCATTGTACATACTAAAAAGGCTTTATTCAAACAAACATACCCTACTAAAATTTTTTTCAGATCATATACTAGTGCCTCTTCCTATCCTTTTTATTAATTAACAAGACTGCGATAACGCATCATTCATTTATCCATACATACATACATATATCCTAAGTTATTCCGGGAGAAATTATAAAGTTTCAAACATTATAGATCATCAAGTGTAAATTAACAGTAGCGGCAGTAATCGATCATTAGATCTAATTAGAGAACTCAAATTGCAAGTGATTTACCCAAGTCTAAGTATATATTTATTGTAAATTTAAACAGTTCTAAGTAGATGCATATGCAGCCAGTAAACACTTCATTTTTATATTCTTAAACTCTTTTTCTTTAGCCTTTGTTATCACTTTGTCTTTGTCGTTTATACGGCCAAATACTTGGATGTTTAAAATAAAAAGTCGCTCATTCAACGTTTTTTTAGTCATCATGGTAACCTTGGTGTGTATGCTTATTTTCTCTTCATTTCCAGCAGTTACTGCGCTTACCCTAAAACGACAAAGACCACATATGCCATCGATACCAGAGTATAAATGTTACTAAGTATGAGCTTGTTATAAATTACTTAAGACAGAGATTCCGAAGCTTTCCCTTGCTAAAAAATCCAACCAAACCGTTGCAGAGAGAGGCGTTCTCATATGGATAAAAAAGAAAAAACAAAATTATTTCCATCACAATGCATACCAAGCATAAATACCTGTACGTGACTGTGAGCGATTTTTTTAACCAGTTGTAAGAAATATTAACACCTAGACGGGCATGTTCATAAACAACAAAGCGTGTTGAAAGCGATGTTCTTATAAACAAGTAGAATTTTTGCTTCTCAAGGGATAAATAGCCAATTCTAGCCTATGCTGTGTTAAGCAGACGGGCATCTTTTACCTTTGGTTCCCAGAAAGAATCCCTAAGCGATAAAAAGAAGCTGGGTTGTCATGGTTGGATATGAGGTGAAGAGTCCTAACCGGAAATTTGTAGGTCCAAATAGACCAAAAGAACTCTGCTGCTATGAAATAATTGATCCTTTTTATATTTGCACAACTCTCCTGGGTTTTAATGATGAGTCAACCGTTCTGGTTTTAAATAGATCTATACTTTGTTTCCCGCCTTGGGTTAAATGAATATTACTCGTTAGAATTGTTTTCAGTTAACGTTGTCCCATATCAATGGATTGGGAGCATGAGTATTCTAATAAATCTTTAGTTTTACGAGACACCTATTTATCAGATCATGCAACGGTTACTGTAAAAGAGGCATACATGTTTGTCAAGTTTAATTGGCAGTAGAACATAATAGTTATAGTTGATCATGTATTCATTATCTTTGTAATGAATAAAATACGACACAAATATAAATGTCTTATCGATATTTGTATATTTGGTTGTAGAAAGTAGGTATCCATTAATTCATACAATATTTCTTTATACGTTTTATCAGCTGTATAATTATATTAATATATAAGTAAATGAACCATTTATATTAATAATTGTTCTATTCTCTCTCTGGGTAGCTAATCCATTGAGAGAACTATTAATATTAAGTTTCTCTTTCTTATAATTTTTGAGCTGAGAAGATTCTTTTCTCGATCGGTAATATCGTAACTCAGTGGTATAGCATTATGTATCCAACTGTCATTCGTAAATCATATTTAGCCAATCATGCAATATTTAATATAGAAGTATGTACTCGTAGTAGGAGAAGTTGTATAGCAGTATACAGGCGTATGCTGATATGCAACATCAAAGGTTGTTTTAATTTCATAGTTTATTTATTTAAACGATTTGCTTAATTATTCTCAAGTGAATCGTTCCCAAATACGACAAAAACATTATTTGCAAAAAAATGCGGAGGTCTAGAAATTTTCGGTAATCATAGCTGGAAATTTAATAGTTGACGACACATTGCAGCCAAACGAGAATGACACAGAACTAACATGCAGCAGAAAAGCGGCACCTATTCTAGATATTTTACTGAAAGATTCGAACTTGAACTTGTTAGAGTAAGTAGATGACATAAAAGTCCTTTTATTCACGCTTCCTCGAAATGTACTTATTTTCCTATTCCATATAGTGACAAAAGACCATGGAAATATCTATGGAAATAATATATCTTTGAACCGAGGCTTTGGTCGTCTAATTGATCTTTTATTGTCAACAAGTAATTATATCAAACTATCAACTAACGAATGGAAGCGAAAGAAAGTTACTCAGGAGCAATACCTGATCCAGCAAGCCAAAAATATATGAATGAACAAAGCCATTCTTAGTATACTTCTTGAACTACCCCTTTCTGAAAATGATTTTAAAATTGTTTATACGCTTGGTATGGGCTGGGTTAGTAATTTCATTTCCTATTGCCTCTAGCATATACATACATATATGTATATATATTTAAATAATAGGGTTGTTGACTATTTAAAAAATCCATAGGCCCACGTGGTTACATGTTTGCTGTAAAAAAAATCAATGATATCTACATGCAACAAAACATATATTTCTTTAACAAATGTGATATAACCTTCGGTATAAGATTCATTATGGTAAGGATTTTTAACAATAGTATATTTATTATTTTTATCACAATAACTAACGTATACTTTGTATCTAAAGTAGAACATGACGCGTAACTAAAGTTAAACGGTAACGTGAGTTTTGTGTATAAGGCAGGAGACGCTTTCACATAGCCAAACAAACCGACAACCTTTCCATACCAGAATATCTATATCAATTGTCTTTGTTTACAACCACTCTCAAAAACTTGTATATTATGCAAAATCATCATACTAACTTACAAGATATTATCTTAAAAGGAAAGATTGCAAAAGAAGATGACGACTTCTTTTTGAGCATCGCTAATGTTAGTGATAATACTGGTATTGCTTCAAAAGAACTGTTACCGAATGTATATTCAACTCCTATAAAAGCTAAGAAAAAGCAGTTAGATTTATCATAATGATACATGAAGAAGAGTGTGTGTCGAATAGTTATTCCTTTAAGTTCAAGCATAAATACTCATATTCTAGATAATAAATAGTTTATTATAATATTCTTTTCTAGCCATCATTTCATTTCATCGCATCATTTATCTGTTCATACTTCCGTCTATAGCTGTTCTAAAAGCTTTTGCCTCAACTTCGAGTGACTTATAAATAATATATGAAAAGTTTGTATTTTGGTCACGAGGTTTAAAAAAATACCCTAAATTTACGTCTTCTGAACAGATTCAAGCATCATTTACGCCTAGTCCGTGTTTATTTTCCTTAAAAGCAAACTCCTAGTTAAAAGTCTCATCAATGACACAGCTTTACGTAAGCACATGGCGGCAATAGTTCGAGATCCGAGCTATTTCTATTTACGACATTCCGTTTATGATTTTTGTTGAAGTTATGCATAAAAATTACGGAACTTGAAAGGCTATGCCGAAACACTTTTAAAGTTATCTTTATCGATTGAGTTTACATGTTGGGAAAGTGAGACATACACTAATCTAAAGCTTTGTCTCACCATAAATCCCAAGATAGAACACCGGTTTCTGTTTACAAAAACGGTATTTCTGTTAGAAGAAGAGGCTGAATAAATGGCGGCTTAAATTTAATCAACTATATCCAGAACTTCATAATCGGTACACAGAAGAAGTTTCAACATCAAGATATAATTAGGCACATATTTATTAATCACTTCAGGTGTTATACCAAGGTATGCTATGGAAATAATTATTGCATTTTTGTGTTTTCATGTTTGCTTGCTTTTGAATACTTGGGTTTTTTTAGTAACGAAATAAGCATAAGCATTTAAACCAACTTTACTAGTCATAGTCAGTGCTACAGTTATCATTAAAGATAAAGCGGCATACAAATCAATATTATGTGATTTGATAAAAGACATACGTTTATCAGCCGATTGACGATGTGGCAGTTTACCATCTTTATGAGTATAAGCAACCTCTTCCACTAGGTCAGCACCGCGTATTATACCATGTTCAGAATGAATTTGAGTTAGTGCTTGCATGCGGTTAACATTATCTCGAATTTTTCCGTCTTTATCCTCTGTGACATTTTTAAAAAGTTCGACGGCCTCTTCAATTGTTGTATCATACTTTAAAATACCGCCTAATCCACCTCGTTCAATCATTAATGAATTACCAGGCTGATCACCAAAGAAGGGAAACATAATCATCGGGGTACCAGCATACATGGATTCATACCAAGATCCCAACCCACCATGCGATACAAAAAGACTTACTGAAGGGTGTAGAAGAACTGCTGTTTGAGGTGCCCATTTAACCATACGAGCATGGGGGTTGACGTGATTGAACATGTCTTTGATGTCGTAAGTTAAGCCTGAAGATGTTGTAATTGTTTGAGGAAAAAACTCTGCTGAATTAACTGTAGCCCACAGAAACCCATCAAGTGTACCACCTTCAAGACTTTCCAAAAGACTTGTTAGTATGAGCTCTATATTCTGGTCGGATGGTACGGCATTTTGTCCAAAGGAGATATACCCAACACGCTTATGCAAATTCAAATAATTTTCGAGATCATTGGACAAAGGGGTATACTCTTTAGGAATGATAGGGCCAACAAATTCTGCCAAAGGACCAATGGGCCTTGCAGGAGTGAACCCAAACAGGCTATTAACCAGTTTTAAAGAATTTCTCCATGTCTCCTCGGGAGACTCAAGCTTTTCGTCAATACCAATAGCTCTCCTTTTAGTAGTCAAAAGTTTTACATAAGGGTAAAATCTGTAAAGGGTAATCCAAGGTCTAATGAACTTGTTATTGAAGCGCATTGAAAAGCTCTGAAATTCTGTTGTAAAATCGCTTGATGTGAACATGTTGTTATTGATGTACGGTGCGCTAGATTCTTGGTAGTTACAACTAAGTCCCGTTTTCTTTTTTATTTTTTCTTTTCTCTTTTGGTATTTACCTTTGGTCATTTCAGTAGCAGCAGTAACAATATACGGAATTCTGGCGGTTGTTGCAGCGTCAACGCAAGATTTTAAAAAATGATCACATAAAACGACATCAATCATATTGCTTTTAAAATATTTCAAAAACGAAAAGTAATCTAACATTATAATTAATTAAAATCACTCCTCTCTTTTTTATTTTAAAATGGTTTTTTACCTCGTTCGTAATCTTGATTCATCATTTCCATACCTTTGGGGAAGATTTTAAGTATGTCTTCTCCGGGGATTATTTGCCTCATCATTCCAACTAAATCAAAAGAAGCCCTTGGCCCGAGATCAATAGTTCTGATATTGTGATAGGGTTGCCCAAATCGAAGATCTTCAGTCTAAATCAATACATAAGTAAATTAGTTTCAAATCCCTCCTGTATCAAACTTTTTCTCTTTTTTGAAACACTTGCTGTTGTCAAATACGAAATATTATGGCCTCGTTGTCCAAGCAAGTCGACAATAGAAAGTACCCAGTTATGGTGAGATGAACCACCACCCCCTACGCCCAAAGCAATGTTCTTGAAATTACTATCTCTAAAAGTTGGCTGCATTGTCAGAGCATTGACATATAGAACCATGAGACTAATTAAGCTGGCTAAACTCGCTACAGAAAATCTCATTTTTGTGATTGAAAAAAGTAAAAGACAAACAGGAGTTAGTTATAGAAGTAAAACTTCTTATTTATATTTAAACATTTGATAATCTACATAAGATAGCTGCGGAGAGAAGCATTAATTGGGTCAAGTAAATAATAATTAAAATAGCAGCGTAAGGTATTTTTGGCGAGTGTGAATTTTATGTTACTTTTACCATTACCTTAGCAAACAAGGTTTTCATTCTACCTCCTGACATATAAATAATATCTAAATTAAGACATGTAAGTTTATTGACTTTACATTCGATCCATACTGAGCTCGGCAATGAAGATTTTAATTATCCGTTCAAGTAATTAAACTATAGTAGCTCTTATGCAAGGATCGGTTTGTGTCAAAATTTAATCTATACTTCAGCTTATAACATGACAACATTTATACTCAAATAATAATTTAAATGTCTTGAAGGGTTGAACAAAAAAAAAAACGAGTTGGTAAATGCTGGCATATAAAAAAGTTACACATGAAGAAAGACTGTCCCGTTATTAACTTACAAATGTTCCCTTACATAAATTATCTAATTTTAGAAAACGCAATGCACGCAAACGGAAAAATTGATCAGATATTTATCCGGTACCGACATGAATCATTATTATGGGTTTGAAAATACCGGATCGATTTTTCCATTGCATGTAGACTTAGCGTTCAAAATTAGTGATCTCTCAAACCAACTTCAATAACACATATCATATTCACAAATCGTATCATTTTTTGTTTTATTTTTCAAAAGAAAATAAAAGAGACCAAAATTGGTTACACATTATGAAGAAACGAGACCAGATAGATTAAGGTAAAGTATGGTATAACTATGCATACATGAAGCAAGAGTGTGAGACCTTGAGAGACTAAAGAAGCCGTTGCCAAAATGTTAATTATAATAAGTCAATACTATTTGCCAATGTTTCGTGCATAGAATGGTGATAAATCATAGCAGTAAGGAAACGCAGAGATGTATTGATTTAAAGTGTATGTCGGATAAAAATAAGTTAAATTTTTTACCCAATTTGAGTACTTGCAGAGACAGTACATAATACAGGGCGGACTATGTTTGAACATTTCTTGCTTTGGTATGGATACTGTAAAGTAGAAAGTTTGTGGTTGAGTTTAGTAGTCAACTGTACCAAACAACGTTTCCAGATGCGACAAATTAGAACGAAAATATATACACTGAGTCATTAGGTTCAAGAAATCAGTATTGATCATCACTTAATAGTTCAACTGCTTCCATTCTTAAATAATTTTAGATATGAGCGCCCACCTAGTAATGGAAGTAATGACCTGGTTACCGAGAACATCTGGCTTTTCATGTAGGCCGAGTTATTGTATTGATAGAATTATCAACATTCTAGTGTACATCCGTACCCAACTGCTTCAATCAATTGGCAGTGTATACAATTTGTCAAAATGAAATCAATATTATTTTAACACATATTCTTATATTTAGTATTCATAGAGTAGTGATTAAAATATTAGTAGATAAAAAAAAAAAAGCCTGTCGAATATCGTTTTATCTGCATCATGATTCAATTAATCTATCAATACCCATTCCTTTGGGCAATAATATTAAATTTATTAGAGTGGTATAGAGCGGATTTTTTTGGTGGGTCATTCTTTTTTAGGTTTTTCATTTTCAGTCTGAATTTACTGTATGTACATTTTTCTCTTTTATTATTTTATTTCTTCAACTCGTTTAAAAAAGCTTGTGCGCCTTCAACAATGAGTTGATGTTCAAATGAGTGTATGCGGTTTTCGAGGTCCTCAAGTGTATCAGTTTCATAAATAGGCACTTCACGTTGAAGAATGACATCACCTCTGTCAACATCGGCAATGACTTTATGAACCATAATACCAGTATTTTTAACTTCCCCCTTTTTAAAAGCTTCAAAGGCACGGTCTATAGCATGCGCACCGTCGAATTGACCAGGTAAAGCCGGATGAAGGTTCATGACATTGTTAGTAAAGAATGACAAGAATTCAGGCGATAAAATATGCATCCAGCCAGCTAAAATAACTAGATCGGGATGATACTTTTCTTGGATAGTCTTTGCGACGTAGATATCAAAATCGACACGTGTTTTTCCATTGTCCTTAAATTGCTTGAGCGAAAATGTCTCTGTAGGAATACCTGCCTTCTTTGCGCGTTCCAACCCGAAAGCATTCTTTCTATTTGAAACAACAGCAATAATATTCCCCTTCAAGCTTCCTTCTTGGGTGGCGTTGATTAATGCTTGAAGGTTCGTTCCTGAGCCTGAAATAAGTACGACAATAGTAGGAAGTTGGGTTGACATTTTTTGTGTTCAAACAAGAAAAGAGGGTTAAAGAAAGGTACCTGCAAACTCATCTAAAGATGAGACGGTCTTTTAATATATTAATATGCTATGGCTCATAGTAGATGTGGCTTATTCATGCCATACGCTTTGGTTTTCGGACCTTTTCAAAAAAAAAAATTTCAAGGCCATCTCCTTTTTTTTTTGTGAAAGAAGAAGAATCCTATTCATGAAGAGAATCAAAAGGCGCTGGGATCAAATAGGACGTATAATATATAATACAGAATTTTAGACAAATTGGATAAATACAAAAAAAAAAATTCAGATCAATGAAAAAAAAAAAATCCAGACTATTCAGCTTTTCTTTTCGGATGAATAGAAAATTGTTGTTTAGACATTTACCTGAGCGAGATTGCTTGGTGGAAAAATTAATAAGTTAGTTTGTTTTTACGAGAAAAGAGCGCAGGGCGTTCACGTACTTCCCTGAGATTGAATAGGATGTGTTAAATCATAAGAAAAGCATATTACCGAAGACTGCACACTCTATTCGCTTATAATATTTTTTGGAACTGAGACGCCTTAGCATAAAAAAATATGTTCACTTGCTACCTCCATTTGGGGCGGTAATAGGCGTCTAAATGTCTTTCAAAGACAAAGCGCCACCTCCGATGTGGTTACTACACCGTCCTTGGTGACAGCTTAAAAATAACTACAGGTAAAATAAATCATCTATTCTGAACTGCCTGAAAACTAATTTTATTTGTAGGTCATCTCAAGTTTATTTGAATTACGGATCCTACATTCAAATTGTAATCTTAAAAAGGAAATGAAATAAATCGGAATCTCACCAAAGTCCAAATGCGTAACAAAAAAATGATAAATGATCACTCTCGAATTTGCTTAAGTTCATTTTTTTTGTCAAGTTGAAAGCGACTATCTGAATTTTCACTGTGTTTCGTCCAAAAAAAGGTAAGTCAGTCTCTGGCTTCCTCTGAAAAAAAAAAACCAACTTTGTCTGTAAAAACCGTAGGCTAAAGTTTTTTATTCACAATAAAACTAGAAGTCTAATTTCATGACAGAGCCCTGTAATACGTATTAAACAAAGAATAATAATTAAGATGCTGACTTGAAAGGACTTACACGCCACTACTTACCGTGGAAAATCTGGGATAGCATAATGTATAAATCTAGACTTTGCACATTTACGTCAAAACATAATAACTAACAGAGCAAACATTGGATATGACAACATAATTTGAAGTTAAATTTTCTAGATTTAGAATGTATAGATAAAAAGTGTTTATTTACAAAATAAGGTTAAAAGTAGTTATAAGTGCTTATTTAAAAAAGATGTTCTAAAGCGGATTTGCTAAATATTGTTTTTGAAAATGTATTTACAGTAGTTGTACATTATTAATTATACGGACAGGAGCTGTCATGATTGAATTGAGAGACGTCTACACCACAGCCACGACAAAAGCTATAGTTTTGCTCCGTACAATTGTATTCACAGTAGAAAGTCTTTAATACTTTGGTAAAATTCATTTTTGAAAAGAAGAATTAAAGACAAAAACGTGGAAAAATAAAGGCCACGTTTTAAAGTAAATTGTGCTACTCGCGAATGCCAAGCAGGATTGCTTTTACGTGTATTTTGTGACCAATTATACGGTTTTGGACACTTTGTCCACCTAATCTTGGCAAATGTATTTTTAACCTGGGCACATGGAAAGGCTTGTCCTTCCTCAGATAGTACCCCCACAAAATAGTGCCTTTTATTTACAATGATTAGTAATAAATTCAAAGTATTGTTTATTTAGCATTATCAGAAAATATTAGTATGAACAAGCATATGAATAGAGTCGATTTCCCATTCTAAGTAGAGGTTTATATTCATTTTTCAAAATAATCTGTGGGATGATGAGAGCTACTTTTTCTCTTTTCAGATTCTTATAGAAAGCGGATATTTGAAAAGCCTTGTTTTAAGATTATCCATGATGTGTGAATATTTTTACCCTTGCGGTTAATGAAGCAAGCACCGGGTGTATTGTAAGGCTCAAATATCAATCGAAATGATATCTTTTTTAAAAGCTATCATTTGAAGTTGTATGTAAATGGTGTTGACAATAAGCTTTAATAATTTGTTACATACACTGATATCCGTCTTTTTCTTACTCAAGGGTTAAATTATAAGCGGTGGTGCTGATAGGCATTGACTGGTTTGAAGCTTTTAAAAGCGAGTACTAGGAATATGAGGCTTATGTTATTATGGAAAAGAACACTTAAAACAAAAAATCCCTCGGTCAAATATTTTAATATATATGATGGATATATTTATACCGCATCCCTCTGACTTGGGATGAGTGCGTCTTATATGGCTTTATAAATGTACACAAAAAATAGAGTAAAAATCATAACCGAAGTTGCCAGATACCCTAGGCCGTTTAGAAATGAAATCAACATTCAACGTACTTATATATTGGAAACACGAATTCTTCTTTGATTTTTGACAATTCCTGTGGCAAAGACGTTAATCCTAAAAACTTTGACCAGGAACACTTTATTCCTCTAGGTAAAAATGGCATTGGTGTGATGTACCCTTTTCACTTTTGCCCTCAGTGAACTTTACTTCGTCCTCTTTTTCGCGTCCCTGGTAAAGTTTATTTAAATTTGATAGGTGAATGGGGGACCTTAACTGTGAGAGCGTGTATTGTAGCGTAATTTCAGTGTGCCGCATTTTCACATTGGAAACGTAAGAGAGAAAAAGACGAAGTATTTCGCAAGGTGACGTCGATTTTATCTTGTTTTTTTCTGGTTTCTCCAAAAAGGTATAAAGTCCCTTTCTGTTATTCCTGCAATTTATTATTTTGAGAGAGGCAAAAAAAAAAAATATATATTATTAAAAAGCCACTTTTTCTTGTAATATGGCCACAAGGTAAAATGTTGAGAAGAAATATTAATTGGTTTCATTTTAATTAACCTGGGCGAAACAGACTTGATCGATTGGTCCTTCTTCTAGACACTGGATCAACTACAGCTGTTAGACGAACCGCTGCGCAACAACTCGGTGAAATTCAAAAGCAACATCCAGGAGAGTTATACAATTTATTATCAAGAGTTGTTGTACATTTAAGAAGTAAAGCATGGGATACACGTTGGGCTGCGGGTCAAGCACTTGAAGCGATTGCTTCAAATGTACCTACTTGGGATCCCTCCAGCCAAGATTTCATGGATGACGATGAAGAACAAGACTTACACAAACTTCAATTTGCCCAATTTGACTTAGCCTCCGTACTTCAACATGGCAAACTTTTATTGGGTTCTGCTGGAAAAGAATATGATATCGACTTTTCAGATATGACCCCACAAGAACGTTTGGAACTTCAAAGGCGTAACCTTAAAGAACGTCTAGGTCTTGCCAGTCAATTTATGGATGGTATTTTGCTTTTTTTATTGTAATCGTTTGAAAATTGGGAGCTTACATGTTTTTGCCATAGTTGATCTTGTAGACGAAATAGATCTAGATACCAAACAAGTAAAAGCTCAACAAAATAAATCGTCCAAAAGCCCTTCACCATCACCCTCCACTTCAACTACTCTTACACCCGCTGTAGCTGAAATTAACATGGCTGGTTTATCAGCTCGTGAACGTAACATGCTGAAACGAAAGTTAAAATTAGAATCGAAAATGAAGGGCAAAAAAGAAAAGTAAATTCAACCTTTTTTCGTAACGAAGAAAAAGTTTTCTAAACTTGTTTTTCCTATAGAGTTCGTGTAATGGATTTAAAAGGAAAGTCAGAGTATCCTGTACCCAAGCCTGTTAAAGTGGAAGCCAAAGAAGGTAATTTTATATAGAGGCAAGACAAATGAAGACTTAGTTTGCTAATAGTCGTCTGCTAGAATTCGAATTTACAGCACAGCCGCAGTCAAATAAATTTGTTGTCGAGGCTAAAAAACCTATACCATCTACAGAAGAAACCGTCGATGAAGTACAACGTGATTGGCCCTTTAAAATGGTTTGTGAACATTTGTGTTTAGATTTGTTCGATCCTGCCTGGGAAATCCGTCATGGTGCTGGAATCGGTTTACGTAGTATTTTGAAGGCACATGGTGAAGGTGCTGGTAAAAGAGGTAAGGGATACAAGTGCGCCGTTATAATAAGAGATCTGACCATTATTAGTCGGCGATAAAGCAAAGAATGAAGAGTTGCATAATGCCTGGTTAGAAGACGTTGCCATTCGTTTATTGTGTGTATTTGCTTTAGATCGCTTTGCTGATTTTGTTTCCGATCAAGTAGTTTGTCCTGTTAGAGAAACTTGCTCACAAACATTGGGTGTAGTGTTACAATACATGAATGCAGTTTCTGTTAAAAAAGTACACGAAAACCTACTGAAATTGATTAATCAAGACGATGAATCATTTGGCGGTCGATCTATTTGGGAAGTTAGACATGCTGGTTTACTCGGATTAAAGTATACTGTAGCTGTCAGAAAAGATCTTGTAGAGATGCTCGTGGAAGGCACCACTGGTGCGGTTATTCTTGGGTTGCGTGATCATGACGATGATGTGCGGGCCGTTAGTGCTGCAACTTTATTACCTATCACTGCAGAATTTGTTCGAATGAGTACCACCGATCGTGTGAGGGATGTGATTACAACTTTATGGGACTGTTTGGTTGATTTGAAGGATGACTTAACAGCTTCGACTGGCGCTGTAATGGATTTAATCGCAAAAATGTTTGAGCAACCTGGTGTGATGGAAATTGTGCGTTGTGGTTGCAGTTTAGGAGAATTGGTCCCTAGATTACACCCTTTTTTCCGACACACAATCACTGGTGTGCGTATAGCTGTTTTGAACACTCTATTGACCTTTCTCCAATGTGGTACATCAGCAGAATGGGTGGATGAACGTGTTTATCGTCTAGTATTCCAAAACTTGATTGTGGAAGAAAAGCCTGACATAATTGCCAAAACATTGGCTGTTTGGAAGGATTTGACAATTACTGGTAAGGTCGAGACTCAATTAGTTCTTCAGGGTACCCAGAGCTGGCTTGGAAGCTGGTTTGAAATTACCATGACACCTATTGGACAACCCTTGGATATCGCATCTTATTTTTACAAACCACCTGGAGCTTTCGGTAATGGGGGAACTCTTTCGAATGCAGCAGGTAAAAAACCTACTCTTAAAAAGACTTCAAGTAATGGCAGTACTATTAGTGGAGATGCCATTCGCGCTGGTGCCAACGATGATGACGACTCTGGACATAATTTGGATGCAGGAATGATAGCTCAAGATTTCTCATTAATTACAACAAATCAAGTCATGCGCTGTCGTATTGCTTGTACTACCGCACTTGGCATGGCTATGAGTACTTGGCCCGATGATTCGATGGAAATGTCTTACCAGGAAGTTCTTTTAAATTTACTTACATCACAATGGGCATTAAAGCGCCAGTTAGGTGCTATGGCTGTAGAAGAATGGGCAAAAGCCGTTTTAAAAACACGTTATAATGCAGAATGTATCAGCCATGCTCCTGCAGAAGCTATTTTGGCAACCACGCACAACTTTCCTAAGATATTATCACAAGCTATGATTACGAACTTGGAAAATGCTGCCACTTATACCACTGGGTTTTACTTCGAACTTGTTCATGTCTTAAAACGTATTAGAGGTGAAAGTCAAAACCTCTTAAATGCCTTCCATACCGAGGCCAAGGTCCCTTTAGAATTCATCACTACGTTACCCACGTTAGTACCGGGTGAAGCACTTCCTGAGCAAGGACCTCTTTTTACTATTGAAACAGCAACACATGTTGTAGGAGATGTATTTGAACAATTATTAGGCAAAGTACCTCGTAGCAAAGGTCGAGCTGCCTTAATTACAGCATTAGACGAACGTCAGAGACGTGTGGTTGCTTCTATTGGATATTTTGAGGATCTTAAACAGAAAATAGAAATCAACGTGTATGCTGCTACTGCCGGTGCTGTTGTCGAATTGGGTGTCTTGCCTGCAAAACTCAATCCTGTGATCCGTAGTGTTATGAATAGTATAAAGTTCGAAGAAAATTTAGAGCTTCAACAAAGGTCAGCTGCCACTTTAGCTGATTTGATCGCGTTATGTGAAAGATCCAGTAATCGTGTTAATCCAAATGATAAGGTGGTCAAGAATCTCTGCACCTTTTTATGCTCAGATACCACAGTTACACCCGTATTAGAAGATAATCAGGTCAAGTCTGGTATCTTATCAATTCATAAGGAAGAATCTGGAAAGAATACTGTAGTTGTGAAGGAAATACTCACACCAGAAGAAAAAGAGGCTCAGTTAATGAAACGTGGTGCTGAAATTGCCTTACGAGAATTATGTGATCAGTTTGGCGATCGCGTGTTTGCAATCGTTCCCAAGTTAAGAGAGTGCATTAGTCAAAAAATTATCGAAGTTTTCCCTGCGCCGGCTGACAAGAACAGTGGCGTTAAACACTCGGACAGTTTGATTGCTGCCGATTTCCAATTAGGGCAAGAAGTAATCGATTCTTTAACTATACTAACAATGGTAGTTCCTTACCTCTCTGAAGGGCTTTGGGAGCAAATGGGAGAAATTGTACCGTATATTTGTCGCTCGCTCCAGTCCTGTTATGCTGTCATCCGTAGTGTCAGTGCTCGATGCCTTGCAGCCATCGCTAATGTTATTACAACAAAGACTATGCAAGTGATTGTTGATAATGTACTACCTCAGTTAAGTAACCCTCTGAATCCATACCATCGCCAAGGTGCTTCCGAACTTGTATACCACCTCGTCCAATTACTCGATACCAAGATTTTGCCATATACTATATTTTTGATCGTGCCCATCTTGGGGCGTATGAGCGATGTTGACGAGGCTGTCCGTCTTATCTGTACAAACTGCTTCGCTTTGCTAATCAAACTTGTACCATTAGAAGCTGGTATTCCTGATCCTCCAGGAATGTCTGCTGAAATGCTGGCCCATCGTGACGAAGAACGACGTTTCTTGGCTCAACTTCTCGATAGTTCTAAAGTCGAGAATTATGAAATTCCTGTAAAGATCAATGCAGAACTTCGAAAGTATCAGCAAGAAGGTGTTAATTGGCTGGCTTTCCTTAATAAATTCCATTTACATGGTATTCTTTGTGATGGTAAAGATACTGGCTTTAAACCTACATAAATGTCTTTATTAACAAATATTCTAGATATGGGTCTTGGAAAAACACTTCAATCTATTTGCATTCTAGCTGGTGATCACTTCTTAAGAGCACAAAAATATGCTGATACTAAATCCCCTGAATGGGCCCCAAGTCCCTCACTAGTTATTTGTCCACCTACTTTAACTGGGCATTGGTATCACGAAATTTTGAATTACTCTGATAATTTAAAGCCCTTATTATACACAGGTGGTCCAGCCGAAAGAAAAAGGTATTTTTTTTGTTAACACAGGTTATGATTCCAGTACTAATTTTACCACAAAAGATTACGAGCCTCACTTCGAAAGCATGATGTCATAATCATGTCATATGATATTATTCGAAATGATATCGAAGAGCTTTCTTCAATTACTTGGAATTACTGTATCCTTGATGAAGGTCATATCATTAAGAATGGAAAAACAAAGATCACGAAGGCTATCAAGACTGTTAAATCCAACCATAGATTAATTCTCTCTGGTACTCCTATTCAAGTACGATATATTTTCTATACCATATCACAACATCCACTGATACTTTATAATACATAGAACAACGTTTTGGAGTTGTGGTCACTATTTGACTTTTTGATGCCCGGTTTCCTCGGTTCTGAAAAGATATTTAACGAAAGGTTTGGTAAACCTATCCTTTCCAGCAGAGATAGCAAAAGCTCGTCAAAAGAACAAGAGGCTGGTGCACTTGCGCTGGAAGCTTTGCATAAGCAAGTATTGCCGTTTTTATTGCGTCGTTTGAAAGAAGATGTATTGCATGATCTTCCTCCCAAGATTATTCAGGATTATTATTGTGAATTAAGTGATTTACAGGTGTGTACTTGATTGAAAGGTTTTCCATTTTTTTTACTTACCATACTTTAAATAGAAATCTCTTTATGACGAATTTGCTAAATCGCAGGCGAAAACTTCAGTAGAAGAGGATCTTAGTACTACCATTGTTACAACAACAAAGGGAACTGTACCCGAGAAGAGCAACAAAGGAGCGACCCATATATTTCAGGCATTACAATATCTTCGACGATTGTGCAATCATCCTCTACTTGTTGTTAGTGACAAATATCCAAACTACCAAAAGGTACAAAACTTTCTACAGAAGACCAACACATCCATACATGATATCGCAAACGCACCAAAATTGTTGGCTCTAAAGTAAAGTATCCGTTTTTTAAACATGATCATTATTGCAGTCATCTAATATTTTTTCTACAAACAGGCAGCTTCTAGGTGAATGTGGTATCGGTGTTACAACCTCTGAATCGGACTCAGATCCAACCGCCATGGCTGTTGGTGCAGTCAGTCAACATCGCGCATTGATTTTCTGTCAATTAAAGCCAATGCTGGACATCATAGAAAACGATTTATTTAGAAAATTAATGCCCACAGTTAGCTATTTGCGTATGGATGGTTCAGTTGACTCTAGCAAACGTCATGAGATGGTACAAAAGTTTAACGCCGATCCTTCCATTGATGTACTGCTGTTAACAACACATGTTGGTGGTCTTGGTTTGAATTTAACAGGTGCTGATACTGTTATTTTTGTTGAACATGATTGGAATCCGATGAAGGATCTTCAAGCGATGGATCGTGCACATCGTATCGGTCAAAAGAAGGTTGTTAATGTATATAGATTAATTACGAGGGGAACATTAGAAGAAAAAATTATGGGCCTTCAAAAGTTCAAATTGAATATTGCCAATTCGATTGTAAATCAACAAAACTCTGGCCTACATAGTATGGATACAGATCAAATATTGGATCTATTTAATGTCAGTAAAGATGGTGTAGACGGTTCTGGTAAAAAGAAGCCTAAATCCGACACAGCCTCAACAGAAGGTTTGGGCAATGCTAAGGCTGTTCTGGAAAATCTTGAAACACTATGGGATGATAAAGACTATGAAGAGGAATACAATATTGATAGCTTTATAAGTAGTTTGAATTAAAATAAATTATTTGCCGTTAAGGAAAATTTTAGACGAGGAAACTCTGGTATTAAGTAGAAATGTGATTGGACAATATTACCAATAAAACTCTGCAGTCAAAATCTAACTCGACTACTAGATGTTAAATAAATTATGTAATTTATAAATGATCTATTCAACATAATTTTAACATTTGTCTATATTCCGAATTCCCTCAAAGACTTCTTTGTTCCCAAATTTTTAATATATAATAGAGGTGCATTTGGATCTCACAATTTTACCTGGGAAAGTACGCAATCAACAGCCTTTGCATACTATTCCCTAGGCTAATTGGGCCTAGCTTTCGATGTATGGGCATTTCTAGTTCTAGTATTGTTCATTACAGCCTCGATAATATTATTGTGGATGCTTCGAGCTGATTTGGCAGCTTCCTGTTCCTTCCAGTGGTTACAATGTTTTGATGATTTGTAAAAAAATATTTTCAGCACATTTTTATTCCCCTTAAAAGCAAAATGCTCACTGTATATTTCAAAGTGTGGACAGCAATCACAGTAAATTTGGTCTTTTGTGACTTAGCAACATAGAGATATAAGCTATATTTGGGACGTAATGTCCATCCAAGAATGAAGTATACGGTCTCATTTTGCTTCCGGATAGCTGAGTCGGTTTCGTCGGTGCTACTTTGTTGGTTTGTACAAAGATGTACCCTTTTGGCTCCTGATTTAACCATTTCGTAAAGGACATACCCCAAACTTTTTTGCTGCCCACAATACTTGTGAGCATTTATATTACAAGATATATGATTATTTACTCCCTGTAAACCGAGTCTAGAGCATAATACAACAATATGCTGAAGAAGTCATGGAATATAATGCCGTTTGTGAGTTCGCTCATATCGACTCATTGTTCCAAAATCGATATTGTGCCTAAGACGTCACTCGGTAAGCATGACATCGGGAAGTTTAGGACCAGCACTATAGTTATGATCCAAACTTCTCAGATCAAATCAAGAATTATAAGAAAGAGAAACTGAATATTAATAGTTCTCTCAATGGATTAGCCACCCAGAGAGAGAATAGAACAGCTATTAATATAAATGGTTCATTTACTTATATATTGATATAATTATACTGCCTATAAAGAGTATAAAGAAATAGTGTATGAATTAATGGATACCTATCTTCTATAACCAAATATACAAATATCGATAAGACATTTTATATTTGGGATCGTAATTTATTCATTACAAAGATAATGAATAAATGATCAACTATTTTGTTCTATTGCCAATTACAGTTGACAAACAAGTATGCATCTTTTACAGTTACTGTGATATTTGATAAAATGGCACTTAAAAAATAATGAGATAAAACGAATATTTTTATTAGGGTAAAAATAGACTAAAGAACTCTGCTGCTATGAAATAATCAATCCTTTTTATATTGCCAACATCTCCTGGATTTATGATGAGTCAACCTTTCTGGTTTTGGAATAAATCTATATTTTAGTCTTCCATCTTGTGTTATCTGAACTCTACTCGTTAGAATTGATTAAAGGTAGCGTAGCCCCAGATGTGTGAAACGGGAACACGAGTATTCTGACAAATACTTAATGCAGTGGCACACTTCTTTGTAAGATCGTGTAACGGATACTGTTAAAAGATACATACTTGTTTGTCAAGTGTAATTGGCAGTAGAACATAGTAGTTATAATTGATCATTTATGCTTTAATTTTCTAATGCATAAAATACGATCCCAAATATAGAATATCTTATCGAAATTTGTATATTTGGTTGTAGAAGATAGGTATCCATTAATTCATACACTATTTCTTTATACTCTTTATAGGCAGTATAATTATTTCAACATATAAGTAAATGAACCATTTATACTAATAGCTGTTCTATTCTCTCTATGGGTAGCTAAGCCATTGAGAGAACTATTAATATTAAGCTTCTCTTTCTTATAATTCTTGATTTGATCTGAGAAGTTTCTCTTCTCGATCGGTGATATCGTAACTCAGTGGTATAGCATTCTGTATCCAACTGTCATTCGTATATCGTATTTAGGCCAATCATGTAATCTTTAATATAGAAATATGTACTCGTAGTAGGAGAAGTTGTATAGAAGTATACATGTGTATGCTGGTATGCAACATTGAAGGTTCTTTTTTATTTCATAATTTAATTATTTGAACGATTTGCTTATTTATTCTTAAGTGAATCGTAACCAAATACGACAGTTACCGTTGCATGATCTGATAAATAAGTGTCTCGTAATACTAAAGATTTATTAGAATACTCATGCTCCCGATCCACTGATATGGGACAACGTTAACTGGAAACAATTCTGACAAGTAGTATTCATTTAACCCAAGGCGGGAAACAAAGTATAGATCTATTCCAAAACCAGAAATGTTGACTCATCATTAAAACTCAGGAGAGTTGTGCAATATAAAAAGGATCAATTATTTCATAGCAGCAGAGTTCTTTTAGTCTATTTTTTACCTCCAATAAAAGATATACTTTTATGTTATTACTTTTCAATTGTATCAATTTTTTTCAAATACCACAACACACTCTCCAATTTATAACAAAGGAACAAAGAGTTTCATTTCTTACTTCCGCCTATAAATAACTACTTTATATACCACCTAGGCTAAAAAAACTTACTTAAACAGAGTAAATGCGGACGAATGGGCGAATAGTCGTCTGGGGGTAAGCATCCGTTCAAATCTGAGCGGATAGTCGTCCGTGAGCGAGTATCCGTTTATTTTGGGTAAATAAACAATGGTACACAAAAAATAAAATTACTTCATTTACTCAAAAAGGGTAAATATTCGTCCAGGGGTAACTGTTCGTTCATTTTGAGTAAAATATATAGGTTGCACAAAAATTTAAACTTTTTTATCCGTTCCATTTACCTGCAGTAGACGAGTATTCGTCTATGGGCGAATACTTACTCACATTGAGTAAATAAAAATCACTTCATCCGTTCCACTTTTCTGCAGCAGACGAGCATTCGTCTATGGGCGGATACTTACCCAGATTGGGTGAATAAAAATTGAGATCCAAACCTTAAAATTACTCATTCATTCCATTTACCTGAAGCAGACGAGTATCTGTCTTAGTGTCCTGTTGTCAAGAAGCCGCGTATACAAAAAACATTTATCTGCCTCCAGTCATCCCTCCGTCGTAACACCAACCTCTAAAAAGTACATATAACGGAGTCTTTTTTTTTTTCCTTTTCTTTTTCCTTTTTCCTTTTTTCTTTTTTAATATCTATTTTTTATCTTTTTACCTCAATAAATCAGTTTTTTTTTAAAAAAAATTACTTTTATTCGTCTTGTTTCTCGTAACCATGTAACTGAATAAACGTCTGGGCTTACTTCTTTTGCAATTACACTCTGGTAAACTCATCATTCCATCTCTGAAGTCCCTCCCCTTACTTATCTCTCTTTAAATCAGCATAGACAGGTGTATAAAGGCCGTGCTTGCAGTGTACTACGCCAGTGCTATAAGTAAGTGTTTTTCGTTTATGGCTTTTCCTTTCTCTAATTATCTCTTCAGACTTACGCTTCCTGCTTTTACCGTTGTGGCGGCTACTCTGTTTAGAAAAGGAATTAGTACGTATCAATTTTGAGTCTTCTTATCATAAACTAACCTAATATTCATTTAGAAAACTTTGGTTATCCCCCTTGTTTTTAGATTATACGTTGCTTCCTATACAGAATAATCAATGCCTTCATGTTATGCCATGTACCGTTTACTTTTTAGCTCATTTAAGTAGTAATCCTTCTACATAGCAATTTGTCCTCAAGTATCAAAATATAAATAAATCTTACTTTCATTCTTTTAAATAAAATATATAATCAACTTTTAAAACTGCAAACCAATTTTTTCAAACGAATGAATGTATTAAATGATTCAATATGTATAAACGAAAGTTTTTTATTTGGCTGAAGGCTGAAAGGGAGAGCTGATTTTAAAATATACACCCCCTTAATTATGCATTTAATCCGGTTTTTTTTTTTTTTTTTTTTTTTTTTGGGTAAATGGGTTAACGCTTACTATAAATTCGTCTAAACGAGTAAATGGGTAAATTTACCCAATTCGTTTTTTTTGAGTAAATGGGTAAACACTTACTAAAAATTCGTCCAAATGGACGAATCAGGCGAAACATTATAGCCTTGGTGAGCGATATTGATTGCATTACGAAAATGGAGATGTTTTATTGATGGTAAACAATATCAAGTATTTACTGATCATTTACCGTTAAAGTATTTCCGTTCTCAAAAGAAACCGGTGCCGAGGTTAATCAGATGGATGTCCGAAATTGAACTGTATAATCCTGACATACAATACAAGGCGGGTAAAGAAAACATCGTCCCTGATCTTCTATCTCGTCGTGATGGCCCTGACTGTGTTCCTGCTGCTCAATCAATTGAACCCAGGTATTTATATCAAATAAATGAGGCTTCTACATCAACAGCATTAAGCAAACCGGTGCGCACACTAAAGGATGATCCTGTACAAGACTGGCCACTTTTATATTACCGCGATGAACAAGATTGGCCGGAACTTCTAAAACTAGAACTGAAACAACATCAAGACAAGTTTATCATTCGAGATCGCCATGTTTATAAAGTACACAAAAATTCCAGGGACAATAGCATTACTGAACTGAAATTCATTCCGTTTGCTCAACGTGCTGATGGTGTAGATAGTTTTCATACAGCTTTTGGACACTTGAGTCAACACACGGTGTACCAACAAATGAAGAACCGAGTTTGGTGGCCAGGTATGCAAGACGATATAACTGATTGGTTAAAATCATGTCCACAGTGCCAAATGTCGCAACGTGCTGAAAAGAATGTACACCACTCAGTAATGAAGCCGTTAGATGTACCTCCGGCATTTTCTAGATGGCATATTGATTTCATTGGAGAACTGCCAACCACCAAGAATAACAATCGATGGATACTAGTGGCGGTTGATTATGCAACTAACTGGCCCATCATACGGGCGCTCAAAAATGCTACTGGGGATGAAATCGTTAAATTCATCTATGAAGAGATCGTGCTCAAGTTTGGTAATCCTGTTGAAATTTTTAGTGATCGTGGGAAGAACCTTATGTCCAAGGTCCTCAAGCAATACATGAACAAGATTCGAGCAAAACATACATTTACGAGTGCTTATCATCCAAGGAGCAATTCTAAATGTGAAAGAGTCAATCAAATCATCAAGAGCATGTTGAAGAAGTATGTAAATGGAGATGTACATAGCTGGGATGAATATATCGACACTGTTACTTTTGCTTGTCGAATTAGAAAACATACAACTACTGGTCATAGTCCATTCTTTTTAGTCTATGGGGTACATCCTAGAATTCCTGGTGACTTTCATCGACCACAAATGAACGAGTTTACTGAATACGATGCAAACCTAATTGCTGAGGATGCCTTACAACGGATTCGTCATTTACGAGAGGTACGCTTCATGGCAGAAGAGAACATGAGGAACCAAGCGATCAAAGATAAAGACAAATGGGACAAAACTATCAAAGGAAATACAACACAGTTATTTAAAATCGGTGATTATGTACTCTTGAGACACGAATCAAAAAAGGGACTGGAATACAATTGGATGGGACCGTACCAAGTTATCAATATCAATACGGACTACAATGTATATCAGATCAAAGAACTGGAAGGAAAACTTTACAACTCATGGGTACACACTGATCGGCTAAAACCGGTGGCTCTTACCAACCAGAACATAAACAACAATCTATCAGCTAGTTGGTATATCCCTCGGACAGCAAGAGCCCAATAACCGTATCAATTTTTTTAACAAAATTTTTAGGGAGGGGATATTGTCGTACTTATAATTCATATCACCTCCGATCACCTATAAAATAGAATTAATAATTCAATTAAATAAAGTCATCTTTTATCTACTCTACATTTATTTTATATACTAAAATATTATAACAACTATCACGACAAAATCAGTGTGACACACACACACCAAAAGTCACACGACACTGTCACGACAAAAAATTAACCAAAAAGCTATGCGGCTAAAGTGGATCGAACACCTGACCTTCAGATCTTCAGTCTGACGCTCTCCCAGCTGAGCTATACCCGCAATCATGCTATCTCTGTTAGGCTAATAATAATTAAACAATATAAAACTTTCAAAAGTCACGTGACTAGCCGGACTGCTGTTTTATCCGAACCGAACCAAGAAATGCCGGTGGAGATCGATTTACGGGTTAAGAAATCAAAAGCTCGAAAGAGAAGATTTGTACCCAATGTCAATCAGGCCACTAGAAAACGATCAAAGAAGTAACACCACTAAAATATAAATATGACAATACTACTTCAGTAATTCGACAACCTGATTACTTGCATTATAATTAACGCTTATATGTGGTGTTTTGGATAATAAAAATTCAGACAGTAAAGAAATAAAACAAAAGTAGGAATACTTTGAGACTGTTGATATGTTTTATTTAGTTAAAAGAGAATTAGGGATTATCAAGGTCAAAGAATAAAGGATATATATAAGATGTCTGAATTTAAATTATAAAATTATTGCATAATGGAAGTACATTATTTTAGTGTAGTGTCTTCTTGCACTATTTTAGTTAAAGACGTGTAGAGACTAAAGAAGTGTATTTTCTTTATCAAGTATGGATGCTGAGATATTTATATTTTAGTGTATAATGTATGATGTAAGTGTATCTGATGTTAGTTTTATGTTGATGACTTTATTAGAAGTAAGCCAGATCATCACATTATATCTATTACCATACAAATACTTATTATTATCACCATACATCACTATTACATTATCACGACACTTATTATTAATTATCCATTACATTGTTATCACATTCTCTATATCCTCCAAACTAGTATAAATAGCCCCTAGGTTTGTATCAAATAAACATTATCTTCTATTTTATATTTTTAAGTACTTATCTACTTATTAACTGATTAACCACTGAGAGTTGAATCTTAACCCACTATAAGCTATTACAAGACTGATATCTTGTCGTAAGTGGTTATACCATTTGCGTTTATGAAATACTCTTAGGCACTCGTACTTTAGTATTGAACCTGGATCATACCCGGATCCGTCATTTACCAACATACCCGGATCGCAGTATATTTTTTTTTATTTTTTTTAGCGCTAAAGAAAAACTTTTTTCTTGCCGGCCAGTTTGATTTTTCTTTGTGCGGCCTTTTTTTTGTTTTGGCAAATTGAGTTCGTATACTTAAGGACGGCGTTTCGGTTTGAGTTATAGACAATTTTGTGTTTGCTAGAAAACGCATATGCACTTGTATCCGAATGATGATAACTGTACGGTTAAGCTATAAATACTTATTTTACATGCAGTTACCACTATGGCGGAAATAATGGCAACTATCTGCCATTTACTTCACAAAACTGCCATTTTTTTGGCGTGCAAAAGTGGCAGATATGATATTCTATAATAACAAAAGAGGCACAACTGCCATATTTTTGGCTGGCAAAAATGGCACCTTTAACAGTTGAATGAAGCCAAGAGGTTCACTGCTGCTGTTTTTTGGTTTTAAAAAATGGCACCTATTTTAGTTTGTTGAAGACAAATCATTCACAGCTTCCATTTTCCTGGCTTGTAAAAGTGGCAGTTATGATATTCTATAATAACAAAACGTTCACAGCTGCCATTTTTTTTAAACGGACAAACCCTTAACCTTTCTTTTAGACCCATTCTTTTATATTTGGTAGGCTCACATTTTCTTATTCATCGTTATTATTGGCAGTAAAGCACGTTTTATTGGATTGTTTATTTATATTTCAGTGGTGTATAGGAGGGTTTGATATAACTTTAACCTTTTTATTTAGGTTTGTGGTTGTATACATGGCAATAAGATATACCATTATAATGCTTGGATGTTACTTTAGCTTATCTTTGACACTTTTAACACTCTATAAAGGTATTGTTAGAAAATAATAATATTGTAATTAATTCTGCATTTTATTACCAGCCTTAAGTTCTGATGTCGATAATTATTTGACCGGTGGTGTTCCTAAAATGTCCTCGTTTGAGTGAAAGGTACACAGAATAAATAGTCTATATTTAAGCAGTATGATATCAATAAGAATAAAACATAACTTTTTAAAGGCTATTTACCTGTAAAGATAGAACCGTCTATTGATGAGAACCATTATCCATGGAAAATGGTTATATTATACAGACGTGCTTTAGTTTGATCAAAATAACGAAAATAGGCTAAATTTTTATCTAAAAAAAACCCCTTTAGTTTTTTATACAGATTACATGTCAATGCTTCAGTCATTGCAAACATACCCAATTCGAACATACTTGTTCACACCTTCCGTTATTTTGAAGGGGCTACATACCCTTACCATCGTTATTTGAAGGCTATTCATTTTAAAAGATAAATAAAAGTAAAAGAAAGAGAGAAAAAATCGTAAGCTAAAAGAACGCTAAATACACACTAATAAAGAAGCTAAAAACCAGAATGGACCAATCACGTCGACCAGACACGACTATTATCTTCTTCTGGTTCTTTTACGTGAAGGTTCATTCGCTATCTCTGGTGGAGGAGAAATGTATAAAAATAAAGTATCGCATATGAGTATACATATATCATGCATGAAAAACAATAAAAAAAACCTACAGCACGTCTGCTATGATGGCGGACGCATCGCGACCCATATCTTCGAAAGCGTCATTGATAGAGTCTGAACTATCGGGATCTTGTTGATTCTACATTTTTTTTTTATCTTGTTAACGATATTGATGAAATAAACCGCATAAGAATTTTTTACTGTTACCCTTCTTCTGTGTGTTTGGTTGTCACTTTTAAAGCTCTCCCTTAACAAGCTTTTGGCACACCACATTTTCTTACACTGGTATATTTTGACCCCCTTGTCATTCGCAAGTTTTTCCAGGCGCAACATCTTCTTTATAAATAAAACTGGTTTTTAAAATAATAAAAAAATGGCAGTTTGTTACCATTTGCTTCACAGGCGCAAAAAATCATTTTGTATACGGTAAGCCATCAAATTCGGATCAATATCGCATCAAATTTTTGGCATATACCAATCTAATTTTAACTTCGAGATAGTTTTTATAACATCTAAACTACGTATTGACGGTTCCAGAGATGTTTTTGAAGCATTTTTGTTTTTTTATGATATTATGATCATTTGTAGCAATCTTTTACTCAAATCTTATTGGCTGGGGATATCTAGCAAATAAAAAAAATGGCAGTTATGTTTCCATTTAATTCACAGCTGCTGTTATGTCCGCCATAGTGTACATTCGACATTTGTTTTGTTTAATAACGTTGTGAGGCATGTGTTAATATCACTGTATGACTAAGCTATGTTAATAGTGTTTGCTCAAGAAGTTCTGTTAGATAGCACTTGCTTTTAATCTTTTTGAAATGAAGATGCAGTGACCATGAGAGTATAAGTCTGACGAGAGTAGGATATTCACCTAGGCTAAAAAAACTTACTTAAACAAAGTAAATGCGGACGAATGGGCGAATAGTTGTCTGGGGGTAAACATTCGTTCAAATCTGGGCGGATAGCCGTCCGTGAGCGAGTATCCGTTTATTTTGGGTAAATAAACAATGGTACACAAAAAATAAAATTACTTCATTTAATTAAAAAAGGGTAAATATCTGTCCAGGGGTAACTGTTCGTTCATTTTGAGTAAAATATAAAGGTTGCACAAAAATTTAAGCTTTTTTATCTGTTCCATTTACCTGCAGCAGACGATTATTCGTCTATGGGTGAGTACTTACTCACATTGGGTAAATAAAAATTACTTTATCCGTTCCACTTTCCTGCAGCAGACGAGCATTCGTCTATAGGCGGATACTTACCCACATTGAGTAAATAAAAATTCAGATCGAAACTCTAAAAATTACCTCATCCATTCGATTTACCTGAAGCAGACGAGCCTCCGTCTATGAGTGAATATTTACTCACATTGGGTAAATAAAAATTGAGATCCAAACCTTAAAATTACTCATTCATTCCATTTATCTGAAGCAGACGAGTATCTGTTTAAGTGTCATGTTTTTAAGAAGCCGCGTATACAAAAAAATTCATCTGCCTCCAGTCATCCCTCCATTGTAACACGAACCTCTAAAAAGTACATATAGACGGAGTCTTTTTTTTCCTTTTCTTTTACCTTTTTCTTTTTCCTTTTTTCTTTTTTCTTTTTTAATATCTATTTTTTATCTTATTACCTGAATAAATCAGTTTTTTTTAAAAAAAAATCACTTTTATTCGTTTTTGTTTCTCGTAACCATGTAGCTGAATATACGTCTGGGCTTACTTCTTTTCCAATTACACTCTGATAAACTCATCATTCCATCTCTGAAGTTCCTCCCCTTACTTATATCTCTTTTAAATCAGCATAGACAGGTGTATAAAGACCGTGCTTGCAGTGTACTACGCCAGTGCTATAAATAAATGTTTTTCGTTTATGGCTTGTCTGTTCTCTAATTATCTCTTCAGACTTAAGCTTCATGTTTTTACCGTTGTGGCGGCTACTTTGTTAAGAAAAGGAATTGACACGTATCAATTTTGAGTCTTCTTATCATAAACTAACCTAATATTCATTTAGAAAAATTTGGTTATCCTCCTTGTTTTTAGACTATACGTTGCTTCCTATACAGAATAATTAATGCCTGCATGTTATGCCATGTACCGTTTACTTCTTAGCTCATACAAGTAGTAATCCTTCTATACAGCAATTTGTCCTCAAGTATAAAGATATAAATAAATCTTACTGTCACTCTTTTTGATAAAATATATAATCAACTTCTAAAACTGCAAACCAACTTTTTCTAACGAATGAATGTATTAAATAATTCAATAGGTATAAACGAAAGTTTTTTATTTAGCAGAAGGTTGAAAGGGAGAGCTAATTTTAAAATATACACCCCTCAATTATGCATTTAATCCGGGGTTTTTTTTTTTTTTTTTTTTTTTTTTTTTTTTTTTTTTTTTTTGGGTAAATGGGTAAACCCTTACTATAAATCCGTCCAAATGAGTAAATAGGTAAATTTACACAATCCACTTTATTTGGCTAAATTTGTAAACACTTACTATTAACCCGTCCAAACGAGTAAATGAGTAAATTTACCCAATTCGTTTTTTTTGGGTAAATGGGTAAACACTTACTAAGAATTCGTCCAAATGGACGGATCAGGCAAAAAATTATAGCCTTGGTAATTATTTATGGAAAGAATCGTTTATAACACGCCTAAAAAGTAAGCATAAAGTAATCCAGGCTGACACTCATAACGAGCCTAAAAAATGAGCGTAAAATAATCCAGATTGACACTCATAACGAGCTTAGATAATGAGCGTAAAGAGATTCAGGTTGACGCTTAAACACATATTTTGTATTTCTTGTCAGGTTTCGTTGTGTGGCTGCAAGGTTATTAATTCATTAGAACATTGAAGTCGTATTTATCAATGTAGTTAGGAGAGAAACAAGGAGACGTAGCTAAACGAAGCAGAAAAAAGAGCTGGAACTGGCCTCATTCCCCATGTCTTAAACGCCTTAGGATTGTCATTGAACATAAAAACGTATGATCCCAGACGATCTGCGCTATTTCTCAAGAGATACAAAGAATTACGTGCTTCAATTCTATGAAACAGCTCAAATAGATTAGAAATTAAAGGTAGAAAAGAAACGAATAAAAAAAAAGGGAAGTATAAATCAAAGAGAGGAAAACAAAGGAGAGAAATTGAAATTAGAAAGGAAAAAAACAGAGGGAAAAAAAGAAGAAAAAAAGAGATATAAAAAAAGAGGTAAAAAAAAAGAGGTAAAAAAAAAAGAGGTAAAAAAAAAAAAGAGGTAAAAAAAAGGATAAAAAAAAAGAGATGAAAAAAAAAAGAGATGAAAAAAAAAAGAGATGAAAAAAAAAGAGATGAAAAAAAAAGAGATGAAAAAAAAAGAGATGAAAAAAAAAGAGATTGTGCTAAAACCACATAATAAATGCTACTGTCTACAAAAGGAAAGATGTTTCACGGATAAAAGATCGGGAACAAGTAACCCGGCTTTATGGAAATTTCTTCATTACAACACAACTCTAGGCTCCGACCAATGAGAGATCAGAGAATTTAAGGAACAATAATAAATCAAGGACAGCTATCTTACGATCTTCAATAAACCAAATGAATGGTCCATCATATAAACTACGATGGATCTGAGCTGTCAAAAATACAAGCCACAATATCTTCAATCTTCTATAAATATCAGGGCAAACCTGCCCGTCTAGTTAGCTCTTAATCAATTTTTATACAAATAAATCGACAAGACTTATAATTGTATTCTCTTTGTTTTTTATCTATTTTTTTCTGTAAAACTATTCTCTCTTAAAGTCTACTTTTACTACATTTTTTACAATTACCCTCTCGATTAAAATGGTTAACACTACTGGAAACTCTTTGGAAAACCTCGCTGGTTCTTTTGCTGGTTTGAACACTGTCCCTGGTTCTACTGGTCCTATGGTGAACACTGCCGAAGGTACTTCTGGATCTCCTATTGGTAATCCTGGAATTGCTACTGGTAACGCTCCTGGTACGACTACTGGTTCTGCTGGTGAAGCCTCTGGTACTCCCATTCAGGATCCAGTCAACAATGAGTCTGAGGACGTTGACATGGACCGATTTGCATCCAACTCTGGAGCCACCCATTTGGTCTTGGACAAGAGTCTGCAGGGTATCATGAACACCCAGACAATTGCCATTCCCTCTGGTCATTCCAACGGCAAAGGTAGTGAGTCTGCTATTGAGATCATGAAAGGTCGCCGTCAGGTCCTTAGTGATCGCATCGCTGCACTTATGTCTGTTGAAGATAATCCGGATGCTACTGAGCTCGAGGTAGAGCATTGCACCACGTTGATCGATACGTTAAATCGACGAATCACCATTTTGGAGAAAGCTTCTGAGAAGAGTAGCACCAATGAATTGGGTACTCAAGATTCCAAATGGGCCAATATAAAGGAATCGTTTCGCATTAACAATTCGGACCTTCCCAAGTTCCAATTGACTTCGACTCCTGGTAATTTCTATCCCAATTCACCTCGGTATGAGAATGTAAAGATCTACTTGAGGGAATTCGAGAAGGTTGTTAAGGCTTCGACGGATCACATTGATGTTGTATGGAAAAGACTCATTGAAGTCAACATCCCTCATATTTATGATGAGTGGGTTGAAAATGAGCTTACCCATTGTAACACTTGGGCTGAGGCAAAGGCGTTGTTTGGGAAGAAGTTTGGCTATTTCCGAGGTCGTGAAGAGGCTATTCGAAGAATTTACAATTCGTTTATGACCGAACATGAATCTATTGAGGAGTATACCACAAACTTTCTCAAGGACATTTATGAGGCTGGAAGAAAGAAGACAGACCCTGGTATGGCTGAGAAGTATCGTACGAGCTTGCATGCATCGATTCAGACCAACCTCTTGACGGTGATGGAGTCCCGCGAAAAGGAATTAGACACATTCACAATCGACGATATTGCTGAAATCGCTAGAAGTGTCTATCGACATGATAACATTGGTTCCAATGGCATTCGAGGAAAAGCTACTGGTGAGTCACATAAGGGTAAGCGTAAGGCTAGTCCTATGGATGGTTCCTTTTTCTGTTCGAAGCATGGTGGTGTACAGGCGAACCATAATGAAACTGATTGCC